ATGACTTGCTTTGTGATTTATTTAGTTTACTGAACAAAGTTTTACTAGTATGGTATCTAAGGAAATTTTCACATTACCCCGCACTACGCTGCGGGCTAAAAACTGCATCATCATGCCAATTTCACCATACTAACTAACTAGTGTTTCTCTGCACGTAGGCGTGTGATCTGCAACACTGCGCGTGAATGTGTTTCAAATGGATGGCATTACGCGTTTTTCAATACAAAGAGATGCAAGCAACGTAACAACACGCACTCCCACGCTACTAAGCGTAGTGCGTGGCAGCGTGAAAATCACAGAACTTAGGAATAGGTTAAAAGGGTGATCATAGACAGTTTGTAGGGGAGTCGATGTCGCCGGTTCGCCCCCACTACACTTCCATCTAATTTATATTAGCCAATCAAACGACGCGACATAAAACAGTTGAACCAAAAACGCTCACAGAACCTAGTTTTGGTCAATTTAATGAGCATTTGCTCACACAACTGTGGCGCGCCTGCCCCGCCCACAAGGTACTTTTAACCTCTTTCTGTGTTCTGTGGTGAGAATCGCCTTAGGCTAAGAATTCACGGAGCGGTTATTATCCGCTACCGAATCAGAGCTGTTATATTTCAAAATTCATGAGACCGCAGGTTTGTGCCTGCCGCCCGCCGCGCCTGCGAGTGATCGCGTACTCCGCTTTCACACTACCTGTGTATGTTTTTAATTACTCTACACATCCCCTGATGTTGAGTGGAGGATTGTGAATGGACTCCAATTAAAAAATCAACGAGGGATGTTCATAAAATTAAAATTTTGTGGTTGTCAATTTAAGAAAAATATAGCGTAATGATCGGGTACTTAAATACAGGTAAATTAAATTAAGAATACAATATTTTTGAAATTGTTTTATAAAACATAATAAATACATGCTCTAACATAATGTACAACAAATAAGGTGGGTATGCTATAAAATTGTTCAATTCAGGACGGCAAGTGGTTTTGGAAATAAATTGTGTTTATGATCTCAATATTCAAAAGATACACGTGGCAAGACATATTGAAGTATCAACTCTGTGGATAACTTTGAATTATCACGATGAAAACATAAAATCAGGTCACCACAAATAATCTTAAACAATAATGAACATAGACGGTCTTATTACAAAAAGTTTGACACGGTTTCAAAGCTTGTTAAGGCTAATTTTGTATGAAAATTTTTCTTAAACTCGTGTTGAACGCATGTCTTTTTTATGGTAATAAAATGAAAGTTTACAAATTCAATGGCGGAAGATACTGAATGACCTGATGGTATTGATTACATATACATTTCTACTACAGTCAGCATCAAAAATATCGAACCTTTTTCATTATAACATTGAAGTGAAGTAAAATTAATTGTATTTAGGTATTACGAAAATTTGCATTTATTTCCCGTGATCAATGTTAACGATGAAAATAAGAAATGAATGTTTTTTTTTTTAAATAAATATGGTACTTATTTGAATATCATTTTTTTTCAACAACTTCAGTACTATAATTTTTCAAAAGAGCGAAGATTTTGATGCTGACCTTACAAAGTACATTCTTGGTGTGCAAAGCTATGAATAAGAAACCGGTTTCTCTAACTTTTTAACTACAGCAGTACTAGTCAATAAACTTGGCTGTCATTTTACAGCACTCTGGTTACACCAGTCGAAGCCATGACAATGTACAGAATTCACTACGGTATTAGTGTATAGGATGCGTTCATACGTAAAGTAGCGGTTCCCCGTGACTTTGTCTGCGTGGAGTTTTCGGTTTTCGATATGAAACTTTTTACACCCTTAAAGTCTTGACCTTGTCAAAGTGATCTTCTTTCAGGTTTCCCTTATCCCCACACCTACTAAAATTCATCAATATCGGTTCAACAGTACAGGCGTCTCAAAGTAACAGACAGAGTCAAATGAGCAGTTTTGATATTAGCATTCATAAAGACGCTACATCTCCGGGTTAAGCCAGTTTATCTCGTGAACGGTGCAGTGAAGGAATTTCACTAAAATTTCTATAATACTACGCAGTAGTGGCGCCTGTTTTGAGGGTGATATGCCTGCTGGTAGTGTCTAAAAGTCATAATAACCATTTTTGAAGTGAAACTTCTATATAGACAGGGGTATTAGGATTTACTGCCAGGAAAAATAGGCTGCTTGGAGGGTGTAAACCATATATAGAAAGAAAGTAGGATGTCTCGGCACTTGTCTGTTGAAGTTTCACTTCTACTGTATCCTAGCACACATTTCTTTTTGATATTGCGTTTATATTCACACGAAAACAAGATAACGAGTGATTTTTTCAATCCCTGAATAAAACTTATTCCTCAGTTATGGTAAATACGTTTTTAATGAAGAGTTGTGTTTGTCATTCAAGTTCTTTTTGATTAGTTCATAATTTATTCGGCAGATAAATTTAGAGAAGTGGAAAAATCGGCCCTTACTGACGTTAATGTTTGACAGTTTGTAATAATAATAAATATTCACTTCCTCATTTACTATTAATTAAACTAGGACTATATAAAACCATCTTGGCTATATATTTTGGTTCCGCCTCCATAGCCACAAACAATACAAAGCTAATTTTTATATTTTTGCCATTCGATTTTTATATGATTGTGATTAACAAGACCTAAGCAAAGGAATCAAATCAGTTCGTTTCTAATAATTTGTGAATGAAGAGGCTGGGGCTTCATATCTTGAGTTCTAAATGCTTTGCAATTACTATTAATTTTTATTGTTACTATTTCTTAGATGAACCTAAATCATAGAATCGAAAACTAGTTGTTCAATCATTAGAAAAAGAATTTGTGAAACATAAAACAAGTTGGTTATACACGGTGTATGTGGCTTAAATAAATGACAATTAAAAAAATATTCATAAGCATCTTGTAAACTTAAAGTATGGAATACAAGTAGGAATTTAAGTGCTATCCTTAAAAGTTTAGTTTCCTGCAATAACTGAAGGATAGTAGATTTTTTATCAAATACAGACGTCACAAAATTAAGAGCGTTTTTTAACAACTACAAATAATTTATATTCGAAGTAAATGAGAACACACTTATGAAATGCACATACTTATATTCTAGGAAGTGTTTGTGACAATGAATTGTGGAAAACGTAATTGCATTAATAAATATGAAATTATATATATATATATATATATTGTTAAAATGACTAGGCGTGTAGACATAGACGAAAATCATCTATTTAGAATGGAGGTTTCAAAACGTCAACTCCTCATACACCTCGTAGACCCCCAGCTGCTATTTTATTCCCAAAACTCGTAAAAAAGTGAAGATTTAAATTTCAAGATTTTTTTTACTACAATAAATTCCTTTCGATCCAATTTTCAGATTGAATTCGCAACAGCATCTTCCGCTATCCGGACGGATCGTAGATCCATTAGAGTGAGTGGATTTTTTTTAGTAAAAAAAAACTTGATATATGATTTACGGTTTTCTTGTTAGTTTATAAATAACATAGATTGATATATTGCTTTCGTCCCGTAATACGAAAATAATAATATGGAAATGTGGGTATTTCGTCCACTTACCAAATATGAACTTTTTTTCAATTTGCAAAACAAAAAATCAAACTTTATATATTATAAGGTAAGGTTTAGCTATATACCTAAACCTATCTATAGTTCTAAGTATGTTGGCAACAGTTTTGAATAACTTAACCTTGACCATCAAGGGTCCAGCCATTTAACTGTCTATGGCTGGGTCTCCAGCGCGTTTTTCGCCTTACACAATCAACATTCACCAAAATCTTCTACCCAAAACTGTTTCACTACACATATTTCTTTGCATCAACGAAGTTTTTGCTTTACGACCCTGATGGAAAACACTGTATTGATTCGGCTGCGTTCCAAACTTCTCACATGAGGTTAAAGTTACTTTTTGTTTTACATACTTGAAACATCTTTCAAACGTCAAAGTGGTAAGAGTTGGAATTTATACATTCAGGGGGCAGATACGAGATATAAGGTCACGATTTGATTAACGATACGTCTCGTCTACGAAGGTACTCATAAAACTATTATTATGCAAGGAATGACTTATGATTTATAAGTAGCTAGTTAGTTGGAGCCCGTACCATGGAATTTTGAATTGCATAATTCCCGTATAACATGATTAAATTGTTATTGTTAGGGTGATGTCACTAATTAGTGCTGTTGGTTCTTAATAAAAAGATCACAGTACGGCTCCGTTTTAAAAACAATTAGTAGATTAAAAGCCGCACTCAAAAACGTCAGTTAAATTTAATATTTTTGGTTTTCGATAGACGTGTTGTCTTAATTTTTTGTTTCCATAAAGTTAAAAATAACATCATCAACTTGATTGAAACAAAAATTAAATGACATCTTAGAGTGCAGCAGTAAAACTATAACAAACATTGTCATGACATCGTTACATTCTTATTAGATATGAAAGTAAAAGTACCTTAAAATTATCACTTATTTAGAAAAAAATTAAAAAGTCCAAGCGCAGTGCTGAGATTCATAAAAAATAATCGAAAAAAGCTAAAAAAATAAATCATTGTAATAAAAAAAACAGATAAAAGCACACAGAAGGCATTTTGATTTTCTTTTTAATTCTTAACCAGCTAAAATATATTTATATATATAATACACTTCCGGACACATCTATCGGCCCCCTTAGTGTTAAGTATAAGTTTTAATGGTTTGTAGCAAAAATATATATTAGCTTGAGCAATAATTTTGCTTTAAAACACACCAAAAAGATGTTTAATAAATCAGCTTCAAAACTGGGTAAAAACTCTTTGCTCAATGTAACATTAATTTTTAGCTAAGGACCGTCAAAACTTAAGGAGAGAGATGTGTCCGGAAGTATATTAAACATTGACTTACAATACTATGGATCATCCTACGGGGACATGTTTTAAGCGTTTTTATTCAACCAAATAACTTGCATGTTCCGTTCCGTACACAAGAACGTAATTTAGATTTACTAGGTATACTGTCTTATTTATCAGTCAACGAAACCAGTTGTATAGTAAGTTACCAGTTATGTGTCTCTTGCTGGGTTGTAACAACATTTAATTATTCATCGAGGGAATATGCATGACATTTTTTATGGCTGCTCGCACGAAACATTTTAACGTTATGTCACGTTGTCACGAGATAGATTCAACGTTCCGCGGTGTGTGTGAGGTGAGATCGAGGGGTTCCTTCGTTTAATAAAATGAAATAAAAAGTAAAAATAATTTAGGTATCAAAAAAATATACCATTACATAGGTACAATACATCCTATTTTTTAAATAAAAGCGTGTTATTAAAACAATGCATAGTCGTTTGGAGTCTTTACTAAACAAACAGAAGCTATTTACCATCCAGCAGCACCTCCTCAAATCACCTACGCCTGTTATCTTCAGAGGAGAAATAACAGAGTTCAGGATGAGTCTCAACTTGATCCAACTATAAAGATGGCTTCTATTCATAATAACAGATGAAGAAGTAAATTTTTGTTATTTAAAATTACATGATATTATTTAAAAAACGGGATAAAATATTTTTATCAGACTTAAATTATTCTTTAGTTCTTTTAATTGACAAGCAATAAAAGCTTGTTTTTTTAAAAAAAGGTTATTTTTTTAATTAAAAACCATGTTTTCATAGAATATTCTCCTTCCTAAGCAGTTTTGCCACCTATTGTCTTTGTCTCTTTTAAATGCTTTAGTTGTGCGTTATGTGTTTTCCAAATGTTACGTGTACGCGCCAATACGCGCATGTTAATGAACGTTTTATGTGAAGCCCACAAGCCCGAAAATTTTGCTCAAGTTGTAGCAATTTTTTCAAGAATAAATGTATATAAGATTTCGATATTCAATCTCACTCTCAGAAAAGGTGAACAAAGTTATTTGGATGAATAAAAATCGCGCTGTTCAAATATTCCAATGTAGAAATTATGGAGTTATTGTTGTATACATGTAATTAAATAATGCTTCCTTTTAACGTCGACTAAAGTAAATAGGATTGATTTTATTATAATATAATGTTATATAATTTCCATTAGAGAATTCGGTGCCGATTTTTATTTAACAATAATTACTTTGGTCGCTGTACATATTTTTTTTTTCAATTACAACAAATATAAATAAGAAGTACTTATATTAATAATGTAAGAATAATCCTTTGGTACAAGTGTGAATCCTTTATAAGATTGCCAAACTTATAATAATTTTATTTGTTATGGATGAACATCGTTATGATTCTATCTGTCTTTAATTTAAAACTTACAGATACCAATATTATTTAATAGCTTTGATATAACGAGTCGCGCTAAGTTAGTGGCAGTGATTTTGTATGTTTAGGGACAAAATGTCAGGAAAAGTATACTTTTTCCAGTAGTGTAGCGTGACGGGGCAAATTTACCTATTTGCAGAAAAAAAATCTTACGGGTAGGTGCGAAGGAGGGATATAATTTTATTTCAGTTTAAATCTTAGGTGCGATATCAAAAATTATATTGAGGGAGGGTGCTAAGGGGGTTTCTAAAACCCACAGAATTAAATTAAATTAAGAATAATAAGCTTTAGTGTTTAATCTCAGTTCGTCAAACTATTTGGTAGGGAATGAGCGGACAAATGTTGCTGATATACCTAAAAATAAATAAAGCGTTTCCTATTTATACCCGACAATCATTGTAAGCCACAGTATGTTGCATTTAAACTTTAAACCTAACAATATAAATTATGCATTGCATCGCAAACCCTTGTAAACAACATAGTCTTTTTTTGTCTTAACAAACTATCATAGTCTCATATCAATGTAAACAGATCCTTAACTTTGAACAAGAGAGCTCATTTTATTTTATTATGCTAAAATGTTGGGATTGAAATGTGCCCACAACATGACAGCTTAATAGCTGGTGTTATTTAGTTTACTATTTTATGTAACAACATCAAGCAGTGATCAAAGCTTTGAAATATACGCTTTGGCATTTTTCTAGTATGACCAGATAAATAAAATTTTATAGACAGTACAGATAATATGGCTGAAGTATTTTTTACAAGCGAACACCATATTTTCGATTGAGTCATTATTTTAAAGAATCATTGAATAATTCATTAACATGAACACGGATGGCGACAATAGAATCAACAAATTTAATTAGCAACATGACACAGGAGCTTTAAACTTTAGAATACCAAAACAATTAAGTTAATATTCATTTATCCGGTAATACTGAAATATTTTCTTTTCAAAATATGACGCAAGCTTTTTGAGGCTGGCAACACACCAGGCCGCGTGACTTAACACACTAATTTTCAATACTTTAGAATATCATGTCAGGATTCGCACTGGCAAGAAAATACAGCAGAAGCCGAAACTCTTTTCTTATGAAATTCTATTTCACATTTTCAATACTTCACTACGTGACAACAGATATTGCACAACTGTCCGACGTCAAATAGTTATTATACATACTAATCTTCGTCCATTTTTGACAACATACTTGCTTTCAAACCGAAAACGCGTTCAGTGTTAATACATTTAAATATAACTTTAATTTAATTTATTAACATTCCTTTAATGTAATTAATTATAATTTAAACACTTATTTCATTACAATTATTTTTTATCAATTAAAACTGGTTATTTAATTTTCTAGTGAAACAATTTATAATTCGAAATGGACGAAGTCTTTTAACACAACTGAGGCGGCTTACACAAACAATACCGTTACATCTACATACACTGACTATTAAGAGCCCTTTCACATTTTTTGCAAAAAATCATAATTTTTGATCGCCTCGTTTACCCCTTTAGAAAAGATTTTGACTATTTCCAATAAAAGTAAACAGTAGATTTATTCTTCCTATTGTAAGTTTATGTAGAATATTTGCAAATACTATTTTCCGTTTTTTGTACTGATCGTTTTACCGCGGCTAGTTTACGGAAAAAAACGATAATATGTACAACTTCAAACGCCTGAATCTCTAAATAATGTTCAATAAATTAGATCAAATTAATTACTACGACATCAGAAATATGTTTTTGTTGTAACATAATGGATTAGAATTTAGATTTTAAATCTTATTAGCTATCAAAAAAAAACATCTAACCTCCGTGACTTTTCCCAAAAAATAATGTAGGTTTATCTCGTATTTTGATATTGAATTAAATAGAATTACTATCAAAAACTTTCATAAAACTAATCAACCATCATTGAACTACTGAAATATGTAAATATTTTTATAATTAGTTCATTAATAATTATTTTATAAGACTCGAAACATCACCCGTAAAATGCAATATATAGCAATAAAATGCACTAGCAAATCTACCTACGCGCCGATCAGTACGGCGGTGGCGCAATTTTGTAAAAGGGCTCTTAAAATGATCTCGTTTTTTCCTACTAAGCCACCATACATAGAGCTTTGCTTCAGCTACGCCATACTGAACCTTAACCTACTGTAATAAAGCTATTTTATCATCAGTCGGTGATGACGATTTGGTCTTGCTCTCCTTCTAAACTCGCTCCGGGTGCAGTCTCTTCTTCGATTATAGACTCTGTCCGTTCAATGTCAATAGAGTCCATTTCGTTTGGTTTCTCGCTGTAAAAGTAAAAAGTATTCTTTTTGCTTTGGAAATCATTCGGAAACTCGTAGAAAATTGGGGCTCTATAATGTAGTTCATTATATGTTTAATCTTTTCAAATCATAAAATGACAAGAAATTTCCAGAAACATCAATAAATACATAAAATGAAACGTCAAATTTGACACATCGCAATGAGAATGCGTAAAAGGGGCATTAAGATGAAACGTCATTGTTGTCAATTTAAAGTATTCACCATCATCATCAGTCGATGAACGTCCTCTGCTGGATGTAGGCCCCCAAATGAAACATATTTTAGATATTTCATCCAATGGCGCCATTTAAGACACCTTATACTAACAATCTACTTTCTTGATATATCTCAAATGAAAATAAGAAGGTATTTATTTATATTTTTTGGTAACTCACTTGCAAAATTAAATGTTCTTGGTTTTTAACTAGATTTTTTTTAAATAAATCTAAACACGAGACGCTATATAGACTTCTAAATAAACTCACGTTAGTGGTTCGCTTGGTTGCGGCACATCGGACGCGGGCGCAGATGCAGCAGTCAGCGGTAAAGTCTGCGGTCTTCTGAGCCAACTGTTGCGTTCTTCCTGCTCACAAAACTATAATAACTAATGTGTCCGATATGTTATCCTAATTATGCTCATAGTAAGAAAATGAAAAAAGACTAATGTTGAATTTAGCTTCAAGTTTTAACTTATTGTTTATTCAAAAACGGAAAACACGGCAATCGCGTCTTAAATAAACCTTAAAAAAAAAAAGGGGTTCTTATTCAAATAAAAGTTCAAACAAAGATGAATTGTCTTAAAGTTTGTGCAGTGATGACTCAGTTTGTTTACTGCCTCTCCTTGCCTCTCGTCAAAGAATAATCACTTAATGCAGAATCATCTATGTGATGGTGTAGTGAACAGTACCATTAACACGAACCAATATCGAATTGGAATTGTTGAATTAGACAACGATACGCGTGTAAAGTCAAAGTTATGATTCTCGTAGGGCTCTCTAAACCTAAACTTAAAATTGACAATAGATTGTCATTCTCTATACAGAATGAAAAGGAGAGACTGATGTTCAATTTAGTTTAAGAGCGGACGCGAGCTTAGCGACATTTGAGAAATAGGTATTTGTATAAAATATTGCTTTCGCGTTTTGGCAAATACCGTGCTATAGGGACAACAGTAGCTAACGCTGAAAATTGCAAAATTCGAGGTTTGGCTCTCGACGATTTCCTCCTCGAAAATTAGATATAAGTAAAAAAAAAATAATCATACAATAATAAGTAGTCCTTCCTTCTTACAATCTGGGCTCCTGAGGATGGTTGGTGTGGCAGTTTATAACTGCTGTACCAGCTATCTTCGCATTTGGACTTTATCACCACTTAACATCAGATGGGGTAGAGTAATTTGCCTACCTGGCCATATAAAATAAAAAGTATTTATATTAGGCCTCTATATTTAGTTATTTTTGTAAATGCTTATTGAATCTCCACACTAAACAGCTTTAGTAGTGATAAAAATTTGACAATTTTCATTTTTGAGGGCGTCTAGTTTCTAAAAAAGGAACGCATATTGGAGCATAGAATGATCTAAATTATATTTTATGTATGAAAATCATTTCTTCAGTGATAAAAGTTAAGGAAGAATCAGTACAGAACGTTTGTATGGACAAAACATTGGCCGCCGCATTTTATAGTAGCGGCATGTTATGACGGTCGTTTTGATGTTTGTGCGCCCATGAAGTTTCATATTCGAAATTTAAAATTAGTTCCTAATTTAAAAGTTTTTTTTCTAAATGGCTTTGCATGGTTTGTGCATTTAGCCAATGTCAAGTGTTAAAATATTTACAAATACTATTAGCACTCGTGGTAAGAGTGATAAATCAAGTCAAAGTAAGTGGCAGTCAAGTCAATCCAAGGGGGGTTGTTTCTGCTTCAGTAAAAGTTTGGGGATTTACTGGAACCTCCCGTGGTCATCTTGAGGGATCGTCGCAAGACACGCACTTGATTATATTAGATTTTTTTTTACCAATTGACTTTTCGTGTCACTATTGTAATTAATATGTCATAAGGGCTATCATAGCTAGGGTTGCCAAACCTAATATGTAATATAGTATCCTACTATATTAGGGGATATAATACTGGCGTCGATTCTGGCGTGATTCTCTAATTAACATCAGTATCTTCTTTTCATTTTGTATAGAGAATGACAAGGATACGCTGTTGTCAAATTAAGTTTAGGTTTAGAGAATCATGCCACTATATTTCAAAAAAAAAAAAAAATAGTAGGCGAAACTACTATATTTTGCTTAAAGCATACTTTTGCCAGTCAAAGCTTTCTTAAAATAAAAACTGAAGTATTAAGGTATAGAGCAGCAAAAATACACTCATATCAAAAATAAAGTAAATATTAAACCACATACTATATTTTTTCCCATTCTTTGTCATCTAATATATTTTTAAAGGTAACAGCTTCGAAATACTATATGTGATAGAAAAAAAACGAGCCAGCCTTACAGTAGTCGCATATGATGTGTAACATTTGAAACCTCTCCTTATATTAGTAAAAAAAGAAATAAAACCTACTACAAAAGGAATAAGCCATATGAACATTATGTTCTAAAATCAAATCAAATACCGCGCGTTTTCGCGACTTCCTGTTACACACTTCCGTCCCATTTCACGAAATCACTCCCATAAATTGCACGAAAGCGAGAAGAAAGATGTTACACATCAAAAAGTTGGCAATCCTAATCATAGCGTGTCGCGATTATAGTTACCTGCGGCGTGGTGACGCATGTGAGTGTGGTCTGCGTTGCGACTTGCGTCCGCGCACCGCCGCACATGCATCGCACTACGTCCTAAGCGGGAAGAGAAGATAATACCAATTTATTTAATAAACAACGAACCAGAAATGATATAAATAAATATTACCAACACTTGTGAGTGGTAAAATAGGGTATTTGACAAGTTTTAGAAAACGATCTCACGTTATTGACTAATTTTTATGGGAGTCCGTAAAAAGTGGATATTCATCATTCTGTTGTGTATAGTAATAATAACCAAAACAAAATCTCCATTTTCATATTGCCGCGAAAACGTTTTTCTGAAGAATATGGCCTCTTACTAGTGTGTGACGTCACAGGACTGTTATTAAAACGTCAAACGATACAATGAAATGTCACTTTAACCGCAAGTTTACTTGCGTATGAATCATTTTAGGCTCCGCCAATCCCAAGCGTTTAGGGTCACGTGACAATAGATAAGAAAACTTTTATCTTTTTCGTTAGTTTTTTAGTTTAATTATGAAAAGCTTTTATGTAAAAATAGTAAAAACCCCTGCCAATATTCATTCTAAACACTGATTCTAACAATTGGCACTTTATTTTTAACACTGTCAAATACCCTATTAGCCTAGCCCCAAAGTAAGCACTGTAAGGCTTGTGTTATGGGATACTAGGGTAACGGATAGAAAACATATATTTTACATATATAAGTATATATTTATACAGAAATACATATAAAGAGGTCGTCTTATGCTATGAAATAACTGATCTAAAAAGCAGTTCCACGCAAACTGTGATCAAGTGGGCGGGGCGAACAAAATGCGATCAACACGTCTATCATGGGGATTGGTTGGGACTTACGTTAAATGGTATTTCACCCAATGAATGGATAATCGTTTTTTTTGCAGATATTTGATTTGACAAAGTATTTTGTTTTGTCTGTGTACGTATTGCGTTTAGCTGTATGAATTTGGAACCATGTTTTAGAGTTCTTAGTTAGAAAATAATGTTTCCATATCTTTTATAATTCGTCGTTAGTAAAACACTTTTTGAACGGGTCTCAAACGCCTTTTAATTATTATGTAATTACATGGGAGGAAAGTAACAAAATGGATCTGATGTCGTTTCGGACCCTTTTCCAGTCTCCATGACCGCGAGATAGCATCTTAGTGACACTTTTATTTATTCATTTTTATTTTGACTAGATACCTTTTAAAATATTTATCAGGCATGTTTAGGTTTTTTTTCAAATAAATTTTGAAAGGACAGACGTATTTTAATTTAATTTTAATGTATGTAATGTATGTGTTAGTCATTAATTAGAATTGTATTCCGTTATATGTATAATTGTGTTCTGTGTTGTGTTATTGTATCGCTTATTCCGGCATTCGCAAATCACCCTTGCCATAAGGCGCTGGCTGAAAATCAGCGCTGCTGTGGTATCGCGAAAGCGGTTACCACACAGCATAGCTATGGCAGCACCCTATTGGCCTTCCACGGCACGATGTTTTTATTTATTTTACATTTTTTTTTTCCTTAAATCTATGTTTCACTATTAAATAACCATTTGTATTTCTAAATTAATGCTGTGAAGGCTAATAAAATGTTTTTCTTTCTTTCTTTTTTCTTTTATTTTGTTACTTTACTCGCACGTTACACGTTTGCACCTACACAATGTAAAAAGAAAAGAAAAATCTAATCTTCTTTTGTTCTTCAATTATTCCTAGTCTTAGATTTAAACAAAAAAAGGAAGATACGGCACTCGCGGCTCAAAAGTGATCCGCTTAAATTTTGGTGCATGACCATAATTCGCTTTAGTCATAATTGGACATTCAAACACGCTGCATGTGCACTCAATATAACAATAATGCGTATATTCTGTGTTATAAAGATAAAACAATGCCTATATATAAAAATAACAAAATTACTCAAAATAATCATTCAAAATATCTCAAGGTAAAATTTCACATCAAAAAAAATCATAGCTTTGCATTCCTACCTGCATACATCCCTGCAGTTCCGCAACTTGCTGCTGCAATCGAGCACATGTTTCAGTGAGCTGCCGCACTGCTTCAGTGCTGTCTTCTAGGTCACAAACCTTCTGTTTTTGAGAATCTGTAGAAGCAATCGAGACAAACATTTGTCCTTTGAACTAGCTTTATTTACATATATCTTAAAATACTATTGAATTTCAGAGAGCATTTGCTGCGTCTGGGTAGTAACCTCCATCTTATTTTTTTTTTTTTTTATATTGACAGACTTGACTACGCTAAAACCTTGCCAAGTTACGGCCGAGGACTATACGTCACTTTAATTTAAAAAAAAACTCTAGCACTGCTAATTACTACACAATATTTTATATTTACAGATACAATTCGCCATTAAGAGTCGCTACTCATTGTTATAGTAAAGTTCAATGTAAAAATTGACGAAAGAGCGAGTATCCCCTAATACAAGTACAATACTTAAAAGGGAATACTCAACAACATGTTTATATGGAACTTGTAAGCATTAAAGAATTTTTTCATTTCATTTTCATTTCATTTCATTTCACTCAACAGTAGCATTTATACCCGTCGAAATAACACATCTATTTCATTTCGATTTTAACATAACTATTTCGTCACATCAATAAAGACATGTTTTCCGTTTTCTAGGAGCTTAATGGCCCAAGTGCTTAGTAGCGCTTTCGGTTGCGAACGTCGAAGTTAAGCAACTTTTGCAGTGGTCAGTCATTGGATGAGTAACAAAAAAATTACATTTTCGAGCTCCTCCGTGCTTCGGAAGGCATGTTAAGCCGTTGGTCCCGGTTGCATCTGCAGTCGTTACCAATCCGCACTGGGCCCGCGTGGTGAGTCACGATTCTACCTCCCTGTTCCGAAACGCCTGTTCCCCAGCAGTGGGGCCATTAATAAGCTGATAAACATGATTTCGTTTTACTTACCAGAAGACTGCAATGTGGAGACTTTCTTCCACAGCGCGTTAATGGCCTGCATTTGCAACTGTTGTATTTTCCTCTCACTCTCTAAGGCGGCTTTGGTGGCTTCCATGTCGCATGTCAATCGCCTGTAGATATCAATTTATTAAGACAATAAACAGAGCAGCGAATGACAAAGGTTAACTATATACTGATACTTATCACATCTGTGTGAAGAAGCTTCGGGTTGTGTTGGTACCAAACTGCGCTAAACTTAGCGTTCAAACTTTAAAAGTACGCTCTTTCAGCTGCACATGTAGTAGGAGATCCGAACTTACATTGACCTTCACCGAGCTGGTAATAGAATGAAACATATTTTATCATGAATTTAGTATAGTAAACAATACATTAAAAATGGATTGTCTATAAAATTCTGGAGACTATTTTTAATTAATTAAAAAATATATATGTTTAATTAGATGTTGCAACATCAAGATAATAAGAAAATGTTGTCCTGACTTAAAATATAAACCGTATAGCATGTGCAGCCGTTGGGTAACAGGACTGGCATCGACATACCTGTTTATACCTGGCAACCCAGTAGTTCGCCCAGGTTAATAATATACAACACAACGGCTGCATGTTTTATACTGTAATTCAGGATAACATTTTCTAATTTACTTGATGTTGCAACAATTAATTAAAAATATATATTTTAAATTCATTAAAAATAGTCTGTCCAGAATTTTTTAGGAACCCATTTTTTATATATTTTCTAATATACTAACTTCATGATACAATATATGTTTCATTCTATTACCAGCTCGATGAAGGTCGATGTAGGTTCGGATCTTAAGACTAATACATATTTATCGTTTTCCATTACCTCTTTTAGCGTGTAATATTATCGCCAGCCAAGCTATCGTCTAGCGTCTATAGAAACACAGCCAGATAATTCATCACGACAGAACTTTTTAAAATTTCGAACTCAAATTTTAGCGCATTTAGTACCAAAGCAACCCGAAGTTTCGTAGCGCAGGTGTAGGATAAACATGAGAGACAACTACAAAAATAAAGAGCGGCCAAGTGCGAAACGGACTCGCCCATGAAGGGTTCCGTAGCAGCAAGTAACATAATACAAAAGTATTTGTAGTTTGTTGTAACTTTGATCGATGTTGTAATGATAGTGTATTTTTTTAATTACTTAATTATTAAAAAAAAAATGTACTTGCTATATCTTGTTCAAACCAATTTACGGTGGAAGTTTGCATCATATATATTTTTTTAGTTTTATCATTCTCTTATTTTAAAAGTTACACCGGGGGCGGGGAGGGGACACATTTTACCACTTTGGATGTGTCTCCCGCGTAAACTATTCAGTTTAGTGAAAACTTCTTTAACGGCGTTGTACACTTTTTTTGTATGGGTAAAAAATGTTAAACTCGCGTCAGGTTAAATACGTGGGCTGATCGCATCATGAAACACAATAAAATTGAATTGTTGACTTTCAATGTATTGGACGAAACATAGTAATATTTTATTTTACTGTATCTCTTATCTATTAGACAAGTCCGTCCGTCCGTCTGTCTGTGGTGCTGTTTCAGCGGCCAAACCGTAAGAGATAGATAAAGAGAATATTTAAGTTATAAGTTAAGAATAGTCTGATAAGACTACAAACCGGATTTGAGTAACGTAGCACTTCCGGTTTTCGAGAAATCACGTGATTTCTATTTTGTAATTATCACAATTTTAACTAACTATTTAAAGGTTAATTAATAATTTCAAACGAAACCACACAAAATCTCCGAAGTTCTCAATTAATTAAATACATTTTTTAAATCAGGTTTTGGTGAACCTTGTGTATCTTTGTGTGTCCTTGTCATTTTCTATACAAAATGAAAAGGAGAGACTGATGTTAAATTTAGTTTTAAGTGTAGAGAATCCTGACAGAAACGACACCACTTAGTAGTATTCCTAGGTAAAATAAACTAAACTATATTATTCAATACTGCCACATAAAAATTTATCGTGTCGATTTTCAATCTTAAAGAATTTGATGTTGTTATTGAAATCTATTTTATTGAGGAAAGCACTTAAGAATCATAATATTTCTTAATAGCTTTAAACTTACTGTATGTGTTGTCTCGCTCTTGCCGCTTGTATCGCGTGCAATATCCTCATCGTATCCTTATTGAGATTTCTGCTCTTATATCCCCTCCACATCTTCTGTATCGTCACCGCAGCCATAGACTCTTCGCTCATCTTCTTCTGTCGTCTCTGGTTCGACGCCAGTTTTATAATCTCTAATTTGTCCTGATCTATTTGGTCCGTAGATTGTTCTTTCGTTATTCCATTAATTTTTTTCTCTTCTTTAACCTCCGATTTGGGTAAACTGCATTTGCGTTCGATTTTCGACTTTAATTTCGGACTGGAAGTTGCACTTTTCGTTAGTTTCGGCGAGCCTCTAATGTTCTTGTTGGGTTGGACAATTTGTCTATGCGGTTTTTCTTCGTGTAAGCTGCTGTTACTTGACTGAGACGATGTATTGGAAATACTGTTGACGGAGTTGTTTGTTGGCTTCGGAATAGTTCTTTGGATGTCATATATGGGGTCTTGATAGTCAGGGCTCATGAGAGACTCTGGTACGGGCACCATCTTGGATGCGGCTTCTAATGAATGGTTTACAGGCTTAGGCGGAGATTCTGTAGAAAAAGAGGTGAAATGATTTTTATATGCAATATAGCTCTTAAAATTAACAAAAATTAGATCATCGCTCTTAGCGATAAGACCGTCCATTATTACACTGCATTCTTTAATTATATACTTCATGTTTTATCTTTTCTGTGGTGTAAAAATAAAGAGCTTTGTATTGTATTGTATCATTGCAAGTAGGAAAAAATTATGCGTTATAATATAAATCTTTTCCATTATTTTTATTTTAAACTTTCTGTGAAAATTTTAACTATCTATAGAGGTTCATGAGATACAGTTCCTCTACCGACATACTGTTGGGCAGCAAGGGGTTAGTAACAGTGTTCCATTACTTAGTCCTTAAAACTCTGTCAAAATGGACATAAAGTGATAGAGATGATGACTGCGTTTTTGTAATTTTTTTGTTGATTGACAAAAGAAAAAATACGTGACTATTATTTTTATTAAATCTAACTGACAGACTAAATAGAATCACGTTTACTTTAGCCCGTTTTCCCTCCTTTTGTTTTCATGGTCCTTCGAGCATTTAATTAAAATGTAAAGTTAATACTCGCTTCGACTCAAATACAACGTACCTGTAGTTTTCTCTTTTTCCTTATCTTTCTTCTCCGTAGCGTACATAAGACCGGGTGAATCGAAACTCTGGCTCATTACTTGCGGCACACTAGCTATGTCTCCCGAACAAGACATCGACATTTGGTGCGATGGCGAATTGGTTTTAGACAACGCCGAATGGTAACTGGATGTTAACCGATCTGGAGAGCGGCCCATGTGCCTTGAAGCGATGCGAGCTACAAACCAATGAATAGTATAAGAATTGTGTTGAAATCAGGGCTTGTAAGGGGCCGTGCAAATATTACGCAAGCACTATATCCCCCACTATACTAAGACCCCCCTGCCCTCCGTCTTTGCTTTGCTTATTTTTGATGACATGGGGGGGGGGGGGGGGGGAGATGTCGAGATAGTGATTACGTAAGCATCATGGATTCAGTACTTGGAGTATGTTGCATCTGTACACTGATTTTCCATATAATAATAAGACAATGGAGAAGCGTTCAGTTTAAGATAAAACGATCTCTACTCATGATTGCTTTGTTATTGAAAATGCAGATATTTTTATATAATACTAGAGGCCGCCCGTGACTTCGTTAGCGATAACTTTTAGTTTTTTTTCTAAAATAAAAGTAGCCTAAGATACTCCTTATTACATCAGCTACCTGCCAATAAAAGTCGCGTCAAAATCGGTCCAACCATTTCAGAGATTAGCCGGAACAGACAGACAAAATTAAAAAAAAAAATTTGGTGTATGTACCGTATATATGTTCATATGCATGTAGTAAAAAGCAGTTATTTCAATATTACAAACAGACACTCCAATTTTATTAATATGTATAGATGTATAAATTGATAATTAACTGTTAAAAACGCGTTTAAATTGACTTTTATAGTGAGCCCACTCGGACAGTGGAAGACCATACACATTGAGGCAAACACTGCTTCAATAAGCAGGACAGTGCTAACTTACATTGAACTCTGGGTGACTGCATCTTCGGTTTCAAAGGACTGTGGTTTTGATCCTTCAACTGCTGCTGATGTTGTTGAGCCTGAGGTAACAATCAATCAACACATAAATGCACATTGAAATAACATATTATCATCATCATCAAACAATTAACGTCAATCACATAGATGGAATAGGGAGACTGGGTCGTGACCCACCACACGGACCCAGTGCGGATTGGTGGGTGCTAACAACTGCAGGCGCAGCCGGGGCTAACGGCTCCACGTGCTTTCTGAAGCACGAAAAAAAAATAGCGAACAAGAAATTGGCAACCATCGCCCGATCACGTTGATATATACTATCTAAGATATTTGAGAAGTTAAACGGATATTGGCATTCTTGAATAAGCACAACATCATAGTTAAAGAGCAAAATGGATTCCAAAAAGGAAAGTCAACAACCCTTGCTGCTTTTTCACTAATAAAAGCTGTTACCGAATCCATCGACTGTAAATTACCAACAATTTCATTATTTTTCGACATGTCCCGTGCCTTTGATCTCGTTGATCACCAGATACTTTTGCAAAAGTGTGAAAAATATGGCATTAGAGGACAAGCATTAAACTGGATTACAAGTTACCTTTCTAATAGAAATCAGTGTGGAAATCAGCAAAATAAATAATGAGAATGAAATTATTACGTACAGGTCCCCCTTCATCCACAATAAGAGTGGTGTACCGCAGGGAAGTGTAATAGGTCCGGTATCGTTTCTGATATATATAAACGATTTACCCAGTGTTATAAATCATCAAACCGTCCTATTTGCCGATGATATATCAGTTATAGTGTCAGGTAAAAGTAATAACGAAACCACTTCCTTCGCAGAAACCCTAAATTCAGCCGTAGCATGTATTGATGAGTGGCTGAACAGAAATGGTCTGAGTGCAAATATTGCAAAAAGCACGTTTATACAATTTTTCGAATTACCAAGCTGCACGCATAAGACCAGAACTATCTCACAAGGGTGAAAAATTCAGCGAAGTCAGCGAAACGAAATTCTTGGGTTTAATACTTGATCAGCACCTCAACTGGAAAGCTCATATCCAAAACGTTTGCTCAAGATTAAGTAGGTTTGTATTTGCGCTCAGAAGATTGAGACAGACGGCTGGTGTAAGTGTAGCATTAACTGCATATTATGGTCACGTATCTTCGTTACTAAGGTACGGACTAGTATTATGGGGTAATTCCCCAGACATATCCATGGCATTTAAAATGCAAAAAAGATGCATAAGAGCCATTTGTGGAGCTGGACCGATGGACTCATGTCGACCTCTATTTGCTGGATTAAAAGTACTTACTCTTACTGCAATGTATATACTGGAACTAGCAATGTTTGTAAGACGCCATTCACAACTCTTTTAGAAAAAAGCAGTGTCGAACCCAAGACTGCGACCCAGGGACAATCACCGTCTCCAATGGCTAACTTGTAACAGCGCCCTATATCAAAAAAACTGCTACATTATGGCTATCCAGGTGTATAATAATATTCCCGTTGAAATAAGACAGCAACCAATTAACCTGTTTGCCTCCAAATTGCGCAGCTGGTTGACTGACATTTGTCCACATGACCTAAATGAATAATTTAAAGTAAAATGACATTATAGAATAATCAATATGACGACGCATACATGACATATCTACAAAATTCCGTTACTGACATCGAAATTGACTGAGATTGACATCGGTTATAATTAAAGATACTAATAAATTTAATAAGTATGTAGTAAATAGTATATTTAATTCAATTTTCAATTTTCTTAATATTATTATGTAATTTTAAAATGAAATTTTGTACGCCAAACTTTGGTAAAACATGCTGTCCTATCAATGTACCACCTGTAATTACAATGTTATGAGCAAATAAAAATTCTTATTATTATTATTATTCGACTACTATTTCAAATCTGCGTATAATATGATCTATTGCATTGAAAATGAACGTCAAAAATATTTGATATTTTTGATCCATATTGACACAGTTTCGTTGTTATTAGAATGTCGTAAGTGCAATTATGCATTGTTTACATAGGAAAACTTGTCTGTTTTGACATTTTATGCGAATTATCGAGAAGTGGGCCAGGAATCAGTTGGTTCGGTCGTACAAATGCTCATATTCATCGTACTAACATTTGACCCCACCGGGTATCGAACCTGGGATCTCACGAGTAGGCGACACCATGAAACGCGGTATATACCACTGGGCCACGTTGACCGTCAACAATATCTATACTAAGCCCAGAGTCAGAAATGAATCAACACAAACTCATTAAAATCAATAGCAAACTAACATGATTCTTACTTTGCTTAAAATAATTCGTAGTTTCCTTTGATCCTCCGTCTCTAAAGCGTCGGCTGTGAGTGGACACGTCGTAGCCAAGTATTCACATAACTCCTGGTGTTGGCCGGCGTGGAAATGTCTCCCTTTGCCTTGACTATATAGCCACTCTGCTTTCAAACTGTGGGTAGTTGAACATTCTTTTAAGGCGTCTACACTATACTAATATTATAAAGGCTAAATTGTGTCTTTCTGTTTGTAAACCCGGTTAAGCGGTTCAAGCGTGAAGAGGTAACAGACAGATAGATGAAATTAGGTAAAGATACATTTATGAGTACCGGGAAAGCACATACCCTTTTGTGCTACTACTCCGTGTTAATCCCAAAAATCAGCGTTCAAAGGGGTGAATTGGTAGATTGTATTGGAAACTTATACTCCACTCATTTACATTTTTATAGTACAAGTCGCAATGCAGTAAACGAAAAGTAGGGTGGTATAGATGCGCGCGAGATGTCAATGAGGGCTATCGCGTATGAATCCGTCGCTAGAGGCGCTTGTGCAGCGTACGGTCTCCGAAATATCAAATATTATTGCTTGTGCGTGGACTACGCGGGTTTATTTCTAATTAAAATAATGTTTTTGGTAATAACTCAGATGAATTATAGCAAATATGAGTTACGTGTCAATGAATGTCAGTTATTTAAAAGCGGAGCCAAGAAAAAGTATTATGATCTCCGTTTTTTCCGAACAAAACGGAACTGCGCAACACTGTGGCATGGCCGATTATGTTTACGATACGGTTCTTTTGTATTAAAATATGATTTAAATGTAAACATTGATTACACCCGCGTTTTAACAAACTTTAAAAAGAGTGAGACAAAAAACGCTAGCCTCATTGAAACCTGCGTATAGTTACGCTCTCTACTACCTTCAAAAACTGCCATAAAGTCTGAAGCGCATTTTAAAAATTTAAATGACTGCGTCTACATGGAAAATGTGTTTTCAATACAATTTTCCACCTTAATTTCATATATTTCTAATTTTAGAGGAGGAAATCGTCGAAAGCTAAAAAGCCTTAAATTTTGAAATTTTTATACGCAATTTTTACCTATTGTTAAGTCTTATACCGGCCATACACACTACGAGAAATCGTTACGATTAGGCTGTACAGTCCGAACGGTACCGATAAATCGTAGCGTGTATGTTATAAAACTGCACAGTTTCCTATACTAAACGAAGTCGTATAAACTGTTCCGTTCGAACTGTACAGTCTGATCGTAACGATTTCTCGTAGTGTGTATGGCTACCATTAGATTAAAATAAAAAGGGTAGACGGCACTAGCCTCACAAAAGTGATCCGCATGAATTATGATCCACGACCCTAATCGCTTTAGTCACAACTTGACAAGCAAACAACGTACATGTGAACGTCAAAAAGAAATATTGCTAATATTTTGTGTTTATATGATAAATCATGCCTAAGTGTGTTTTTAAAAAGTGCTCAAATTGCTTAAGAACTAAAAATAAAACCCACGGCATCACTTTTCATTCGTAAGTACTATAAAATATATTTTTTCATAAAAATTGTTGTTTGTTTTGAATCTTATTCGGTAGTGACGTCGAGTACTGGTCGCGTGATTGGTCGGTAGTGCAGTGACGCGGATCTCGCCATCTCGTTCGCGCTGCCGTTGAAACTTAACGTGCTGTTTCGTTCGGGTCGGTAATGCCATGACGCGGATCTCGCCGTCCCGTTCGCGCTGCCGTGGGATCAGTTTTTGTTTGATGCAAGTATGAGCATACCGTATCTACCCTTTTTGTTTTAATCTAAGTGTTAAGTATCCCTATCGCACGCTATTGGTAACAATGCGCGTCAGCAATAGGTATTTCAAATATAGGTAGCGGACGCGAGCTGAGAGACATTTGCGAATTAGGCTTCTCAAATGTCTCTTAACTCTTAAGTAAGCAAATCAAACCTCATAGTGAGATCCCTATGATTATAAGCTGTATGATGTTTGGTGGAGCGTTTTAATTACGTTAGTAGAGTTAAACATTTACTTCGTTCACCGTATTTAAAATTTCCTTTTTTTTTTTTTACTCAAAATGTATAAAAAATGGGTGCGTGTACTTATGTAGGCGCGTGACAAGTTATCCTTCTTTGGCATCGTTTAAAATTAGTTTTTAATTGCATGCAAATAATTAATTACAATAAATTAATAAAAAGTCTGGAAAAAGACACAGTCAATAAAGTTCAGTTTTAATTTGAAAAAATAAATAAATAATCAAAATATTCAATTAAAATCGCTACTGAATATAATTTATTAGAACATATGTGATTTGCACTTGTATGAAACTCAAACACGTATTCCGAATATACAAAAGCTAAAGCGACCAACTTCATGCTGTTAATTTTTTGTGTTACAGTGATGCGCGCGCATCTTAAAATTTCACTCTCATCATTTTTTCATAACGCGCCTAAAGAAGTATAACTTCAAAAAAAGAAAAGCAAGATTCAATGTATTCATAGTGATATAAGATAATTATTATAATCATAACATAAAGATAACTCTCTAATGGCACGCACCCGCAGAAAACCTCCATAAATTTATATGGATTTTAGTTTGAAATGATCCATAAATTAAGCGGACTGTTACATAAATCTGTGCACATTACAAAAAAAACGGTAACAATGGAGATAAACGCTGAAATAATGATAATGTTAATTAGAACAGAGAATCATCATTTAACGGATTCAGAGTATAGCAAATTTATGCTGTGGAAATCGTATACAGAGGCGATGTTATTTTTAAACAAGATTCAATAAATTGTTTTACTGCACCTAGTAGTAAGTGAGAATGAAATGTGTAGTTACAGTTACCTTCTTGAAGCTATGGCAATAAAGTCGTGTAATATTTTTTATTTGTAAGTTTACTTTCGTTTACTTTTTTAAACTTTTAGATCGAAATTTCTTGAATCAAATAAACAAGCTAAGAATGATTAGACCTCATTCTGTCTCTTTGACTTTAAACGACAAAGAAATTTGGCGCCTCATTTCTTTGTCGTACTATTCGTAAGTGGAATTCTATGCCCGCGCACATGTTCCCTCCTTCCTACAATCTGGGCTCCTTTAAGAGAGACGTGAAGAAGCATATTTGCAGGCCGGTTGGGTGAGGACGGTTGGTGTAGCAGTTAATAACTGCCGTACCAGCTTCGCGTTTAGACTTATTATCACCACTTAACATCAGATGGGGTAGAGTCATTTGCCTACCTCGCTATAAAAAAAAACAATTCACAAGGATAAAATGATATGTTAAACAGGGTTGAGCCTTAATTTGTATTCTGAATGTTGTTGCAAGTGGCCCTTAAGTATAGTTTAACAATTTTACTGCATATATACTAAGTAATACAATGTAAAAGAGTTTTAAGGGCTTACCTCTCCATGGCACTGACGACGAAGCCGTCAATGGATTTGACACTCAGTATCCAGTTTAAAACGAACGGTCGATAATCAAAGCCTCTGTACTTCGAATTAAGGTTTGTTTTCAAAGAATTTTAAGTAGAAACATAGAAATAATGATGGTGTTACAGGTTTATCGCAAATAAAATGCTTAGGAAGAAACTATGAAATTCATCAGCCAACTACCATCGCCACTGTTTGGTTCACAGTAGTGAGGTCGATTGGCTTTCTCTATGCAAGTAAAAAAAATGATCTTTATACGTGTGTGTTTGAGTTTTGACACACCTCATTAGTTCAGGGATGATAATTTTGCAAAATAGAAAAGTCGGAGAGACAATATTTCTAGGACTTGACTGTAATCTAAAGACTCGGCTTATTCATAACAAAGACTACGGTTCGATGTGTTACGATACGAGTTTTCGAGTTTCTCGTGAAAATGATACAAATAAAAAAAACACTGCTAATTATATATTGTTTTAAACTTTCATTCATGGTCACTATCATCACAATAACAAGGTACATTCCTATACTGCTGATTACATATGTTAAAAGGATACAACTTGTCTTTGCCAGCCATTGCGACGCAAGGGTTGCCCTGGATGGTGAAACTGTCCAGCTTGTTGAGATGGACGAGGTGGCAGATCTCATTCAAGTCCGGGATATTGTTGTGTGCCAGCCCTAGGTGTTCCAATTGAGAGGGGAGGTATCGGTCGCATTGTCGGAGGTCGATGATGCGGTTGCGTTCCAAGCTTAAATGCTGTACATACATAGTATTATTTATAACATGGAAAATTCATGAAAATCTTTAGAGATTGTATGTAAACGCGGGATTACTTATTATTTAAACTAGTCCAAACCTATAAAAATGAAGTTTAGTAATAGGGATGACAAGTGGCATTGCATTCAAAATCTGGCGAGACATCAATAGCAGCATCATAGTGAAACCTGAAGCCCAAGCACCGTAATAATATTGCTTTTCTATGAAAACAAAGCAGCGCCCCCTACCGGTCGTAAGAACCAAATGGCTCCTTCCATACAATTTGACGATAGCGAATGGATTACAGAGCTGTCAAAATTTCGAGCTTGGGCCTCTGAAATGACGAATCTTAAACTTTTTCTATAGCTTTCTCATTCACTTATACTTAGAAAAATAGTAATTTCCAACTTTTATTACACCAAATTTAATTTTAATCTACACGAACAAAGAAATTTGATGACTCATTTCTTTGTCGTACTATTCGTAAGTGGAATTCTTTACCCGCGCCCGTGCGTGAAAAAGCATTTTTGCAGGCCGGCAAGGTGAGGATGGTTGGTGTAGCAGTTTATAACTGCTGTACCAGCTATCGTCGCGTTTGGACTTTATAACCTCTTAACATCAGATGGGGTAGTCATTTGCCTACCTAGCTATAACAAAAAAAAAAGTCAACGGTATTAGCGACGGTCAAAATAAAACACTAAATATTATAACACTATTTTTTGTGTTAATTAAAAACTATTACTAAATATGATAAAACAAAAAATATAAAAAAATAAAATATGACAATAATTTTCTCAACTCGTGGCAGAAATCTGCTATCTCCTCAGATAGGGGTTTTTGACGTTGGCAGAAATCTTCAGAAATTTACACAGACCAGGGAACTAACCGCGGATTTAGGGACGTTGAATGAAATATAAAGCTCTTAGGCCGCTTATGCAGGGACCGCATCATATGCTGTAGCAATAGCCAAAGCAATCCCGATAGGCGGTACGCCCCCTGATGAGGCGGACATGACGTGTGACGAAAGCGATTAGAGAGAGATAGATTTTTTCTAGTAAATTTTCTTCAAATTTATGAATTTTGTAGTTAAATGTTCACAATGAAAAATATATTAATGTATAATCGAATTATTACTGGAAGAACTAACATTAATTTAGATGGGCTGAAAATAAGCTAGTTCCAAAATAATTAAAAAAATACCTTTAGGTACTTCAAATATGAGATGTCAGCTATAAATGAGATCTGGTTATTAGAGAGATCAAGGTGTTCCAGATGCATGTTGTTATTCAGATGCTCAATTGACTTGATACTGTTACCTAAAATATAAATGGTAATGTTAATTTGAGTTCTGATCATATTTTAGATAGCCAATGCAGTTGATTCTGGCATGATTCTCTAAACTTAAAATTGAATTTAATAAGAGTATATCCTTGCCATTCTCTATACAAGATGAGAAAGAGAGACTGATGCAAACTAAAACTCAAAAATCATTTATTCAGCAAGGGCTATTTTTTTCTTCCTGTATTATATACAGAGTCATCAAGTTGAAAAATTACTTCAGAGATACTTCTGCAGCCACCTTCCATTATATCCTCTAGAATATAGATATAAAGTTACATTGAATTTTATAGTTAAACTTAAGTTTAGTATATAAGAAGCAGCATTAGATACCATATTACTGTTATAAAAAAGGGGCTGTTCAAGTATTACGTAAGCACTATAGGGGGCAGGGGGTCTTTGTTTTGCTTATTTTTCATGACATGGAGGGATGGGGGGTCGAGATAATGATTACGTCAGCAGTTAGAGCTTAAAAATAATTGTATTAAATCTGCTTACGTAATACTTGAACGGCCCCATATGACCAATACCCCTGTAAATGTGTAATTGGCCTACAAGTTAGGTCATGTGTCAGGTGCTCAAGAGAGGCTAATTGTCATCTTGCAAATTGTAAGTTAATGTTAAATTTAGCTTTAAGTTTACAGAATCATGCCAGAATCGATACCAATATCTTAACAGGATCCAAAAGAAACACTACAATCTTTTCTTTTGATTGCTGTTAAATCTATTATTCAGTGTACAAATAGCCTCTGTAGCTTGAGTAGTATGGACACCAGTTTCAAGGTGTCGCCTACTCAGAGGTCTTGGGTTTCAAATCCCAGAGGGGCAAATGTTTTCATCATGAACAAGCATTTGTATCGAGGTCATGGATGTTTAAATGTATTTATAAATAAAAATACACTTATTTATTATGTATTAGTATGTATATTTTATGTGTTACCATAGTATCCCATAACAAAAGCCTAACAGTGCTTACTTTCAAAGCTACACTGATTTGTGTGTGTTGTAGAAAACAAAAATTATGTATGGGTTTACAGTACTAATAGAGATCTTCCCCTAGTATAAATAGTGGCACACATTGCTAGATTTCCAATAAAATTATTGCATACTACATTTTAATGATTCTCTGCAAGATGAAACCACATACTTAGATGGTTTGATAGGTAGCATTAACAATAATTATATCCATATATAATTATTGTACAGAATAGTAGACATTTACATTCACAGCACAGTTGACCTGCTTATGTCAATTTCTATATGTTCATTGTGCAAGTGAAGCGGAAACAATAGCCTATTTCTGTCAAGTTCTTGTAGCATCCTCTGGGTCTAAATTATATGTGATTATTACATGCTACAGTTATTAGGTAGTTAAAAAACTTCAGTAGAATAAATCACCCCGATGTGATTTCATTAATCTTCACCTCTGGTTTATTTAGACACTTGTAAACTAAATAAAAAAGTATTGAAACATATTAAATAAAAAGATATAGTTAGGTGTTGAGTAAATTAACAGTATTATAACAAATTATCTAAAGACACCACACAAAATCCAAGTAATGAATTAAAATAGTTGGAGCCTGATACATCAAATGACAAAAAACTATTGATTCATCCTTTTAAAATAATCATTGTAATTGAGAGATATTGAAACTAAAAGATTTAAAAAAATGCTCTGTGAACAGTTTGATGAGTATTATTAATTTTCTATGTCATTTATTTCTTTTTAATGAGAGATTGTTTGGTCTAAGATGGGTGATCAATAATGTATTGTCTCAAGCTCCTCGTTTAGAAAGCCAAGTGAAGCAGCCAGTTGGTGCCTGCATTTGCAGTGTTGGCATAGTACCCATCAATCTGTACTGGGCCCACATAGTAGGTCATGACATGACCCGTTCTCCATATTTCAGTCATAGGAACAGCATAATATACTTCAGCAGTAAGGTCATTTTTTTCTAGTGGTGAAGCAGGTATTACAGGGTTATCATTAAGAGGAACAGTATATGACTTCAACTTCATAATGTTAATGCCCCAATAATAAATATTTCTAAGAATTGACTCTGATTAATGGTTCTTACCAGCAAGTTTCAGTACTTTTAGATATATCAAGTCCTTCAGCCCTTCAATCTGAAGAATGCTATTGTTGTTCAGAGCCAGAATGCGAATGTTTGTGAGACGGGACACCCCATGCATACGCATAAGGAAATTGTTGCAAATTGATAGCTAAAACAAAGATAAATAAAATTGATGAACAGAAAGTGTATTGTTATGAATAATATCAATATATATAAAATATTTAGAAATTATTTGAATGTTTTGTAATTTCAGCATATGTAGTACTTCACTATATTTTAGGTGACATATTCAAACTAAAGACTAGTTTAAATTAAACGAAATTGAATTTAAACAACACTGTTTGATGGTCATATTTAATGAATGTAGGAGTTGAAAGTACGTTTGAAAGGAAGCTTACATTCTCGACACGGCTGTAGGTGTCGATGTTATCAAGCCTCTGCAACTCATTCTGATCGAGGATAAAATTAATAATCGTCTTAGATTCGTCCCCAGGCGCTTTCTCTATTTTCTTCAACCCACGCCTTGAGAGGTCCAGAGTTTCATTTTTAGACTCTTCTGTTAATAAAAAATACTGTTAAAATTACGGCGCTCCAACCTACGCTCCACAAGAAAAACAATACATACCCATTATTGAATAATTATTGCATCTTATAAATAAAAACTTGGTAAATGATGCAGTTTAGTTTTCCACAAAAATCAACATTTGTAAATTTGTCGTTCAGAAACCTAAACAAAAGTCTAAAATTGATCTTCCAAATTATGAACGAACTCAAACCTGAGTTCGCTAATTTGCAGTCATATTAAAATACTAAATATTCACATACACTGAGCAAATATTTTATGATGATCTTTTATAACAAATAAATTATTTAGATACATAACCTTCGCAAGCTTAGAAATACTATAAAGTTTCTGCATAGTTTTTGAACGATTCTTTAAGGTGATTGTCAAAGATTAGGGATGCATGATAGGAAACCTTTCCGGTTTTTCCTAATAACCGGCTTTCGTAAACGAGAATACCTATACGTTATAAATGATTTTATCTTTTATTGTATAAGTAATCTCTTCTAAATCCAAAAATGAAATGTAATAAGAAAATTGTTGGTATCCTAATTATTTAGTTTTTCTCAATCTTTGTAAACTTAATTAATGCCAATTTTAACTGAATTCTGATTTAAAAAACCTAAAACTGTTTTGTAGTACAAAAAACTAACCACTTCGTTTGCATGGTTTAATTGGATATCCTTATTATAATCTTCCACCTCCATTTTCATCCCTTTTAAAGGATAGTACTTTCGGGAAATTCAGGTATCAGAAATTGCGGTTTTGTCGTAGATATACAAACAAGGGCCATGTTCAAAAGATATGTTAAAATCAACGAGACCTAACCTAACTGTGGACTTGTAAGTTTTGTTTCTAGGTTGCTTTGAACTGTGATGTCACACCAAAGGTTCCAAATTAACACGCGTTTAAATAATAATAAATAAATAAGTATTTCCAACACTCACACCAACTAGCCTATCCCCAAAGTAAGCACTGTAAGGCTTGTATTATGGGATGCTAGGGTAACGGATAGAATACATATACTGTACATATATTAGCATATTTATGGAGATTGGCCTGGAGTACAAATGCTCGTAATCATCACACAAACATCCCTCACCGGGATTCGAACCCGGGACCTCGCGAGTCGGCGACATCATGAAAACCGGCGTACAAACCACTTGGCCATAGAGTTCGTAAAAAATGCAAGTGCAAAATGGCTGTTATAATATTATTTTTAGACGCATCACATAATTTTTTCGACGTTGAAAAATTTTATACTGTATTAAGAAAATGTATAATATGAAATCAAAATATAAAAAAATACTCATGCATACTCATATATTTTTGATTAGAATAAATTTGCATATTAGATGTTACAAACACTGACCCAAGAGTGATTATGAAAAATAATGGTCGGTACGAATCAACCGGTTTTTATTGACGTAAATTGTACTACACTACTTCGCGGTGGCGGCGGTTTGTTGTTGAGGTTAGTAAATTTAAAGAAATAATGTTATCTTTTAACAATAACAACAAATAGTCACTTCAAAAATATTCCATAAATATCAGGTTACGCCAGTAAACATCTGTATATGATTTAAATTGTATCTTTAATTTATTTCTACCGTTTTTAGAAGGGACGCGTTAGTTGACACTATGCAGTTTTGTTTCGCATCAGAAATTCTTCGGCTTCGAACTACGTAATTGAAATCCAAGCTTTTAGTTTTTCTTAAATTATTTTTTATAGTAGATTTTTTTTATAATTTGCAGCAAATTAAGAGCACCATATGATTTTCTATTTATAGCCATATTCACATAATTATAACCTCTCTTATTTAGGCGGGAGAATGGCATTGGCAAAGGGCCTGGGCCCACTACAAGTGTTGGTAGCGATACTCGTGGTGAGGCTAGCATCAGTATTCTTGGTGCAAACCTGGTTTGTGCCAGATGAGTACTGGCAGACTCTGGAAGTGGCCCACAAGCAAGTCTTTGGCTATGGCTCCCTTACCTGGGAGTGGGAGAAAGGAATCAGAAGTTACCTGTACCCTGCGTTGGTTTCTGTTCTGTACTCTGTGTTGAAATTTACTGGACTTGATTACCCTGAAGCCTTGGTAAGTTTGTTATTCCAGTTTGCTTCATAGACAATATTTTTTTTTTTTAAATAAGCTACAATATTGTCATTGTGATTCATCTTCAAGATGCATTGTACTCTGTAATGCAGTGTCAGTTTATAATTTGCATACATGAAATATCAAACTAAAGGCATAAGGAAATAATTAATTTCAGTGACCTAAATAGCTGTTTTGTTTACAGGTGATTCTGCCTCGTATATTTCAAGCACTCTTCAGTGGTTATGCAGACTACTGCTTTTATCAATGGACTGGGCGCCGCAAGTGGGCTCTATACCTGGTGCTTACCGCTTGGTTCTGGTTCTATACATGCAGTAGGACATTGCTGCAAACAGTTGAAACAGCATTACTTATAATAGCGCTGTCAAAGTTCCCATTTAAAGATGGAAAACTAAGCTATTATGAAAAAGGTTGGTTTATTATAAGATTAATTTTTGTTAATCAATAAATTTATCATTAGGTTTTTTTTATGAAACTATGTGCTGGAAAATAGAGATAGTCTGGATATTATTATTGTTTTGATTTTGGGGCTATGCAGTCCTACTGGGACTGTAGTCACTGCTACCTATAAGATCTTTTGTGACTCACCACCACGTTAAAGTATCTCTTTTAACCCGACAGCCAGATAGTCTTGGTAGATAAGCCACAATAATGATTAATCCTGAAATTGATAAGAACTGTGCTGTGGCTCTGCCTTTCCTTCTTGGAATATGATTATTGTGTGAAAAATAAATTAGGTAAAATTAACACCCTTTTATAAAATTGAATACATTTTTATTGATTCTTTTAGTAGTTTCCATAAATACAATCACTTGTGGAAGCTAACTTGTTTACAGTAAGAAATAGCAGCTCAATCTTTAGAATAGCCTGATTAATAAACATATACTGCAGAATAAATTATGTAATTTGATATTATTTTGTTTTAGAAAGTACTCTATGGCTATGGATTGCTGTGTTGTCTGTGTTCATAAGACCCACCTCTGCGCCGATGTGGATTGTTTTTGGATTATACAATCTTTTCACTACTAAAGAAGGAAGACTGAGACTGGTTGTCAGAACCTATGTGCCTATAGTGTAAGTTTGTTTTTGAGCTGTTATAGTCACAAAGAATTGTAATTGAGTAATGAGGAAATAACTAATGACATTTTTTTAAAAAATATGTTAAACTGATGACAGCACTTCCCTTTGTTATTCCTGTTGGCTGTTTGTGAACTTGAAATCAGTCGGTCCTTTTCATTCCCTATAAAGCATGATAAGAACAGAATTAAGAAGTTTACAAATGGCAAATACTAAAATTTTCTTTTGGAATTCAGAAGGCAGATCATTATTATTCTAGTACTCAAGGGGTTGGGGAGAGGCAAAATAAAGGGTGCCATTTGGTTGCAGAAAAGTTTGCCTTTGCCCCTGTTGATGAAAACCCCCTCCACTGTATCAACACCTTTTAACATTTTAGCACTTTGTTCAGTTACCCAACATGAAATGATAATGACCATACATAGATTCATATTTAAAAGTTGTGTTTATGTTTATAGATTAATTGCTGGAGGAGCTTTGGTTGCTTTGGATTCATATTTCCATGGTGTTTGGATTGTGACCCCATGGGAGTTTTTCAAGTTTAATGTAATTAATGACATTGGTTCATTCTATGGCGAGCAACCTTGGTAAGTTAAATTATGACAATTAGCATTAGTAATAGTTTGATTATGCAAGATAGCATAGCATTTTTATGTATTTTTTTATTATTATTCAAAATGTCAAAGAAGGTCAAATTAAAATGCGAATTTACAACTTTTTACCCGGCTGCGCAATGCAAGAGCGCGAAGCGCGACGCGCAGACAGGGTTATGTGTTTAACAGTCTATATATGTATGTTTGTTCCTTTGTGGCACACTAGAGACCAAACGCCTGGACCGATTTTGATGATTCATACATCAATCGATTCGTCTCAATCATGGGAGTGCTACTAAAGATATGATAGTAATCAAAATTCAGTATGGGCAAAATTAGGCGCCATATTGTGACGAAGTAAAAAAAATAAGTTGACAAAATATGTCGAGTGGGGTATCACTGTCTAGATAATCAAAAATCATATTTAGGTTCCTAACACCATTTTTCATTGTATATGATTGTTTAGGATCTACAACGCTTTAAAGTTGTATATTAACCACTTACGCTTTTAATTTCAATCTTACGTTTGTATGGTTTTTGTTGCTCTTTCACCAAAAAAATACTGAATGGATTTTAATGAAACTTAACAGTAATATAGCTCATATATGATAACTACATATATATAATAATTTATGTAGTTATTGAGTGAATTGGCCAATATATAACAATAAGTTTCACATAAGACGAAAAAAAATCTCCCATTTGCGAGCCATTTTGGCCTGCACTGCAAAAACAATAAAAGTTACATGAATGTAATGTAGAGTGAAAATGTTTCTCTTAAATAGTTCTAAAAAAAGTCCGTGACACCATATATCTATTTTTAATGTGTAAGTCATTACCGCTAAAATAGTGAATCAAAACTAAAATATTATTTGATATCTATTTCCAAAATGCACATTTTGTATTAACAAATCATGTTTTATAACAAAAACAAATACTTTTATCGCTTTTGATATTTAGAGACGATAAACTTTGCTTTTTACAGTATGTCATTCCGAAAAATATTTAAAAAGTTACAACGATGACAAAGTGATAGCGCGGTGTACTATGTAAAAGAAAAAAAATGGGGTATTCGCAGTATCTGATCCTATACGAAGTACTAACAATAAAACTGTGATACAGTTCTTTCTTATTGAATGATGAAAAATATATTATCATAATAGGTATTCATGATTATTGAATTTTAATGAAAAACTCAGAATTTTACTGTTTCTCATTTTTTTAACGATATTACTTAATGTTACAAAAAAGGTTTACTTAATATAATGACAAATAACCCATTTTTCGCTAGTAAGTACATACTTATTGTATCCCTGTATTTATTAATCAGCTCGCGATAATATTGGTTCTGTAATTATTCTGCAAAATTCAAAGTAAATAATGTAGATTTTTATAGGTAAATCACCCCTTTCATCACCCTACGCCTATAAGTATTGCGATGTTGTAGCTAAGAACCAAGTTCCCATCTACTTCTATATGGGAATTCATTATATTCGATTTAGCTATTAGAGCACGGAAGCGCAACAAACAAACTCACTTTCGCATCTATAATATTATATTATACTTACTAGTGATCCACCCGGGCATTGTACGGGCGAAATTTATTTATCGTGATAAAATATAGCCTATGTCACTCGGACAAAATGTATTTAAATAAAGAAAAATGTTGTAATAAATAATGTAACTACCTTATGATGAATTAATATTTGAAACCGATTCAGTAGTTTGACAGATTATTTGTTACAAACATACAAATCTTGCCTTTTTATAATATTAGTATAGATAGTTAGGATAAGATAAGTATTTAATTGATGAAAAAGATTTAAAAATAAAGTAAGTAATAGGTTTACTTGATTATCTTTGTAAAAGTTACTTAGCATTTGTGCTTAACAGTGATACGGTATTCGGTATTTTTATAACAAAAAAAATATTTGGAAATTAATTGCCATGATTGCACTACTGAGAGTACTCTTCATTCGAGCTTTACACTACCAATAAAAAAAAGGTAAATTTAAAAAATCAAAAAACCCGTCTGCTTAATTATACTTCAAATAAAAACTGAAAAGAAAAAAACAGGTCCAGTAGTCTATAATTCTGTTAATAAGGAACAAAGCTACTTTAACAGTCGGGACCCATTAGATATTCAAGAATACATAATATTTTTCAACAGTGGGTCCCGACTGTTAAAGTAGCTTTGTTTCTTATTAACAGAATTATAGACTACTGGACCTGTTTTTTTCTTTTCAGTTTTTATTTGAAGTATAATTAAGCAGACGGGTTTTTTGATTTTTTAAATTTACCTTTTTTTACTTATGTTATCACACATTCCAATCATTAAATGAAACACTTTTAAGTGGTAAAAATATAAGTGTATGGCTATTTGCATTTCATGTTAAAAAAATTAGAACATGAAAGATATATTATCTTTTATTCAGGTATTGGTATGTGACACATGGATTGGTATCAGTGATAAGTGTGAACGTACTGCCTTTGTTGCTGGCTCTTTTGGCTGTTCTCCAACGACCCAGAGAACATAGAGTGAGTCTAGTGCTGTTGGCCGCCGTTGCTGTTCATATTGCCGTCCATAGGTAAATATTGGAAGAACAGTTGGAAATAAATTTGGCTGTATCGGAAATCATAGTTGTATTTTTAGGCAAAATAACAAGTAGTAGACTCGCATTTGCCTAACGTGCATCAAAAAACGTCTGAGCTATACTGTTTTCAATTGCAATTAAAGGAGATTGCTCAAATTGGCCCAAATGTACAAAAAATATTGACATATACCGTAATTCTTGGCATAATTTATACTTTATTTTACAGTCACTAGATTTTAACGGACACCTTTGTATAATATATTCCCTTTTAAAAAGGACTTTTAATTTTACCGGTTTGGAAAAAAAACGAATCATTTTTAATGGCTATGGGTGTAGTAACATTCAGCCAAAGACTGATCGAAGTTGTATAAATAACATCAAAACAAATCTATTTTGTAAGAATCGATAAAATAAAACATTGTTTAGTTACACTGTGGTAATAATATCCACAAGTATATTATAATTTTTACTATATGCAAATGTGCTAAGACATTATAGATGGTAGGCGACATCATAAAGTCTATTGCCATACATTTTTCGCCATACACCTCCATAAACACATTATAAGGTGTGATACACTAAAAATCTAAAATATGGTTATAATATAAACATAACAAAAATAATAAGCTTTCTTTAGTTAACCAGAGTTTAAAAATTCTCTCTAATCTGTCGCTCATTCACACACAAATTCTGTACACAGAGTACCTTATTATAACCAGAAATGCATAGATGATACCTGATTTTAAAAGGGTCTCTTATGCATTGCCTTTAAAAACAGGCAATCTATTAATTTACACGCTTTATATACCTGAATCTAATACATAATTTCGCTACTTGGTTTGATTTCCCTAGTTTGCTATATAACTTATTTGTTTTTTATTATTTTAATACCTATGTACCTATTTGCAAACATAACCTCAAAATCATTCAGTGTATATGGTTTATAGAAGTTCTCAGGGGTGTCCGTCAATAATATTCGTTTCTACAGTAATTTATATATAATTTTAAATCTAGGAAACAATTTTTCATGATTATTGGTCTTTAGGCCAAATATGTATGGAAGCTGAGCAATCTCCTTTGGTGATTATGGCTGCGTCTCATTACGTGACGATTCTGCCAATATCTGGGTTAAAGGAGACAAATACTACAAATACACCTGTCAATTGTTTGTATACAAGGGAGAAAGAGAGAGTTTGATTATGATGCGATAGGGATAAATAGGATCACGTGACTCACGGGCCGCACACGAGGTTGTATCTATTAATAATTTAATTAATTACCAATACGATAGAAAACTAGATAGTTCCGTAATTTTGTTATTTTAATTAAAGGGGCACTTACCTAAAATACGGCATTCTATGTTTTTTAAGTATTGATCTGGTGTTATTGCAGTGTTTTAACTGAAAACTGTCATTGCGTGGCTTTGTATTCAAAGCGCGGTCGAAACGCGACTGCTTGAAAATTACCCACAATAGACGCGTGTGCGTAATTTTGTTTCCGACGCTTTTTCAGCGCGTTTCTCTGTCTGCTTGTTTTTATACATCAGTTATACATTTAAAACATAACAAATTCAACATTTGTACTCAATTCATCTTAATAATTTGTTACAATTTTAATCCGATGCATTTTATCATGTAACCTGATTGATGTTTTCATTTTCAGTTACATTTCACACAAAGAACTAAGGTTTTTGCTGCCTGTGGTGCCATTACTTTTATATGTGCAGCAAGAATTCGTAGTGCGTTGGAGCAGAAAAGCACCCAAGTAAGTAATGCTCAACATCATTATCATCAGCCTAAAAATGTCTGTACTGCTGGGGCACAGGCCTTCTCTATGGATGACATAGGGAGCTAGGGCCGTGACAAGGGTTGCCATGTAGAATTTCCAAAGTCCTGACAATAATCCTGACATTTAGAAAAGAATCCGGCCTTTTTAGTCACAAAATGGTACCATTACTCACTTAGTTACAATGGTATGGTATTTAAATCAATATGTCCTTTTATTATTCCTATTCAATGTAATATAAAAAGTCCGGACAATTTAAAGATCCGGACAAAGTCCAGACTATAGTCTAAAAGCCCAGTCATGTCCGGACTAATCCGGACGGATGGTGACCCTAGCCGTGACCCACACGCGGGCTCAGTGCGGATTGGTGGGTGCTAACGGCTGCATGCGCAGCCGGGGCCAACGGATAAACTTGCCTTTCGAAGCACGGAGGAGTTCGAAATAATAAGTTTTTGGTCTCCCATCTAATGGCCGACCATTGCGAAAGATGCTTAACTTCCATGATCGCAGGCCGAACGCGCTAACCACCTGCGCGATCGAGCTCAAGTAATGCTATTGGTTTAAAATAAAATAGAAATGAAAAGTCGAACTACGGCAAGTTTTTGGCATTGGTTTAGTTTTTGGGGCATATTATTTTATACTATGACTCAAAAGGGCCGCGGACTACAGGTTACGAAGGGCGGCGAAAAGCAGGCAAGCATTTTAGCCTCTTTTGATAGAATTAGGATCACAAAATCTTTGGACTTGGCTTGGAAGGTAAAATTTAATTAATACTAGATTCGACTAGTACTGGTTGAACTAGGGTCGATAGTGATTTAATAAAACATTTTATACAATAACAGGTATGATTCGCGATTTATTAAAAAAAATACATTATGTTTGACATTTCAGATCCTGTTTAGGCTGGCAATGTTTTCTTAAAAGAAATATTGGTATCGATTCTGGCGTTATTCTCTAAACTTAAAACTAAATTTAACATCAGTCTATCCTTTTTATTCTATATAAAGAATGGCAGGGATACACTGTTTGCAAATTTAGAGAATCATCATCAATCATTGACGACCTCCGTGGCTGAGTGGTTTGTACGCTAGGTTAAATGGTGTCGCCGACTCGAGAGGGGGGCAGATGTTTGTATGATGAATACGAGCATTTATACTCCAGTCATAGATGTTTAATATATATTTCTATATGAATATACTTATGTACAGTATATGTATTCTATCAGTTACCCTAGCATCCCATAACACAAGCCTTACAGTGCTTACTTTGGGGCTAGGCTACTTGGTGTGAGTGTTCGAAATATTTATTTATTTAAATTTAGAGAATCATGCCAGAATCGATACCATTGTTATACTAATTTTATTTTACAATGTTCCTATTTTCTTATATAAACTTTTTAAATTACAATACTTTAGCCTGTAATTCTTTTTTCTACTTTGGTAAGCTTTCGTTTAGCCAAAGGTAATTCTTCCATATTCATTCAGGACAATTCATTCATATTAACTCATTGTATTGATTACAGATGGCAACTCAACATATTCGCCGGATTAATACTATTGGGCAACGTATCGTTGTCCGGATACTTTGGTGTGATGCATCAAGCAGGCACTCTGAAAGTTATGCCGATGTTGAGAGATGCTGCCTCGGAACGAAACGATACCACACTACTGTTCCTCATGCCTTGTCACTCTACACCTTTGTATAGGTCAGTGGTTCATAAATGAATATTTCAGTAAATTCATATTATTTAAGTGCTTTTAAAGAGTACACAATAAATCTATACAGAATATATAAAGTGTACATCATTTACGATTAATATATAAAAAATATTTTTAAATTAGTTCAGTTAATACAAAACGAAGTAACTCGCTGGCCAATGACTGGTAAAAATATTTTTTTTGTGGGTCATAAAGGGTTCATGTCCATAAATTACGTCACACGAATTTCATGATTTTTGCCCCTCCCCCTGTCCTTGTCACAGCTGGTCACATTTGTGAGACCCCCCCCACCTCCATAGTGTGACATCACATATTTTGAAACTTTACATTTGAGTGAAAACAGCGGTTCTGTAATCAGTTTTATTTCCATTTAAATTGTTTTAAAATAATATTAATATCAAATCAAACAATTAACAAAACAAAAAAGGATTGACTTTATTAATTAAAGAAATTAACAAAACAAAAAATATTAATAACATTATAATTAAATTAAAGATACAAACTTAATAATCTTGAGTCTATGGACATTGAACCCACTCCTTTAAATTATTTATAACTGGCATAGCACCACTTTCTCGTTTGGGTTGTTAATGTTTTCGTAAAGTAATAGTTTCAACACTTAGATTATAATAGATTTTGAAATATGACGTCACGACATTTAGGACCCCTCCCACCCTCTTGTCATGCGATGTCACACTTCGTCGACCCCCTCCCTCCCCTTTAACGTGTGACGTAATTTATGGATAATGGCCCCTAAGGTTGATTTCACATTTGCCTTTTCTCACCTTTATCGTTTTTTTCAAAGTATCAGGTATAATTTGTAAAAATAACTTGTTCGTTTTATAAGATTAAAGGTCGCATGTGCGAAATAACATTTTGTTAGTTGTAACCTAATTCCCTTGTGAGATAGTTTTTATTATAATATATCTTTCTTCATTGGGATATTAATAAAGTAGTTGCTATCTGTATTTAATATGACCATGATGCTGCGATTTTGCTTGCTCTGCGATTCAGAGAGAATGAATAATTAACAACTTTGTCATAGTGTCCAGAAAGAGAAACATATTCACGGCAACTTGAAAATTGATTTTTTTATTTAGTTGTTTTACTGAAATACACAACACAATGATGAAATGAATTAGTAAATAACATGAGATTGTTTTCTAACACTCATCAAATGTCCTATTTTGCAAATCACTATAGTATTACGATTGTTCTACAGCCGGGATTGTTCAACTATAATATTACATGAACATCACCACTATAATATATTTTTGGTCACTATAATATTATGATTGTTCCGCAGCCATCTTCACATGAACATCACCACAAAGTATCTCTCCTGCGCGCCCCCTCTAGAATCCATTGGTCAATCGACAGAAGCGGAGACTTTCTTCAACAACCCGCTACGGTGGTGGAGGAACGAATACTTGAACAGAGCGACTCCCCATCTATTGGTTATGTTTGACAAACTCAAAGGAAGAGTGGAGAGTGTATTGCAGGGATATCGGTTGTTACACGACGTTTATCATACGCAGGTGAGTTTTAAATCACCGTATTATACACATAGGTAGTATAATTTTACTATAGTTAATGTCACGTCAAATACATAGTTAATGTGCCAAATTTCGTCAAATGGATGTTTTTTGTCTAGTATTTTAATTATTATAACGCGGCCTTAGTAAGCATTAAATTTACTTTCGTGCAATCTTCTTAAAAAATACCCTAAGGAACCTTATCAAAAGCCTGAAAAAAAAGTTATGGAAACTTAAAAAAACGGCCTTAGCAAGCATCACCTTCAGTTTCACGCAACTTGCTTAAAAAAACATGAAAAACATGATGGAAAGTTATGAAACCTAAAAAAAATATGAGATTGATAGATCATTCGCTAGGTCGTGAACAAGAGAAATAGAGATTCAGTTTTATTTATAAAAGCATTGTTAGCCTATTAATGTCCCCATTTATGAGCTAAGCCTTCCCTATGGATGGAATAGGGAAACCGGGCCATGACCCATCACGCGGGCCCAGTGTGGATTGGTGGGTGCTAACGACGACAGATGCAACGGAGGCTTAAAACGTGCCTTCCGAAGCACAAAGTGAGATATTAGTTTCATGGTCACCCGTCCTATCATTTGACATTGCGAAAGTTGCTCAACTTCTACGATTGCAGAAGGAACGTGCTGGCCTCTATTACCCGCCTACCTTCTACTTTTTCCTATTCCTCTACATATAAAACTGATGTATGTAGTGATATGACATTCTTATATAAAGTTATAAATAACGGTTTCACTTGCGAAGCTCTTTTATCACGCATTGCACTTAATGTGCCACACACTGTCCCGCGATTTCCTATCACCAGACAACTTTATACTCACGCTGTCGCACTAATATTGGTCTGTCCTCTCCAATAGTAAGAATGTGTAACAAGTACAAAATGTTAAATGGTGTTTCGGGCGACCTCAACATCATGCACGACTCCTTACGCTCTTTTAGATCTGGAGTGTTGAAATCACTTGCCAAATAAATTAATTTTAATTGTATTTTTGGCTAAATTTGATTTTGCTTGACTGATTTCATATTTTTTTGATTCACTGTATTATATTAATTTTAATTATAAATTTGTTCTTTTTCTATGATTGTAATTGTTGACGATGATTAGGATAATTATAAATGTTGTACATGTCTTTAATAAATGTGCACATCAGGTACTATTTTTGTGATTTTTTTATTTGTTTTATATATATACTGTTGGCGTGGCTAATAAAGAAAAATAGTTTTATAATAATATTAGCGGTCCAAGCACAAATTTCGACATCTCCGCAATCGTATCGTCATTAACAAATTTTGTATGGAAGGAGTCAGTTTGTTCTAACGTCCGGCAGGAGCGCTGCTTAGTTTTCATAGAAACCTTGACGATGCGATACGATTACAGAACTGTCACAATTCGTGCTTAGGCTTTTGAATATGTTTAGTGAGTTCATTTTGCCACCTATACATTATTAAAGTTTTTATTTGAATGCAAACATATTATTTATATTAAATACTTTTTCTTCTAGTATCCCGAAGGAGAAGTGGGTGAGAGAGTGCTTGTGTTCCAGAAGATATTGAGCCGTCCGAAGACCAATGACGACGTGGTTTAAAATTTCACAAGCCAATATGAACTTTAAGCCTTGCTCTGTAAATTGAAAAGCGCATACACCGTGCGTATCATAGTTTTTTCTTTCATTTATATTTTGTTTGAAATCGGAAACGTTTGTTACTCCACTGCCTACGTAATTGATTACTAAGTAGGTGTATATTACCACAGTTCGTAATACATACTAAAATTGTATATAAAATCTATGGATTCATAGAATTAAAAAAAAAATTTGGCCTATTTAAGTTCAGTAGTTTAGTCGAATACGTAAATTGGTTGAATTATTAAGTATTTCCGGGATCTTTCTTTTAAAAAACACCATAAAAAATTAAAAGAAGCTATGAAAATGTATTGCGCGGTGCCCCGCTCCGGCATTGTGACTGTTCTAACGCCTGAACGACTTCTAGGCCCATTATGAATCTTGGAAAGGATAATCTGTAAAGAAATACCTATAATCAGTAAAATAAACTAAAAAATGATACCAGTCATGCTTTGAAAAAATCTTGTTTGAAATATAAAACATCATAATAATTTCTTTTGATAAATACAATTCGAAAGCTTATTAAGTCAAGTACACATTCCAATACTTTGTTTATTTGATTATAACTTGTTATTAGATGGAACTTGGGTTTGTAGTAATGCATACTTATATAAAGTTCAATGCCCTTTAACTCGATAACAATAAAATGTACCACAAAAATATTATATATCTGAATCGGACATATGTAGATGTAATTCATCCAAATTGGAAACATCAACATTTTTTACCTCTCTGCTTCACGTCGAATGCCCCACCTGCGAAATGGAATAGGTACTTGAGTATTTTTTCATTTAAATTACTTTTCAATTTACAGAGTAGGCACGCTTTAGTGTTAATGGATAGACTGCAATGCACTGTTCTTCCACAATTTACGTCATAAAATAAATATAACGTCGTAAACCGCATACCCCTGTTGGTCAAATCTACTCTAATGATATTTTTATAAATTAAAAATAAACATTGACTGAGGTATTGGGGTAATTACTATGCTCTGAGCGTAGTTGAAAATCGCTATGATAGTTAATAAATGCTATGCCCACGTAAATGACAATCATAATGATTTGAATTATTAAATTATAATAAATTGTAATAAGTGAATTTATTAATAAAATCGACGCGGGTCAGTTTAGCCCCAAAATATTGTTTCAAATAGAATCATATTATTTTTATGTAATGTATTTAATTTTTACTTCATAAACTTTTGTTGTCATCTTAAGAGTGTCACATTTGTATTTATGTATTGTTCAAATTTGTAATTTATAAAAATATGACCACAAAACTCTTTTTATATAAAGAAAACCTGAATCACGGTTAAGTAATGTGTTCAAAAATTTAGCTTAAGTTAAAAGTAACCCTTGTCTCTTACTTCTTAGGGCTATCAGAATGAGAAAAACTAATTTAAGGATTTTAATGATTTAGGTGTATACAATATGTATAACTTATGGTTTCAAGAGTATTCTTAGTAAAACTTCTTTCTACATATTATGGTGTCACAGTTAATAAGAACAAAAAAAATATATTATGTTTATTCTTCAAAGAACACTTCCCCATTTAATTTACATTTAAACAGTTGATCCATGACTGAAGTTTTTATTCAAGTACAAATCGATATCTCCTTTTTATATATAGCTTATTATACTTGCCAAAGTTAGTTATTTGTTTATTTAAATACTAACATATCTTATGGTTATGATGTATAAACTTTGCATTTTACAGGCTATGTATGATGGCTGATTGCTATATTGTGTTATAGTAATTTAATGTTGTTAACATTCTACCACCGATTAAATATATAGTTGACCATATACATCTTATATGTTTCTAAGTAAAGGACAAAATCTCACACAGTTTGACATAATTATGCGAACTAGATTTAACCTACATCTTTGTGTGTAAAGTGCAAAAACCTTGCAATCATACAGAAAACATTGTCTAGAGAGCTTCTACATATTAATATAGCCAAAAACATATTGATAACCCTTTTTAAAAAGACAATATTAGCACTCCTTAAAAATAATCGTCTCAATGTTTTGTCCAAAAATAATTTGATTAAACATATCTGTGTTACTGATAACTTTTATTGTTGGCAGATATATATCTAAATCTACTTCGTATAAAAATGTAATTTTTTTATCAAATCAAAGTGCTTTACATTTTTGTGACCTATTTTTACAAAGATAAACATAACATGTCTATGTGGAATGTTTGTTTCTAATTTTACATAAAAAAACCATGGTAGATTACAGAATTTGCATTTGTCTCCATTGTAGACTAGAAAAAATGTATTTCATAAGCAATATAATTAGTAATAACGTACATAATATAGTAGAATTCGCAACTACATATTGCAATATCAAACCTTGATATTTTTTTTAAATACGATCTTGAGAAAAAATACTTAAAATTCAAATTTATTATGTATTTCATTAAAAACTGAAATAGTCTTGTAGTAATTATAAAATGAAAATCTATTTATATTTCATTATTATTTTGAATAATAGTTTTATTATTTTTAATGTATTTCTTCTTATTCATTACCATAGACTATTATATTTAGTAGAATAGACTCGACCATTGACTTGCTCAAGTTTTAAAGACACAAGTATTGTAAGATCTTTACAATGTAATGTTGTCTTTGTATATTAATTAAGAACATTCTAGTATACTTAGACTGTATTTATTAGGGGTTGTACCATATCAATTTCTATACATGTGTATTTCAGTATTTTTGTAAATTCAACTCTTTAGTTAATGTAACTCATATCTAGTAAATAATGAATAAGTCAATATTAAAATCAGTACTGAACATTCTCTTGTGAGGTCAACCTCTAAACCATTTTTATGAACTTTGAGCAATCTTTAGGTAAAATGTTGTTTTCTTGTGTAAGTAAAGGTCTTCTATAATAGTGATGTCAAGTGTGAATTTTATTAATAAAGATTTTATTTTTAAAATGTCTCCATCAATGCAAGTTTTGCTTTATATTGCCATTTGGAAATATGTAGTATATTTACGTAACACTATTGCGCTATAGATGCAACGACGTTCTGAAAATAAGTTTTAGATAACCATAATGAATGACAGTCGGGGTAGACCTTTAAAACCACGATTACAAATTAGAAGATACGCAAAATTTGGAAGCTCGTTATATTGCCTTGAGATATCGGGGAAGGCAAGTACGTAACCGATTCTTTATAACCCATATTGATTGTCAGTTCAAGGGTCACAGATATCCAGTAATACATTACAAACGATCGAAATCGCCTTCAGTACTAGACGCGTCGTTAATTAAATTACTAACATGTTTCAAAGATATTGCGTTGTTTTCATAGTTATTGTTTCCAATTATGTCGAAGCTGTGATGGATTTTGCCAATTTGACAAACAGTGCTAATTCTAAAGTTCTCATCAAAAATAATGACAAGGGCAGCCTGGTTTTTGTGTTCGACACAACTGGTTCTATGTACAACGATTTGAGGCAGTTGCGGGAAAGTGCCGAAATGATACTGAATACAGCTTTGGAGGAGAGCAATATCATCGAGGATTTTGTTTTTGTGCCTTTTCATGATCCAGGTGATACTTTTCGTAAAAATATAAGTATGTCAGGTCAAGGCAAACAGCTTGCCAAAAATAGTTTAGCTACAGATAAATGGTTTTTAAAAGCGTGCGGACACTTCGGCAGTATCACAAGACAGATTTAGCCAAAAGTAGGAGAGCCCAAGCGGGGATTCTTGTACTAACTGGAGCGCGGCAGAATAAATAAGGCGGGAGAACTTTACAGTAAAGTTCTCCCACCATACCTGGGGGCCAATCGCTTAACTGGATTGCTTTGGAAAACGCTATCGCTTACGATTTCATTTTGTTATTTCTAACCGCCGAAATACCTCACGCTCATTTTCTTTAACATTGTTATTACCAATGCAAAAGAAAAAAAAAGAGCGCGAGGCATTTGAAAACCTCAGGGCGATAGTAAGCGATAGCGTTTTCCAAAGCAATCCAGTTAGGCGATTGGCCCCCTGATAGCCCTTTATGTAGAGCTGAACGTCTAAGGCCACAAAAGATTTTTTTTCAACAAACAGCCATGACTTCTGGTCGCGTCCAAATCGTCAGTCTATTGAATGGGAGCTACTGGAGGGTTCACTTAACATCTCTTCTTAATGTCTGCCGTGCTCTATTGTTTTTCCTATATTCTATCCCTTCATACGGCCCCCCTCACACCATGCAAACCGGCAGATCAATATTATTCCCTCATTAGAAAAGTTACGCAAACCATCCAGTAGCTTCTATTCAAAAGACTGACGATTTCGAAGCGACCAAAAGTCATGGCCTTTTGTGGAAATTTTTCTTTTGCGGCTTTAAGACGTTCGGCTCTACATAAAGGGCTATCATGTTTGGTGGGACAACATATTCGATTTGGACACGACCAAAAGGCATGGTCCTTTGTTAAATTTCATTAGATGTTCGGCCCTACATAGAGAGCTCAGGGTATGGTCGGAATACTATACAAGGTTGCCCCCGTTAAGTTATTCATGTAGCACTCGAGTAAATTTCCGAAAATCCCCGCTTGGGCTCCCCTACTACAATATACCAGTGTCATCATCAGCTTATTAATGTTCCGACGCGAACGCGATAACCACTTGCGCTATCGAGCCTCTTAAAATCCCAGAATATTTTGTCTATATACGTCCAGAATGAGCTTGTTTATTTAAGTTAGATTAAAAAATGCACACAATGTAACAAAAAACATGATAGGTATTCATAGTTCAAAGTCTTGTACTATATTTGTAGGTACGTGAAGTTCTTTACCATACAAATCAAATTATTATTTAGCTTAAGTAGGTAAGATGAAAAAAATGTGTTTTATTTTATTTTCATGATAATATCGATAATGTGTTGACAATGATCATTAAAATAAATGCATTATAAATCGGATGTTGTTAAGCTTGCGATTAGCTTGTATGTAAGTGACATTTATTATTGCCCTTGACTATTACTGGAAGGTAAAAACATGCGCTCTATTTATGTTGAAGTTCTTAGCCTATTCTATATATCAGTATTTACAAAGTTAAACAAATAAGGAAGAGGGTTATCCTTAGCTTCAAACGTGTAATGTGGGTGGATTCAATTTGACGTAGTAAAATATACAAATGTCTTTAGATCTGGCTAATGTAAGGAACTAGAGATTGACCACGATTGATTTTGATGAAGGTTGATTTTTTAACAACTTTTATTTATTAGCTCTCATCAGAAAACTATTAACGGAATATTATTACATTTTATTTAATAAAATATATTAGATAGAGGGAGGACCCAGATCTTTTCTTATGGAGGCAGCGATTGCTTGAGCCTCTTGAGTCGCCGCTATTAGCATTGGATTTATTTTATTCTTTTACACAACGGTTTGTCACGTTGGTTGTGGATGTCGATGGCGCAGTGGTTCGCACGTTCGGTATGCGATCGTGGAAGTTACACAACTTTCGCAATGGCTGGTAATTTGATGGGTGATCAAATATTTAATATCTCAAGCTTCGCCGTGCGTTGCAAGACACTTTAAGCCGTTGGCCCATCTTTAAGGAAGACTCCAAGTAGTGGGGACATTAATAGTCTGATGATAATCTCACATTGCCGCACCTCAATATGAAAGTTGAACCTACAGTACCATTAGCACGAACCGATATCGAATTAGATTTCAATACGCGTCAAATGTCAAGAAGTTTTGTTTGAAAGATTTTTAATTCTGGTTCCTTCCGTTGTGGCGCTGTTCAACTTTCCATACAAAACTGCTTGACATTTGACGTGTACCGAGATCGAATTCAATAATTCGAATCCGATATTGGTTCGTGCTAAGAGTACTGATCTTACATTGCCGCTCTGATCAGTATGAATGGCGATCTCATGAATACGAATGGTGGGTTCTAGGTGTCGGCCCACCGACAGTGACTCGGCACAAGACCGTGTTCAAATCCGCCCTGAACATCGTCCGAGTGTATGGCGGGGGAGACTGCCCGGAAAAGTCTCTATCCGGCATCAACATGGCGCTAGAAGTGAGCCGGCCAAGATCCTTCGTTTACGTGTTTACTGATGCCACAGCCGGAGATCATAGACTGGTGGGGAAAGTGCTGGATATGGTGCAAAGGAAGCAGAGTCAGGTTAGTGTGCGGACAGCTATAGAAACAATAGGTATAGTGCGATTCAAATAAGAATAGGAAAGCCAATGACCTCCATCTGTCAAATGTCGCTTGAAAAGTACAGTTTGTAAAAAAAAACTGATCACTTTTTTACAGTCACTTTTTATTCTAGAATTAACCTCAGCTAATTCTAGAATCTCCCTACCGCAACGCATCCTAATTGGAATCGAAATGGAGTCGCCTCGCCTCGAGACATTAGCTTTTCCGAGGCGAGGCGATTAAGTTTCGTGTAATAATGTACCTACCTGTAATTACCGATGCCCCATCATAAGTGTCTCACAGACAGACACGTCCTACGGCCACGTTTGGAATGAAGTTCCATTTCGGACGGTTTGGCGGATGGGGTTTAGACGAAAACACATAATTACAACTCTAGCTACGGCCCTGTATCACAGGTTAAAATTGTGTACCAAGTGCCGACTTTCCGGTTATAATAAGGTACTCTGTGGTGCCGACATCCAGTTATCCTCACAGATTACTTTAAATGTAGCAAGCTAGTTTTCTTTTTTTTTGTTTTATTAATTCATGACCTTGGCTACAAGTCCTTCAGTCGTATACATAAATACAAATCCTTATCTTCATTTATTATTTACATTAGAATGTCGGCGTGACGCATTCTAATGTTTCCTTGAGTGTTTGGCACGAAATGTACCGAGTTGGTTTTTCCGATAAGCTTCTGTGAGGTAGTCAACACTACAATAAAGTTCTCACGTCCACTTGACCGGAATAGCGTATATTTTAAATATTCGACTAATTCCTCATTTGCGCAAATGGTTGTAACACAATTAATCACACCAATTTTATTTCACAATACCCACTATGAACGAATTTATGAATAAATAAAATAAGACGCCAACCGCATTCGATGAAATCCCGCCAAAAATTCCATCCTTTTGTTTTCAGCTCACGAGGTAGAAAGTATTCGATATTAAAGGTTTGGTTTTACAAAAATTCATACTATCCACCTGTTTTGGTATAATTTATGTAAAATGAAACCTCTAGAAATCAAAGCACACGCAATAAAGTATTTTCGAGTACTTTATCATTGGCATAAATTACAGAGTACAATAACCGGTAATAAAGTACAGTACTTTATAATAAAGTATTGGTGGCAACCCTACTCACGACGTAAGTTAGAATGATTCATAATAATAATAATAACTTTATTGCTTAAAAACTGTGTACAATTTTGCAGTTGGTATTGCAATAATAAATTAAATTTTAGAAACTAGGTCCCCTAGCATGTGCACCCCGATATGATATAAGTATAACGCGTTTTTATCACGCTCAGTTGTCAAATTACTATGCAATTTGACAGTAAGGCACGATAAAAAACGTGACATAATGAAATTGTTGTGCTCATGCTCCGGAGACATGTATATGCGTGTTACCGTATGTTTCAGGTGGTGTTTGTGTTGACTGGTCACTGCAACGACCTTGATAAGCCTAGCTATCTAGTATACGAACAAATAGCAGCAGCCAGTTCTGGACAAGTGTTTAACTTAAACAAAACTAATGTTTACAAGGTACCTAATTATCTTAAGGTATATGTCAAAGCGAAAGGTGACTCATTCATTAACTAATCATAAACTCTCTTATGATGAAGTTCTGGCAAATATTCACAAATTAAGCAGAGATTGCATTAAGTAAACTAAATTATCTATCATAATACACAAACAGCCATATTCAATAAAAACTAGGATTCCAAAGGGCCAAACACGAATTTTGACAGCTCTGTCATATCTATCTATCTAGCTATCGTATCGTCAACGTCAAATTTTGTTTGGAAGAAGCCAGTGTGTTCTTACGTCCGGTAGGGGGCGCTGCTTACTTTTAGAAACTAACTAGTTTACTAAATTTACTAAACTAGACCCCCCATAACTAGTCAAAACTCGTGCTTGGGCCTTAAGATAAAACTTTAAACTCCTCACACATAAATGCGGTGTGAAGACTTTACCGTTTCAATAGAAAACAATCGTTCGTCATATGAAATCATTTCTGAAAACATTTTAAATAAAAATTCCACATGCAAAAATTTTGCAGGTTTTGGAAATGGTAAGGACAACGATCAGAGGTAGAAATGTAAATCTGGCATCGCGTGTTCTACCAGCGGGATACAACTACACTCAAGGGGTAAGGTCTTAATTTTATTTTCATAATACTATATCATGTATTTGTAAGAAAGGTTGCGGTTACTGACGAACTGCAGTACCCTTAGCACGAACCAATATTGAATACGAATAGTTGAATTCGATCTCGGAACACGTCAAATGTCAATTAGTTTTGTATGGAAATTTGAACAGTGCCACAACAGACGATACGAGATTTAAAAATCTTCCATTACTAAACTTCTTGACATTTGACGCGTATCGTGATTGAATTCAACTATTCAAATTCGATATTGGTCAGCGTTGCCAGATCTCCGTTATTGGCGAGACGTCCCGATTTTTAAATCAAAATTAAATGTCCCGCGCGGGACAGGCTCAATCCCGGTTTTTCGAGAATAACTCGACCGTGCGTGCAGCGTACTGAAAAAGCGCGGGCGGGTGGCACAGACAAGTGTGGAAATGCCACCTGCCCAGCACGTAATGAAGATCTCTCAAACAAATACTCAACTATTTAACGATAGAGTAAATCTGATTTAAATTATCATATTTTTATTAAAATATATTTTCTATGAATATTTTTACTAGGTACGTAATTGGAACTGAAATAAAAAGATAAATATTCAGAAAACTTTTGATTATATACGCATTTATACTATGTCCCGCTTTCAGCTGTGTGAACCTAGCACCCGACTTTGGAAAATCATTTTCTTTCTTAACGATTCTTAAAAACTTTCGTATATAGTGATTGTAGTAAAAATGATTTCGTTTGTAGTTGCTTCAAAAAAAATTATGGGACTTCGGAAAATAGTTAACACCCAGATTAGCCCAAACTCAAATTTTCTTGATTGATCGCATCGAGAATCGTTTGTAGTTGATTGTAGTGTAGGATTTTTTTATTTGTTGTAAAAAAATAAAAAAAGTTAAAAATAAAAAATTAGCACCCGACTTTGGATTTTTTTATTTTATGATTCTTAAGCAGTTTCCGACCTGCACGTCAATAAAACGATGAAATGAAAAATTTCTTTATTACTGGTCATCATCATTAGTCTATGTAATCTCTCCTCTGCTTGGGCACACGTCTTCCTTATAGATGGAATAGGGCGACTGGGCCGTGACCCATCACGTGGGTCCAGTGTTGTTGATGGGTGCTGACGACTGCACAGTCGGGACCAACGGCTTAACGTGCCTTTCGAAGCACGGAGGAGCTCGGGATAGTAAATTTTTGGTACAGCGATAACGCTTACTGCCGAACGCGCAAATCGTTTGCATCATCGAGCACTTGTTACTGGTTAACATCATACTCTGATTTCTCCAAAAGATTATAAGCCTTATGTTGTTTTGTATAAGATTTGTGTACGTATAAACAATTTTCCTAGTATAGATTCCTGTGGACAGTACAGTGGGTGAAGTGACGGTATCTGTCTCTGGATCTAAACCCCAAATCAAAGTGATCGATCCTAAAGGAGAGGAACTAAAAGGGCCCCCTAAACTAATCACTACTCTGGATCTTTCCGAGATTATGGTGAGCATTACAATATTTGTAAATAGTTATTTTAGTTTAGGGGCCGTCATTAATCACGTGATGTTTTATTTGGCATTTTTTAACCCCTCCCTCCCCCTTGGGTATAAGTATCATCTTATTTTAATATAGAAAATTAAAGATTACCAATAATAACTAACTAAGTTGTTACGACAGAGAGGTCGCAGGTTGTTTTTGACTGCCATAAAAATTATTAAAGAAATGCGAAAAACTTTTTATTACTAATACATGAAATTGAATGTACAGTATCCTCGGACCACGGAAATACATGTGATATATTACTAAACCGCTCCCCCTCCTTGTGATATTTCGTGATTTTTTATGGACCCCTCCCCCTCCCCCCTTTCGAGCCTCACGTGATTAATGGACAGCCCCTTATCTGGAGCAGGGGCGAAAATAATTTCTTTAGGGCTCATGCACACGATGTGATTTTTCGCAGCTAAGCCCGGCATCAAACCAGGTGTAAGTCCGGTCGTCAGTCACAACTGCGCAGCAAGTCTGTTTACCTTTTTAATAGTCTATTAAGTCGTTGCTATATTCATAGTCTTATTTTATTTCGCTAGGCGATATCTAGATTTTGTTGAACGAAGGCAGCTATTGCAACTAGGCAAGGGTTTCATATTACATTACAAATATATTATATATTTTTTAATTATTATTCCAACACTCACACCAATTAGCCTAGCCCCAAAGTAAGCACTGTAGGCTTGTGTTATGGGATACTAGGTTAACGGATAGAATACATATACTGTACATATTTTACTTAAATTCATATAGAAATAAAAACTAATGACTACAGTACAAATGCTCGTATTTATCACACAAACATCTGCCTCTCTCGAATCGGCGACACCATGAAACCCGGCATACAAACCACTCGGCCACGGATGTCGTCAAAGCATATTATATTAAAAACTATGATTTATTTATTAAAAGGTAGTGAAAGTCCTGCAGCCAGAGCCGGGAAACTGGAGTATAACAGTGGGCAGCGATAGAGAGCATTCCGTGAAAGTGGTGGGATTATCCAATCTCACCTTCACTCATGGATTCTCTGTGAACAAACCCGCTACCATCATGGAAACTAGCCATAGACCTCTTAAGGGTAAGCTTATGTTTATCAATATACGATAAATTCTCTCTATTTATGACTGAAAACTGCATTAAAATCCGTTGCGTAATGAAAAAGATCTTCGCGTACTGACAGTGGAAGCGACTTCGTTTTATACTATGTAAAGTTTAATGCCCCCACTGCTGAGGTACAGGCTATCCCTATGGATGGAATAGGAACATTGGCCATGATCCACCAATAAGGTGTGAACCCTGTGAATTGGTGGGTTTTAATAACTGTAGATGCAGCTGGGACCAACGGCTTAACCTGCCTGCTGAAACACGGAAGAGTTAAGTTTAATTTATTTGTTTCAAAATACTTAGTGTGCGATTCCATTGCGCAAGTTTTGCATACAAGCATGACGTCGCATTTGGGTATAGGTTGATAGCATTGAAAATATGCAGGATTTACTTTGCATACAAGTGGAAATGTACCCAATATGAGTAGGTTAACGTTTGAACGTGAACTTATTCAGCTAAAGTGAAACATGCAATTCGTTTTGGTGCTTTCAGCTTTGTATGCAGGTTTGTTCAAGTTGTCTAATTGAATTGCGCCTTCAGGCCCAAACAAAGGACACCTCAATTATGTCTTTGAAAAGATCAAAATGAAAAGATAAGAACCGTAATACCTCAGATTAGCGTTTACTTTTCTTTACTACCAAGATATCTTTGATAACTTCGAGTGCTTAGATACCATTGCACAGTTATTCGCGAATATATACTTGATTACCTTAACGCATTACATAATTATGAATTCTGATGTTCGATAATCTTGACTGATTTATGTATCTTCGATAATTTTGATCAGTCTTGACACTACGATTTTTATGAAGCTGACTGTGCAAGTCTTTAAACAATCGCAATTGAAGACTTCAATTGCACTTTGATTACCTTTGTATTTGTACCAAAATCGCTGTTGAAACTCAACTGTTATCGCTTTTGAAACAAAACTGCCTATTGCGCGTTTTTTTTGTTTCCTCCCGGGGCGGAGGCGGGGTAGCGGGTGAGAAATCCTCATGGATACCCTACAGGTGGCTGCAAGATGCTGCCGTAGGGGCTGCCTGTGGCCGGAAAGGCCTCTAAAGCTACATTGGAAGCGATCGTCCTCCAAGGGGGAGAGCGACGCAGTCCCCCCCCCCCCCCCCCCCATTGCGCGGTGTTGGACGCGCTTATAAACGTCAATCGACGCATTCCAGAATAGTCCAGTTCAATTGGGAGTTAACTAGCACAAGTACGTTATACGTGGGTAAAGCCTGTATACATTGAGTATTTTCCACCATCATTGCGGGCGTTAAAATAACAGTATTACATATTAAAGTAATCATTCCACATTCTAGGCACATACAACTACATGATGATTTCCCTTAGCGAAACAACCGCTCCCGTGAACTTAGAATATGCAGAGATATTAAGCCTCACAGGGCAAACATTGTTCGAGTTACCTCTAAAGGAAGTGGATAAAACCAATAAAATATATTTGGCTAAGGCGTTCATACCGCCAGATGATTTCTTCTATGTAGCGGTGAGAAATTGTTTATTTGACGTAATACTTTTATTCTTTTATCATTATCATCAGCCTATTAATGCCCCGTTGCTGGGGCACATGCCTTCTTAAGGGTGGAATAGCGATTTGTTCCATGACCACCACGCGGGCCCAGTGCGGATTGGTGGGTGCTAATGACTGCAGATGCAGCTGGAACCAACGACTTAACTTGCCTTCCGAAGCACGGAGCTCGAGATAAGTTTTTGGTCACCCATCCAATGACCGACCATTGCGAAAGTTGCTTCACTTTCACGGTCGCAAGCAGAATACACTAACCACCTTGGCCATCGAGCTCCTCTTCTATTGTTTTTATTATTGAAGTTATACTTCTTTAGGCGCTTTGTGAAAAAATGATGAGAGTGAAATTTTAAGATGCGCGCGCATCATGTAACACTAAATTTTAACACCATGAAGTTGGTCGCTTTAGCGACCAACTTCATGTACCGCGCTGCCATTACCGCGTCGCCCGCCGCACCGTACACATGCGCGGTCACTCGCGGTCCTAGCGCGGGAAACACGTGCAACAAACATCGGGAAAAGTTACGAGTTTTGAATTTAGAACAGAGACTGTTTTCATATCTATATATATAAAAATGAAACCCGTTTTCCGTTGTCACGACATAACATGAAAACGGCTTGACCGATTTGGCTGTTTTTTTTTTTGTAGTTTTCTAATACTCTGTACAAGGTTCTTACGGAAAAAAATATAAAGAAAATCCCAAGGGGATAAAATAATTAATGAAAGTTTGTATGAAACTTTATCAATTTTAAACCGATCGGGCTGAGACTTTGCATGCAGGTATAAGAAGAATCATAGATGAATGTCATTGTGTATAATACAAGCCTGAGAACAAAAACTGTAGTCTACACTTCAGCTCTACACCGAAGCGAAGCGAGGGCGGGCCGCTAGTTTATAATATTTATCCACATGTTTCTAGTTTGTATATTCGGAATACGTGTTTGAGTTTCATACAAGTGCAAATCACATATGTTCTAATAAATTATATTCAGTAGCGATTTTAATTGAATATTTATTTATTTTTTCAAATTAAAACTGAACTTTATTGACTGTGTCCTTTTCCAGACTTTTTATTAATTTATTGTAATTAATTATTTGCATGCAATTAAAAACTAATTTTAAACGATGCCAAAGAAGGATAACTTCTCACGCGCCTACATAAGTACACGCACCCATTTTTAAATTTAATAGCAATTGATGGACGGAAATAATCGGATCAGAAAAAGGAAATTAAAACCCTTTGCGTATTATTGTATTTATAACGATACAGCATATAATGAGTTGAATCTGCCCATTATACGCAGATATTTCCATATGATATTTATTACTTTCTAGTTTTAGCCAGACCTTTGACTCAAAGAGCGAAACAAATAAACAGCAATTAATATTTACATATATGTACCTATATATATAGAAGATGATTAACTTACGTTTTATTTACCCATTAAGATTATAAATAACGTTTTTAGATAAACGGACGTGTTGATGATCAAGATTTGAGACGTGTGGGTGCTACTGCGGTGCAAGCAAAACTACCAGGTATAAAGTAAAGACTATCTAATCATGATGATGTTTGGTTTTGTAATGATTGTTGTTTTGTGAGTAACAATGAGCATGACGCAGCGAACATGACTCATTCCGTTTTAGCATTCTGAGTTCATATTGTAGTGATTCAACTTTTAGCACTCTCATATTAAGACTCGTTAGCTCAGCTGGTGAGAGCACCGAAATCAAATAAACCAATTTACTCGGCGGTCGGAGGTTCAAATCCTTCACGAGTCAGATTTACATTTTTCATATTTAAATATTTGAAATACCATATTTTTCTCCCTCGATCCACTTGGGTCAAATATTAAATACTGAAACCAACGATATTAGGGTGATTCTCAGTTAAGAGGTATGTTCGATGGCTAAGCCAAAAAAATCATTATATTTGGAAATTATGGTCTAAAATCTTAATAATTTCAATTAACTAACTGTGTTCTAAATTGTCACTTAAAATTATATTCTAAATGTGCATAATTTACTTACAATAACAGCACAGAGGAAAAACATCTCTCCCCTGGGTTGTCCCTTAACCGTTTTTTTTTTGTAAATCAGTAATTTTGAGTCCATTGAAATTTAATTATTACTTTTCTATCGGTAATAACATGAACCCTGATAACTTAGTTACAGTATGTAACCATTGAATTCATTTATACTTGCACTTTTTATAAAAAATATTAATCGCAAACTGTGTCCTCCGAATTTCGTCTCTCGCCCCCTGGCCTTAGGTTTAGTTTGAAAATCGTATTTGTTTACCATAGTCTGTGGTAGTTCTGACCTTGAAGACACCGAGTGTCACATGAGCTAGCAGCAAGCGCTGCACAAGCCATCTGCGCGGCAATTTTTTTGGCCATTTGCGCAACGGTGCTCGATAAGTGGAGCCATGCTGATAATTAAAGCAATTCGTGCAAAATTATTCCCTAACCATTCCAAAATATCAAAAATGCACAACGTTAATATTCAACGGCACTTCTGCCGGCACTCCCGTCGTTTTTTCTTTAAACTAACGTGTGCCTGAAAATTCATTAAAGAATGGGTGACACATGTAAACTTCCCTGGCTGTTCGCGGATCACGAATTGGGAACATAATTAAATTTATTAAATCGAATGTGGTTACCAGGGCAACATAACCACGGTAATAATATATTATTACCGTGACATAACTCCAAAGGAGTTCTGCTTATCACATTTTACTCGTTAGTTTGTATTCACACGTTAGTTCTAAAAATCCACTTCGCAAAAATCTGGATCAAGGATTAAAGTTGTAGTAGTATAAGGCCAGTATTATAGAAAGATTCTCGGTGATTGATCTAGTCTTGAGCATAGTTAGAAAGGGATGTCGCTATATATAGCACATAGCGATATCCCTTTCTAACTGAACTCAAGTAAAGATCAACACTTAGTTGTCATTCTGTAATACGGACCTAAGAGTACAAAAAGATCCATCAATGGATTTTAGTGATTTGACTGATTTTTCCGTTTAAGTAACAGTTAATCAAAGTTGGACTCATTACAGTAATACAGTCTATTTTTCTATCGTTTTTTTTATTTTATTTTATTCGTGATATGTACAGACATATAACATAGTTATATTAAACTCTATTTGATGGTATTAAGAGGGTTCGATTCCCGTATTTCATAGCAAATTATTCTCAGTCCTATGTGTAAACATCGTGCATTCTTGGCGATTATAAAAAATAATAATAACACAACATTTCCTTAATGTTTGTGTCCTGTCAGTTTAATGTAAAAAAATAAACAATACTTCTTTGTCTTGAATATTTCTCAAGAAAAGTTAGAAGTAAGACTATCTTGGGATCAGTAATTTTACTATACATATAATGAAGATTTAATCATATTTCTGTATTTTCTAGATGTTCCATACTTGACGACACCTCATAAAGTGAGTAAAATATTCATTCAAATTTGTTAAATATAGATATAAATTAATATAAAGTTCGTAGACTTGTCACTGGATAACGTTTAATTACTAAAGTTTGGTTTTTGTTCTATTTTTCTACACATCAATCAATTAGTAACCTTTTCTCGAATCGTTTTCAGATTCTGTATTCGCAAGAGTGAGTTGTATGACGCCTTCATACTTTAAAAAATTCTTTCATACTGTTTCTACTAGTAATAATAGGCTTGGTTTTCGTTTTTTTTCTTCCTCTATTGAAAACTTGGAACGTGATAAAATATAACCTACTAGCTGTGCCCCGCGGTGTTAATCTTGTGCGGTGTGTTTGCGGTTAATCCAGGCTGTCAGCTAACTCCATACCAAATTTTATTAAAATCGCTCCATCCGTTTAGACGTGAAGAAGTTATAAACGAACACACTCACAAACTTTCGCCTTTATAATGTTAGTGTGATGTCACTCTTACTGGGAATAATGTAGTTTTTACTGGTAACAATTTTTGGAAATCAGTTCATAGTTCCAGAGATAATTATTTCTTATAAACAATCTCAAAACTAAATTTAACTACTCTTTACAATATTAGTATATTATATAGATCAGAGGTTCCCAAACTTATTGCTCGCCCACTTTTAGAATAAATTATTTTTTAAGGCGTCGCCGTCGTCGCCTTAATTAGCAACGATCGTATGATGACTCGATGCGTTCTCATCGTGCGATGATTTTCAAACATAAAGGTTTCTTTAGTAGTGTCCAAAAGATATAATAAAGCTTAATAAAGATCGTAATCCGTCGCCCGAGCACAGGTACATTAATTTCATCGCACGTTGAGATCGTATCGTGTCATCATACGATCGTTGCCAATTAGGACGACGCCTAACTCTAGTTAATAATAATAATTTATTAAAAGACAAGCGGCCGCCCGTGACTTCGTACGCGTGGAGTTAGTTATTTGCACATACTTTTTGACCCCAAAAAGCGGTTTATTTTTAAAAATACATTTTATTAGTACACCCCTACACCATCTATAAAGCATACATGTTAAATTTCAAGACTCTTACTTCAAAAACATAGGACTTTCATACAAACTTCCAACCCCCGTATTACCTCCTTAGGGGTGGAGTAGCGTGATAATATATAGCCTATATGTTGGCCCGACTTCTTAATAGTATTCGTGCGAAATTTGAAGTAAATCCATTTTGAGTTTATCCCGGACATACATACAGACAAGATTCTAAAAACTATATTTTTGGCTTCGGTATATTCGGTCGGTTGGATTGTAGAGCACACCCCAAGTATTCTTTTGAAAAATATTCAATGTACAGTTTTGACTTTCCTACCATTTGATTATATGTATAGATATTTTGCTAGTTATCGGGCCGTATTCAAGGGCGCGTGTCGCTTCGGTGCGACGTGGAGAGTCTGGTGCCCGTCTCCGTTGTATGGACACGCGGATCCGCCAGACTTCAACCGCAGATCTCTAGCCTGTAAGTCTTCAAACTAATCACCGTTATCATCATCACTAGCCAGACATTGACTGTACTGAATGCTGTCGCTTGTGACTAAAAAATGTTACACTTTTTTTCATATGAAAAAAAGTATATAAAAATAAATCCACAATAATATATTGTGGATAGTGCAAATAGTTTCTTTATAACTTTAAGTTATGCCTAGATGTCAGCACCTGTAATTGGCTCATTGTCGCTACTATTCATTTCTAGTTTATTAAGATAAGCTGGTCTTTCTTGTAACCAAAATAAATAAATTAAATAAATATAACCCATCCGCCAAGTCCGAACGCCCCAAAAAGGAACTTCGCTCAAAAATAACACCTTTTTACAGTACTTCTCCATAGCAACTATAAATTATTAGAAAAAACCTCTTGCCAGCACATTACTTGGCTGTTCGTGTTTGATATTTGTAAAATTGACATGAGTCTGTCCTTTTCATTCCTTATAAAGCATATTAGGAACAAACTGTTGTCAAGTTTACAAATAACAAACACGTATAGATAGCCAAGTAAAGTGCCGGCATCACATTCCTTTATGCGAAAAATGCGCTTAAAAGGGGAACTGAAGTTTCTCCTTCACGGTTTTGATTATTGAGATTTTTATTGAATGTTCAATAGACAAAGCACATCCATAGAGTACGTGATAGAACACATGCGCGAAGAGGACGAGGGAGCATATCGGTGCGTGGCACACAACACTGCGGGAGTTAGCTCGGCGGATACTGATCTGCAACTGATAGGTGAATATCATAAGCATCATCATCATCAGCCTATTAATGTCCCCACTGCTGGAGGAGCACATGCCTTCCCTATAGATGGAATAGGGAGATTGGGCCATAACCCACCACGCGAGCCCCGTACGGATTGGCGGGTGCTAACGACTGCAGATGCAGCCGGGACGAACGGCTTAACGTGCCTTCCGAAGCACAGAGAAACTCGAGATAGAAGATTTTCATCATAGAGAAGAGTATCATAAGCATACTGCTTTATAAGTTTGATAAGCTAAACCTAGTAATTTATGTTATTTACGGGATTGTTACCATGTACCTTGTTTTTAGAGAATTTCTGATATTTCGGCACTGTTGCAAGCGCGATCACGGAGTATTAACTGAAGTAATTGCGTATAGACCGATATTTACGTATGTGTGGAGGGTAGACCGATATGCAAATAACAGCCTACCCGCAATCACTTCAGTTACTCCGTGGTCATGGCGCTTGCAACAGTGCCGAAACATCGGAAACTCGCTAAAAATAAACCATAGTGTACTAAAAGATACAAACTAATTAGAAAAGGGAGGATGACTAATTTTTTTTCTTCGTCTATCAGGTAGATTACCAAAACCGAGGCTGCGGAGCGGAGAAATGGAGAAATATTACCGATTAAATTGCACAAAACCTCCGCTCCTATTCAGTGGAAAGATTTGGTGCTATCCTATTATGTAGATGGTATTTCTCCGTTTTTCCGCTCTGCAGCTTCTCTGCGCTCCAGTGGATAGGCAGCCTTTATAAGCTGATGATGATGATGAATAATAATTTATCGTTTCACAGTCGAACCTCCATCTATAACAATTCGTCCCGAAGACGCGAAGGTATTGTACGGCGATCCGCTCACGGTGACCTGTGTGGTCACCAGCGAAGTAATTCCAGACAGATTGCAGATCATATTCAAAGGCACTCACCATTTTGACGACGATGGTGAGTTTTAGTTCTAACATACCTATTCAATTTTCTACTATCTCTTGTTGTAATAGAAACTATGTAAAATATCACAATCAACAAATTGGATATGATATATCGAAGCATTTCTGTCTAACAAAGGCCGCTAAAACATGGTTCCAAACTCATACAACTAAACTTCAATATTTGCGATATTGAGAGATTGAGATATAGATATTTGCAATACTTCAGCGATATTTTTGATGTGTAACATCTTTCCTCTCGCTTTCCTGAAATTTGTGGGAGTGATTTCGTGAAATGGAACTGAAGTGTGTAACAGGAAGTCACGAAAGCGCGCGCTATTTGATTTGGTTTTAGAAGATAATGTTCAAATGACTTATTCCTTTTGTAGTAGGTTACTGTAAGGCTTGCTCGTTTTTTTTGTTCAGTTCTAGATGTATACGTAACGCCTAAACAAGATGGGCTATACAAATTCAACAAGACAATAACACAAGTTACCGAGGATGCGAGCGGAGTTTACACGTGTGTAGCTGTTAATAAAGGTATAATGAGTATTAAATATTAATCTTTCATATAAAATATTAGTCCATCCATCAAATACATATACCTAACGTTTACTTCCGCCTTTTAATAGTTATGTGTTTTTAGTTGTAGTAGGTATTTATTATTTATGAATAATACGAATACTTTATTTTTATTAAAGCCATACTCCTCTGCACTCCTCCGCTGCTTTTTTGTAATGCACTCAATTTCATTTTTAAAACTCATAAAATTAATGCTTAAGAAAGCAATGGAATTAAATAGTATGCATACAAAATTAAAATACATTACCTTACCTTTGCGGTGCTACAAATCTCCACAAATAAAAAGAAAAAAGAAAGAATCGACACCATTATCTCATAATATAATTAATAACAAGCAATCAATGTAAAACTTTTTCTTTTCAGCTGGACGAACGACAAAGGCAATGAAAGTCAACGTTCAAACACAGCCTTTGGTACAAATTCTCGGCCCGCATAGTATCAAAAAGCAAATATATACGGACATGCAACTCGTTTGCCACGTGGAAAACGCTGATAGAGTCCAATGGATTGCTCCAAACAATACTGTTGCGAAGGAACTTTTGGTTAATACATCATACGATGGAATTTATAACGTAAATAATATTACACAAGGTGGAAATTGGACTTGCGTCGGATCGAGGGGACCTTATAAAGGTATTGTGTTGGACTCGGAAGGACCAAGTTTTATTGTAATCAGTACGAGTTTATTATTTAACCAATGCTAAGGCATAGACCTTGCTTATGCATAGAAATACATATTATTTGTAATTATTAGGAGCTCCGCAGTTTCTGATTCCTACTACATATGTAGTTGTTTTATATTATAAGTGTTTTAAATTAGAAAATTATCTTTGTCTTTATTTCTTCTGGTAAATAAAATTTATAATGCAAATTCATACTTGAACAACTACCTTATATTAATTAATATATATTTGTACTTGAGTTTTATTCCTTATTTGCTTTCTTTTTAAATTTAATTTGTTATGTTTACAGCGAATGACGCGATTGTAATAGACATTCTGATAAAGCCGACAGTCTTGGTAGAAGGGAACAAAAATATAACTATATTGAATGGCACCAGTGTCGATGTGACTTGCTTGGTGACCGCCAGACCCGCGCCGCGCATCATATGGCACAGAGAGACTGAGAACTTTCTAGATCACTCTGTAAGTAAGCTTCTAAGATCATAAATACTAGTGAGTGTCCGAGACTTTGTCTGTGTGATTCAATCGATTTCCTATTCAAACTTTCACCCCCATATTCACCTCCTTTAGGGATAATTTCTGGAATATTCAATTCAATTCATTTATTCCATTAAACAATATAATTGTGTTGGATATAATAATAATACAAAATAAAATAAAAGCAGACATAAATAAAATTACAAATTTTTGATGTCAAAGTGGATTATTAAAATTGTAACAAATAAAAAGAAAATTCAAATACACTATGTCAAACTGGATAAAATAAAAACTATAGTATGGCCTTTCCCGTGTTGTAAACTATATGACTTACTTGGTAATTGCCAGACTCGCGCCTGGCGCGGGAGAGACTGAGAACTATCTTATCATTCTGTAAGTAAACTTCTAAGATCATAATACTAGTGAGTGCCCACGACTTCAACCGTGTGATTCAATCGATTTTGCGTATAAACTTCCAACCCCATTTTCACCCCCTAAATGGATGATTTCTGTGTTAAAAAATATCCAATGGTCTCTTCCGGGTTCCAAACTATATCTATACCAAATTTCATCTAAGACGGTACAATAACATCAACAATCCAACATAGTGAAGGCACCAGTGTCGAGTTGACTCTGGAGAACTTTCTAGATCACTCGGTATGTAAATTTCTAAGACAATTTGAAGAAATAGCCCACAGTCCCTACCTATAGATGTCACCAATAATATTACTATAGTTAGTGGTAACAGTATTGATGATAATAATAATCAATATTCAGATAAAAATCAATTCAAATAACCTACGCCTACATTCGATTCCTTATTTATTATCATTAAAACAGTATCTGATTATTCTTGACAGGTAACTTCACTGAATAACGACAGTTACCGCAGCGTTTTGACGTTAGACAGCTCCAAGGAAATCGTGAATGCAACCTACTTCTGTATCGGTGAGAATTCAGAAGGTATCGCAGAAGACAGCCTCGTTGTCAATGTTAGGAGGAAAATGACTCTGGTCAATGGATTTAAAGGTATTTTTGTTGATATTTTATTACATTATTTGTATAGATATTTAGTCAATATCCCTTGCAAGGCGCCAGAGGTCAAAGGAAAGCCAACATGACATTTACTAATATTATAAACTAGCTTCCGTTCGCAACTTCAACCACGTTAACTTAAGTTATTTGGGAATCCCACAGGATACTAACATTTTCCAGGATAAAAAGTATCCTATTTGCCAATCCAAGTAATAATCTATATGTGTGCCAATTTTCATCCAAATCCGTTCCGTAGCTTTTGCGTGATTGAGTAGCAAACATACATTAAATTAGTAGGATAAAGTAGTATTACATATAATATTACTAGCTGTCCCAGCGAACTTCGTACCGCCATTAAAAAAATAGGGGTTGGTGGTAGAAGGGTGAAAATTTAGGATTGTATGTATTATTGTATGATGTATCATAAAAAATAAAAACAAAAAAATGTCACTAAAAATATTTAAAGGTCAAAGGACCACCCTTAACATTTAGCGGGATGGAAAATAGATGTTGTCCGATTCTCAGACCACCTGAATATGCATATAAAATTTCACGAAAATCGGTCGAGCCGTTTCGGAGTACTTCAATTACGCACACCGTTACACGAGAATTTTATATATTACAATATAAGTAACAACAATTATATTCACCACTTGTCAGATAAATCGGTGGAGCTTTACTCCCAAGTGGAGCTGAATTGCCACGTGGATTGCTATCCCCGACCAATTATCAAATGGTACCACAACGGCACCGAACTCACGCCCTCACACAACGTACAGATGTCCGACAACCACTCCACACTGTACCTGATGATGGTGGATTTCGATAACCTTGGCATTTATAAATGCGAAGCCGATAATGGCTATGAGACCATTCGTGTCAACGGAACATTGGCTGTATTCGGATTGGGTAAGTTAAGAAAAGAAGTGAATCTATTTTTATAAAGATAGAATAACTAGCTTATATGATATCTTACAAAATTATAAGAAAAATAACTTAAAATATTTTATTATATACCGTATTATATAAATATCTACTACATATGGTAGATATGCTTATCGCTACGCACGCAGACTTTGACTGCTTTCAAACTATCAGACATAAGGTACGCATACATTGCGCGAAACATGATAGCTCTATCTAGGCGTATAAATAATCAAAGCTAAAAATGTAACATATTTATTTAATAAATAAATATATATATATATAATCCACTTTGAAAAGTTTACAAACATTTGCAGATGATAGCATCATGATGATCATTGGCATCTATAAATATCGTAATTATTAGGAATTAAAGTGACACTTCAGTATTTTGGATTTTTTTTTTGTTTATTTTAGAGCCGCCAGTTTTGTCCAAAGAGGCAACGAGAGTCACGCCTCTCATGGGAACGTCCACAAAACTAACATGTAGGTGAGATTTATTATTCGAATCATATTTAATGGATTAGTTAATTTTTTAAAGCTTAAAAATCGTGAGGTTAATGTATTTTTCAACTTTTCTCATTTCTTATTTATTTGCCATAATGAAATCAGGGTTCTCGTGTACCCATTTTCAATATCCTTTATTTTCTTTGAAATTGACTAGACCAGGGATGGGCAAACTTTTTACTAAGCGTGTCAATGGTGTCGATTCTGGCATGATTCTCCAAACCTAAACTTAAATTTGACAACAGTGTAGCCTTGTCATTCTCTATACAGAATGACAAAGAGAGACTGATGTTAAATTTAGTTTTAACTTTAGAGAATCATGACAGAATTGACTCCAGTATTGACTAAAAAATGCCAGTCTTTTTAATTTTTGACTGCTTCTTAATTGAAAAAAAAAAAAATTGGTAGGTATTTCTAAATGACTTATCATAAAATGAAAAGTGAAGTAGGTATCAGGTTTGGTAGCGGTGTGGTCCTTGTTGGTGCCAAAATGGTACGGTTTTTTTTACTCTTTTTGATCTGCCTTTGATATTTGTTTGATGGTCGCGGGCCGAAATTCAACTATTCAAGGGCCGGAGAAGGCCCGCGGGCCGTAGTTTACCCACCTCTGGACTAGACTGATGGATATAAACCATTCTTATCTTTTTATGTTGCCAATTTCAGAGTGCTGAAAGGCAAGCCAGAACCGTCTCTGACTTGGAAATACAGGAACGTATCCTCGGTAGATTTTCACGATGAGCTACCATTCGGAGTAATATTAAACGACGACGGTTCTGAGTTATCGATACCCAGAGTGGATCTCAAACATGGTGGTGTATACCGATGTGTTGCAGAGAATGTTTTGAATACAGACTCGCATGACGTGGAACTAGTTGTTCAATGTAAGAAAATTTTGGTGTATTTACTCTATGATTTTTCTGTGTCATAAGGGTTAGAATGCTACTCAAGTATAGTAGCTTTCTTCTTTTTACGAAAACGAGCTAGTGCAAATTTTTATGTATCTAGCCAAGGTGTAACTTTCTCGTGCTCCGTCTTCGCTTCTGTATATAGAGTATAAGTCACAAAATAGACATTACAGAAGGTAATCTACGTACAAAAATGCGCTCGAGCAACGCACATATATACACCGCTCACGGACATGAAATCTCAAACCAGTTCAGACCACTGCGAGCGCGAGTTACATCCACCCGCTTCGGTGAACATTTTTATGCAAAAATGGACAATAATAACAAAAAACAAAGTTAATATAACTGTATATGTTTATTAGGTTTTCACGCACATCACTCATTAAATAAAACTAGTTTTAACGGATTAATGCACGAACTTTATTTATTTATTGACGTTTCGCAACCTTAGTGCATTAATGCGTTAAAACTAGTTTTATTTAATATATCTGTTCAGAAGACGGTGAATTTTTAAATTTATTTTTAAATGTTACAATAACATTAAAACCAGAATTATTTAGTTTATGTTGGTTTATATTTTCGTTCTTTCTATTTCTATCTCGACTATGAATCAGACAACAAGCTAGGATTGCTATTACCGCGATAGTTTTTTGTGCATAAGCCAATGTTGACAATTCACACACAACCACATGGTGTTGTGTGTGAATCATGTTGACGTGATTACCTTCTGTTATGTCTATTTTGTGGTATAGTTTTAAGTTGTGTAGTCTTTTCTTATTCCTATTTTTAAAATATATTGCATTCTAAATGTAATAATGTAGAAATTATTTCTTTGCTATTGATAGTACAGGAAATGTATACTTTTATTTATATAAAAGCTAAAGACAGTACAAATCCTTTTAAAATTCTGTAAATATTGATAAGAGACTGGTGTTAAATTTAGTTGTTTAGAGAAGCATGCCAGAATCGACACCAATGTCTATAGTGTCGAATTTAATTTAAAATTTAGACATTTATACCCCGATTTTGCCCCCTGTCAGCCATTTTTGTATTATTATCCTTAAACTTTACGTTCTGACACTACAACTTTATAGGTATTTTCAATTAATTATTGACATAAAGATAACATTTTTTATTTCTTAACCACGCATTACCTTTGCTTTACTTACCAGATCCACCTCAAGTGCTAGGGTCGGATATCGAGTCCGCGCATCAAGTCGGTCCCATAGAGAAAATGAAAGGGGAGAAGATTCGATTCTCGTGCAAGACCGCGGGAATGCCCCCGCCTATGGTCGTGTGGACTAAAGAGCAACGCCCCCTAGCGTATACCAGTAACATGTGAGCAAATGATTTCTTTGTTATATAGGTTTTTGAGCTATATTTATACACGAAATAATTCCCCGTCGGTCCAGGCCTCAGACACGATTCGAACCTGTACGTTCCGCTATCAGATAGAATAAATCCTGTTCATTAAAAATTCTCGAAATAAAATGGTTTTTCTTAATGCTGGCTAAACAACTTACACTTCACCACATACTTCGAAGCGTTCATTGTATTTGAACTACAGAAAGCATTATGCTAAAAATAGAAAATACTTTCCATTTAATATAATATCTTATTATTATTTTTAGATATCTCACAGACGGCAATGATTTGGTGATAGATAAAGTGAGCGTATATGATTCCGGACTTTATACGTGCAGCGCGATCAGTCCTTTGGGCTCTTCACAGAAGAACTTTACTTTGTTCGTTTATGGTAATTATGAATTGTTTCAATTCTACTAATATTGGTGTCATTTGAAGCCCATTAAATTAACTTAAAAAAAAACATTTCTTTTTATTAAAAAAAAGCTTGATACAAAAAATGTGACTTTAAAAAAAGGGCCCTAAAGGGCCACTAGTTGCGTTATCTTTAGTGGGTATAAAAGGGTTAATACAGGTTCAATAGGGGTTATTCGCTATCGTGAAAAGGACACAAGAGAAGATCATTCACAAAAAAAACACCTTGAAAATGAATACCACTGCTGATGAAGCCGCCCAAGTGATTGCACTACTGCAATCAGAGATGCGACAGCGTGATGTCGTTTGGCAACTGAACTTGAGCCGTTTTTCGGTTCGAAGAGTATACCAGCGGTTCCTGGCTAAACCGTGTCGAACTTTTTGTAGCAAACCCGTAAGGGTTTATTGATAACCAGCATGTTGAAAAAACGTCATTATCACTCTACACTGAAATACCAATATACACTATTCAATTTTGTGCTCCCCACACACATACACACGCCCACACACACATACACACACAGACATACGCTAGATAAATATGAATCACTAAACATGTATTTTCCCAATAACTTTCTAATTTTAAAACACTAAACATTGCCATATAAGCGTCTTAAATTGCCATGTAAATGTGTCATTTTTGGGAAGATACTGGCACTTAATACACAGGTTAATCCTATATTTTTAAGAGTCAGGGTCCCTTCTGGTTTGCATTCTGGTATTTATCCAATAAAGATTTTATTATTATTATTGAAACACCAGGGACAGATACTCTGTCTATCTTTACATTCTATATCTATGATTCTAGTATCCCCGAGTATATTTCCGACTGACATCGAACCTGAACTCCAAGTGGTAGAAGGGCAGCTAGTACATTTGCCCTGTTCTGTATCTGGCACTCCCAGTCCTACCGTAGTATGGAGACGGGACGACCTCCCTGTATCCGGTAGGAAACATATCGATGAAACTGGTATGAGGTAAGTTAATAGTTGACTGGTAGAAATAACATGACTAAATGGCCCGCATTTTTTTTATGATTCTCCGAAGATGAAACCATTTTTATGTTAAAAGGATGGCGAATTAGCCTATGGCTCGCCTGGTGGTAAGAGGCACCATAGCCTATAGACGCTTCTGATACCAAAATAATAATATAATGTTTTATTACTCTTCACAATTTACATATTATGGGACGCTATACAAGGTGGAAATAATCTTACATAAGATGTGAGAGTCTGATGCCTGAAATAGGTATAGCAATACCTGTGTTACAGGTCACCGGGCCCCGCTCATCGGATCCAAACATTAGTAATATAGCTTAATTGATAATAATGTGTGTAATGTTACTAAAAAGACAAGAACTAAAATCTTAAACATAAATGGGTGGGGGTGATGTCTGTGTGTGTGTGTTTGTGCATGCGGGTGTGTGTATTTGTGTGTATGTGGTTATGTGTGAGTAAATGTTGTTCAATCGGTGAAAGCATGAGTTACGAATTAATGTAAGCATTGTTTTTTTTAAGTATGTTATTATTTATATTGTGACATAAATATCACTCGCGTCGTTGCCTACCCTGACCCCAATCCCATACTCCGCGGAGATATGGAACCTTACTTACCGACAGAAACAGCACCACCAAAAGGTTAGTGTTATATTACTATGGTATTCTGTAGGGTAGAAGTTGCATCCCCAGGCGGGCGCTGCAATTCGAGCGGTAAATCTGCTATGCCATATAACTCTCTTAAACATGACTAATTAATAGCCAGATTTTTTTTACCGATTCTTCATAAAAGATGAAACCTTATCCTTATTGCCATCCGTATGCACACTCACATCTCTCTTTATCATCCTTTGTATGCAGTTTTTCTGTATATCGATAGAGGATACATACATAGTCATTCACATCTTTTCACTCACATTTATATGCTTGATTTAAAAACGGAGTTGAGTCTTCCAAGTCCGAAACAATAAATCAAACATTAAACTGTCAAAATTCTGAAATATATTAAAAAAATGGTTGATAAATCATTGATTTTATCTAAGACTAGCTTTTGCCGGCGGCTTCACTCGCTGTATTTAGGGTTTTCCCGGTAATTATTCGAATTTTTCTCACCTTTTGAACCTTCCCTAGACCTTCACAAACATTTCAAGACCACGATAAGATAAATCCGTTCAGCTGTTCTCGAGTTTTAGCGAGACTAACGAACAACAATTGATTTTTATTTAAATAGATTACAATGATGACCGCCCCCCCCAGCTCCCCGCTCCCCACAAGCCTATTTATGAAGTGGTACGATCAATTAACTTTTTTTTTTATTTCAGATTCGTTGCTAATTTAACAGATTTTGGAAATTATACGTGTTTCACTGAAAATGATTATGGAAATGCATCAGTTTCATACTATTTATACGTGTGGGGTAAGTAAGCTATAATTAAAATGACTAAATTGTCTTATTTTTTCAAAATTTTTTTTTTGTAAATGTACCCTATTATCATCCTCATATCATTTTATTTTATTTCCCAGTGGCCCCATCTGTTCTTCCTTTGGAAGCGTCTATAACAGCTCTTATTGGAACAAACGTGACATTACAATGCGACGCTGTTGGTTTCCCGATACCGACGGTCTCATGGGAATTTAAACAGACAACTTTAGTGGCGAATAACACAAATATAAGGTAAAGATTAAAAAAAAACTACGTTAGTCTAGAAAAGGGAGATTGGGCCGTGACCCACCACGCGAGTCCAATGCTGATTGGTAGATGCTAACGACTGTAGATGCAGCCGGGACCAAAAGATTAAAATGCCTTCCGAAGCACGGAGGAGATAATAAGTCTTTAGTCACCCATCCAAAGATCGACTACTGCCAAACTTCCGCGATCGCAGGTCAAACGCTCACCACCTGCTCTATCGAACTATGCATTCGTGATTTTATTTCGGTTTATTAGTGAGCATGTGTTTAATTTTATTTACAATGCTTTTTGCGTTTAAGGCCAGTAATTTTTGTGCGATCACTCGATCGATTTGTTCGATATTTATACTTTAGTAAGGGTGCGTCCATAAATTACGTGAGATGTTTAAGGGGGGCAGGGGGTCGAGTCAAATCTCATCTAATCTTACGTTGGAGAGATCTCCGCAAATATCACGCAATTTTTTTGACTGAAACAAAAAAAATCTATTTTGATCCATTTAATCCAGATTGTACATGCTTAAGATGTAATCTTAAGCTTTATCGTAATACGATTAAGATCATTCACTAATTCGTTCGAAAGGAAATAATTTAATTCATACTCCGACGTTATACATATACCGACTGTCAAACCACCATATTTGTTTTATACTAAATAGCACAATTTAATTTTTATTACACTTAGAACTCACAGCAATATTGGTTATTAGTATTAACTAGTCGTAAATAAAAGCACGAAGCATTTTTTTTCTTTTTACAATAATAATCCAACGCGTTTACATAAGAAACCCACATTTTGAAAAATCTCACGTGAGGTTGGGAGATGGGGGAGGGGGTTTAATAAAATCTCACGACATCTCACCAGGGGGTGAGAGAGGGACAGAAAATTCTAAAAAACACCTCACGTAATTTATGGACGCCCCCTAAATGTTGTTGATGATGCTTTATATGATAAAGGTCCAGTGCGAATTTTGATAAAGCATTAATTTGTTAAATCATCACAAAGTTCACTAGTAATTTTTCAGTAACTGTTGTGTAGTTATAAAATAAATAACTGTATTTTTTTAGTTTTAACGAAGTTGGTAACTTATATATAAGCAATGTCAGCGCTCACGATGAGGGGTCATACGATTGCATAGCAGCCAATGAGGCAGGAGAGGACAGGAAAACCGTTCGTTTGAATGTTTACGGTATGTAATTATAGCTTTATGATAAAGCTGTAGTGAAGATTTCTAAGAAAAATAAACGCAACTTACAAATATACCCGATAGTTGGCGCTGCAGTCGGGTTTTAGATTTTTCATAATATTTTTACTGCTCCGGACAATGCGAATCTGCTAGTAGTCTGCTAGTAGGTATATACTCGTATGTAATTATAACCGTTGAAAACAAAATTTAAAATTTATAAAATAGCAGTTTATAAAAGAAATCTTATCATTGATCTTTACTTTTGGATAAAACATAGGATTATAACATTAGCGGGTTCCACGCAGTAAAAAATGACAATATTATCCTGAATTTGTTTATTGTTTTCTTTTTTTTTTGCATATGTTTATAATTACATTATTTCAGAACCACCAAAGATTACAGAACCAGCTGATGGGAGTTTCGTAGCTACAAACATGGATATGGAACTGGTGATTGCTTGCAAGGCAACCGGTCGACCTAAACCGTACATAGCTTGGACAAAAGATGACTACTATTTGGACAATGGTAATTGAGTAGCTACTAAGAACATACTTTAATCCAGGAACGATTTTGGGTTCCTATGATATTCAGGACGCAAAAGTCCACGAGTAAATATTCTAGAGCATTTATCTCCACATATTTATATATTTAAACTTTATTGCCACAATTACAAAAATGGACAAAAGGCGGACTTAACGCTAAAAGAATTCTCTGCCAGTCAACCTTTAGGCATAAATAAATCCACGAATGCGGCTATAATAAAAAAAGTGATTTATATTTGACATATATACGTAAATAGGTCATAAAAGAACAATTGATAAAAAATATTACTTTAAAATGTAAATAATAAAGATGTTTTACTTAATTGACTTAAATCAACGTATTAAAATTACATGGAGCCCATTTCTATCTTTCAAAGGCCGCTAAAACATGGTTCCATACTCATACAACTAAATTTTAATACTAATGCGATACGCACAAAGACAAAACAAAATATTTGACAAAACAAATATCTGCAAATGAATTAATTCATTGGGTAAGCAAATGTTAAACGCAGATCCCAACCAATCCCATGATTGGCGTGTTAATCGCAGTTTTAACGCCCCTCCCACTTGATCGCAGTTTGCGTAGAACCATTTTTAGCGCAGTTCGTATTTCTTCGTTGACTTAAATATAACTTAAAAACGAAACAAATTCTACTTCAGCCTGCCTAGCATGACCACCGCGATATGTAACATAACGCTTTTTTATCACGCTCAATTGTCAAATCAGTATGCAGTTTGACAGTTCGACGCGTTAAAAAAACTTGATATAATGTAAATCGTGGTGCTCATGCTACGGGGACTGTAATAAACTTTAGAAGACCACAGTTTGTAAATACATGTATAAAGGTGTATCAAGTACATTTAAGTTTTGTTTTAGATGCAAATTTCGCTGTGGAGTATGATGGCACACTTACTATTAAAGCGCCATCTGAAGAGCTGAGCGGTGTTTACACGTGTGTCGCCAAAAATATCGCCGGAGAAGCCAACAAGACAGTACCGGTTGAGATATATTGTGAGTTACTTTGTGAAACGTTAATGTAGCCATCACGCCCGATTTCTTTACTGAGGTCCTCCATTTTGCAACCTGTTTTGGTTTCTTCTAATTACAAAGTTAAAGAAGAATGGAATAATAATAAATTAATTTATTAAAACACTAAATGGGTTTTATCGCCTCTTAAATTAAAACTCTTGCTTCATCATCAGCCTATTAATGTCACCACTGCTGGGGCACAGGCCTTCCCTATGGATGGAAAAGGGAGTTTTGGCTATGACGCACGACGCGGGCCCAGTACGGATTGGCGGGTGCTAACGACTGCATATGCAGCCGGGACCGACGGCTTAACGTGCCTTCCGAAGCACGGAGGAACTCGAGATAGTAAATTTTTGGTCACCAATCTAATGACCGACCACTGCAAAAGTTGCTTAACTTCAACGCGCTTGCGCCATCGAGCTCCTCAACTCCTGCTTATTAATGTGCAAATCCTGCTTATTATCCAGTAATTACCGCTGCCCTATCTCTAACTATCTTTAATATAACTCTGGCTACGGCTCTGATTTTTGTCCGGGTGTGCGAGAAAATTTTATGTTTTCATTTTCGATTCGTTTTTGACGCGACTTCACTTTTAATCCTAAATATACGTATAAATATTAACAATTAAGATACAGTAAAAAAACTTCCCAACCTCTAACTTTCTTTACGTACGTACAGTATAAAAAATTATATCCAGCCTATTGCGATCCTATCCTCTATTGCGATTGGGAATTTCTTTTAATATATACTTGTATTAGAAATTACCGCTCTCCGTGCTAAAGACATGGTACATTGAATTATTGATCACCCTTATATTTTAATAATAATAATTTTTAAAAAGTAAAAAAAATAAAATCTTTTTTTTTATGTCAAGTTATGAATTTTTAGCTGTACCAACTCTACCGCAGTCAGAAGAGTCGCACACTAAAGTGGTGGTCGTAGAAGGAACCAACGCTACTGTGGAGTGCCCGCTGCGTGCGTCGCGCAACGACGTTGTCAAATGGTATAAGGTTCGATGTTTCTATTTGATAGTAATAAATAATAATAAATAAATATTTTCAACACACACCAGTTAGCCTAGCCCCAACGTAAGCACTGCAAGGCTTGTGTTATGGGATACTAGGGTAACGGATAGAATACATATAAAAGTATATTTATATAGAAATACATATTTAATAGCATCCATGACTGGATTCAATCCCGGGACCTCTCGAGTCGGCGGTACCAGGAAACCCGGCGTACAAACCACTCGGCCACGGAGGTCGTAGAAGTATCCCGTAATTTATTGGATTTAGTTTGATAAAAAAATACGCAATCCATGTTACTGTTCTTGAGTGACTTTTCGTTTTATTTAACTTAACTTTATTGTATTTTCATGACTCTGAATGGTAGAAAAAGAAATATGTTTATTTGTAAAAGTGTTATTTACTGTTCTTGAGTGAATTTTGGTTTAATTTAGTTCAACTTCATTTTGCTGTAATTTCTTGGTAGTATTTTTTTTATTTTATGTTTATTTGTAATAGTGTAATTAAATATACAATAAATGGTATATTCTTAATGTTTCCGTTGTGTTGGCCCAAACTAAAGATTCTTCTCTAGACTGATCCCTAAATACTCGACTGTTATCTAAACAGAGGCTAGACTGATCCCTAAATACTCGACTGTTATCTAAACAGAGGCTGCTACTTACTATGAAGGCGAACACGATAATCAGGATGAAAATCTTATAAACCGTCATACAGCATTGATGTTTTACATCTAAATGCATTTAGGAACAAGGCCGGAATTTTAATATCACAAACTTTGACTGATTTTAGTTTAATTTTTTTGAAGTGAAACTTCTTTACGCACGCTTGACATGGGGGTAAGCTGGCGAATGCGTTAAGCATTACGAAAAGTGTGTTCGGGCGAGGCGAACGGAAGTTGAGTGGGGGATATAAGCAAGAGAAAGCAGTGCGCGCGCACATTTTCTTTCTCTCTTTCTCTAGTAAATGAAATATGTATATGTACATACATGTATATATGTATTGTACACACACACACATATATATAAATATATATATATATATATATATATATACATATAGATGGAGCTAAAGAAGTTTCACTTTATTCGTGTGGTCATAAGCACACTCGTTTTTTTTATTTAACCAACACTTCTCTACGCTATCTGTTAATATATAATTCTAATGAGCCCTATTTTGGCACGATTCTCTAAACCTAAAATTAATTTTGGTAACAGTGGTGTCGGATCTGGCAAGATTCTTTAAAATTAAAACTCAATTAAACATCAGTCTGTCCTGTTCATTCTGTATTGAGAATGACAAGGATACACTGGTGTCGATTCTGGCTGGGTTCTCTAAACTTAAAACTAAATTTAACATCAGTCTCTCCTATTCATTCTGTATAGAGAATAACAGCGATACACTGTTGTCAAATTTAAGTTTAGGTTTAGAGAATGATGCCAGAATCGACACCACTGTTGTCAAATTTAAGTTTAGCTTTAGAGAATCGTGCCAGAATCGACATAATTTTATGCTCTATAAAGAATGAAAGGAGAGACTGTACTCAAATTTAGTAGTTAAGAGAATCAAGCCCAATATAATATTATAAACAAGCAATTTTTTCTAGGACGCAAAACTGGTATCTTCAGGCACCCTTCAAATAACCAACGTTTCCCGGCATAACACATCAGAGTACGTTTGTGTAATTAATAACGTAGCAGGTTCTGCCATCGCTAAAGTCTTAGTAGAAGTACAATGGCCTCCAAGTCTCGAGAAACATATAAATAATACGATAGATGTAGAAGTCATCAAAGGAAACGATTGGTACTTCAATTGTGCAGCGGATGCTTTGCCAAGAGCTAAGGTAATTGGATTAAACATTCATTAAAAATACACTGTCATTCATGAATAGAGATAAGTAATTTAACAAAAATTATATTATTTAATTAAAATTTGGTTTCAAAAACTAAAATTGTTTAGAATTTTTGTGCATGTAATTTTTTTAAATAAAAATTCGACCCAGGCATCGTGCTGGAATCGAATTTTTCTATATTGAAGGATCCTTTCCAAGACAGCTGCATAAATTCGAGCAAATAACAAATCCATAATTCTCATCTCTCTTTATTTCATGTTATAGATTTGTGAGTTATTAAATTGTTTGGCGTTTCTAATTTAATCCTTTTTTTGCTAAAGACTAAATGGTTTTTCAACAATCAACCGATGGTGTTCGAAGATCGAGATCGCTTGAGGATTCTAAACGTGGATAAGAAACACGCCGGCCTGTATCGGTGCCTCGTCACCAATCCCCATGGGACTGTCTCCAATACGTACAATTTAAAAGTACTGGGTGAGATATATTATAGTATAATTAGATAAAATTAAATTTTACAGGAGCTGTATAAAACTGAATGACATACCTCCAGTGAGCTTTTGGCGTGGTTATTAATTTATAAATTTATTAATTTTAACACTATTTAAGGCGGTTTTGATTGAAAATTATTTGAGATTCAAATTCAACGGGCCCGATACCTCAGGACTGTAAAGAAAATGTAGTTTGACCAGATGCGTAATTATATCGTTTTGTTCGCCAGCTTCTCATATTTGTTTTCTATCATATTTAATCACAGTGTGATAGATGTTATAAGAGCATTTAATTTAAAATTTCTTTTCGCATTTCACTTTATCTTTAACACTATACTGCCTGTAACGATTTGAAATCTGGTTTAGCTTAAATATAATTACTATTGTAATATTATTAATCTGTAAATTAAGAGTTTTCTTGATTTGTCATTCAATTTAATTTTGATGTTGCCCACAAAAGATATTTTTTTTATTAGGTAATCTTTTATTTAGCAGATAAATTGCATAATAGAATGAAAAAACAGCCTTTTTAAGAGATAGATAATCATTTATTCCCACCAGTTCAGCATACAAATTCAAGTAGATGAATTAATAACTAAATATGTAACTGTGTGCCGCAACGACAGAAAAATGAAAAAGCTCAGCGATACCTTTGCTCTGAGAGCAAAGCACAGGTTTTCAGAGAAAGCGCGTCACGTGAAACGACACCGACATGATTAATAGAAATAGATTTAAACAATCTATTTCTATTATTATTGTTATTATAATTATATCTCTTATTTTTATAACTTGACCGTAAATGTTTAAATGTTACTGTTATTATTACGTTTTTAGTATTTAGATTAATATTTACCCATCAGCATTTAGACACAAATTGTGATAGAGTCTGCGCGGAAAGAGAATGGGATTTAGATTGGAGGGCGCTGTAGTGCTTTTCTACCGTATTTGTAAGGTTCTACCCCTTTCAGACATGATTAAATACAAAAAATCGCAAGAAATCACAGCAACAAACAAATCCTTATCAATACAAAACTTTTACGTTTTATAGATTGCTGGGTTTGATTGCCAAAAAAAAATCTTAATGTTAGTTCCGTTTTTCGCCACGCCCATTTCTTTCCGCACAGACTCTACACCCATTAGAAAGCGGCAGAAACCGCTACCATACGACCACAGGTTATTCCTAACCTTTGCATTTCCAGTAATATTAATTTTAAGTCTGGCGAGATATCATAAAGAGGTTAATTTTCAGTTGAATCCGATGCTTAAACCGTAAGCACAAGAAGGCTTTCCTGTTCTGTAAAAAACGATCACGTTTCCATAATCTTATTAAATACAATCAACTCGAAAAGAAAGTTATCTCTAAAATAAGACATTTCTTTCTAGTTCCTCCTTACATATCGGAATTCGACTTTCTCGAAGTACAGCTGAAGGAAAATTCTGATGCCACCTTAGAATGCAACGCTAAAGGGTACCCTATTCCTGATATCAAGTGGACTTTTAAGTACGTATAATACCTTACATGTTTTACTTTATTTGAAATTGGTTCATGTCTCTAAATGATCTTTTTCTTTCATTTTCTTTAGTGTTTATAAATTTTGTTAATCATTTGTTAAGTTAATTAAAACATAATTTTATTAAGTTAATCATCAGCAAGTACATGCTCAGCTATTTTGATAAGTTTTAATCCAAACAATTTTTTTTTTCAAATATCATAACTTATAATCTTATCTTCTAATTAAAACCAAAGGAAACGTCAATTAATAACATTTTGAACCAAGATTGCAAATTCTTTCCAACAGCAACTCCAACTGGAAAACAGAGGGTTCCACTCTTATATCCCACAATATATCTAATGATTTCGGTGGAATATTTCGCTGTACCGCTTCCAATAATGCCGGTACTTCTGTTCTCACTTATAAAGTGACCGTAGTTTCTGCTGCAAAAGTAAATGAAATAGTCGTTTACACCCAGGGAGTGGGTGAGACTGTTCTTACTCGGGCTGATGTTAAGGTAAGTGAAGCTATCTCTGTAAGTCGTATCCGGGTCGAAGGACCAGATTTTTAACTTAAATTTAAATAAATTTATTTCTATTTTCGTAATGCTTCGATGATTGTTTTCAATATTTTCAGAACACTCAAATGCACATAGTCTCAAAAAAAAAATATTTTCTCTTTATTTTGGCAGCAAACAGTCGTTTACAGGTATATTACATAATTATACATCAGTTATGAGTAAAGACCTATAGTGCCGAAAAGTGATATTTACAATATTTTTTCTATGGTCGCACTTACTTTCTCTACAGACCGACAAGGATCCCCACCAATGCGAACGAAAATCGTAACTATAGCCGCCACCGCCACACAAATGTTATATTTTTTTTTGTATGTCGTTTACGCAGACAGCGGTGCCCCCCCGAACCGTCACACACACTCACAAAGATCCAAAATCCATAATATTAGTCGTATTACTAAATAATAATCATGCCGGCACTTCTTATGACTATTCGCATTTGCTTATTGTTAACTTGAAAACAGTCTCTCTTTTTCGTTCCCTCTATAGCATGAGAAGAGAGAGAGAGAGAGAGAAAGAATCATATCCATTTTATTGACCAATAAAACACAAACATACTTATATCGAAATGACAAATGGCAAATACGAATCGCCATGCCAGCATCCTAAAAATGACAAAAAGTTTAGTGTTAATATTTGAATCGTTTACAGCAAGGTACCCGTGTCAGAATCTCGTGTAAAGCGTTAGGCCAACCTGTACCCAAAATACAGTGGATTAAGAGTGGAAATGTCTTGAGCGAGAACAAATCCAACATAAGTTACGCGGATTTTGTGTTAGAAGACATTCGAACCATACATTCTGGGATATATTCTTGCGTTGTGCTAAACGAAGGCGGTATGGATGAAAAGAAATTCAGGCTGGAAGTCTTGGGTACGTAAAACAATGAATTTAAATAATATTTGTATTTGAACTTCATCGATGCACAGACAACATAAATTGATGTAGGTTAACTAATCCTGATATATTTATCCAACATATTTTCTACTTACAAGTATACGTAATAAAAAATCGTACAGTAGCACAGTTAAAAATACTTCAAGTCGCTCCGAAAGTGTTAAACTGTCCCAAGTCCCAACCATTACTAAGATATATTAAGCGATATAAATCTCAAATTCATAAGCAGAAATATCACATTTTGGCATCGTGATTTCTAATTTCAACATTTGTAATGGAAAGTGACTTCATGAGTTATCTCATATTGAAGTCATTTTTCAATTTGACGACTCTGTATATAATACAGGGAGAAAAAAACAGCCCTTGCTGAGTTTCTTGCCGGTTTTTCTTAGTACAAGGTCTCCCGCTGTAGATTTGCGAACCGATGGCTTTTCGACATACACAATAGCCTAGACTAAATAAACGATATTGAATTCTTAATTTAATTCTTTTCTTGATGATTTCTCAGAACCACCAAAAATATTCAACACGCTTTTCGAGACCGTTAATCCTTCTAACGACGTAGTTAACTTAGAAGTTCTATCGGGACAATCTTTTTCGATGCACTGCCATCCGTACGGTAACCCAATACCAGAAGTGTATTGGTTCAAGGACGGTCTTCCACTAAGATTGTTCGACGACAGTATGGTCTCTACGGACTTTGGTGAGGTGATCGTGGCAAATAAAGCTCGTTACGAACAATCTGGAAATTATACATGTGTCGCCAGGAATAGCGTTGGGAACGCCAGTTTTGTATATCTCGTTGATGTTTTGGGTGAGTAAGTTTGGTTTTAATTAATAACCATGGTGACCATACCAAACCACCATCAATAAAATATTACGTATCGTAATGATAAACATAGAATATCTTCTATAATATAAAAAATAATCGCTGAATGTGTAGCTAAGCGCAAATCTCGAGAACAGCTGAACCGATTTCAATAATTCTTTTTTTAGAATATTCTTTGAAGTACGAGGATGGTTCTTACGCAGAGAAAAAATAAAAATATTGCTTGAAAATGTCCAAAAACAAAACACTTTTCCATACTCCTATACAAACGATTCGTAATAATACTTAAAAGTCAATTTGAACTTTAATACCATACCATAAATTTCAAATGTTAGTGGAGAGATTCTGGGCAGGCAAAACAATTAAGCGACGTGATGTCAATAGAAGTTTGGAAAAGACAAATATACCATTTTCAGTTTTCTTAAAATTAAATATATGAAGAGTCATTTAAATCTACACTACAGCTCTACACCGAAGCGAAGCGAGGGAGGGCCACTAGTTTCTTATAAAAGCGAAATGAGCAGAGTCAGTCAGCGGTCCTACATTAAAAATAACGATAATCGGGCGGTAATTTGTCAATTGAGTTATACAACGTGTATCAGAAATAACTCACACCCTACAAGTAGTTTGTTACAAATGCACAAATGAATCAATCTCAGTAATTTTTATTTTTATTTAATCTGTTTAACCTGTGACATCTCAATGTTAGTAAAAAAAATCATGCACCATTGCATTTTAAAAAAGGCCTTATTACCATGCATTATGTTTCCAATTCTTTAGATTGATAGTGATTTAATGATATTATTGTCAATTATTTTTCTCGAAAATATTTTTAAGATGCTTTTTTTTATCGAAATCGATTCAGAAGCCAGTTCCAACTTAAAAAAACAAACCACTTTCAGGGTGTGCGTTATATCTGATATAAGTTGTATATTAGACCTTAATGTCTTAAAAACGAGATCGTAAAATATAATCTTAATACCACAATAAAAGTTAGTCATGCGTTAAATATGACTTTAAGAAAAATGTCATACAAAAGTCTCTAAACAAGGTTTGAAATCGTGTCTAACTTTTTGGTAGTAAGACTGTTTCGACGTGCCTTGTTCGATTTTATTATTAAGCTGATTTAGTGCAGGAAATGTTAGAAGTCACATAACTAACAGGTTATTCATTATTATTTTAGGTGATTACGTCTGTAATGCTTTTCAAACTTATGTGTTATCATTAGTAGATATGACTAGCTTCTCCAGCAAAATGATAAAATATTGTGTTGTTGATGACTTTTAGTTTATAGTTATACCTAAATATCAATTTCAGTTCCTCCACCGATCCCTAAAGACAGTGTAAGAGTTACTACGACTAGAATAGGCCACGTACTGAACCTGACTTGTCCGGTGGAGGGCAGCCCTGCGCCCGTCGTCACGTGGCTGCGACAACCCTACGAAGAGATCGGTCAGAATACGCCGAGAGTTGAACTACTCAATGACAACGTCACGTTGGTAAGATTCGCGCATACTATTAAATAACTTGTTACGTGTCGGGATGGGTTTGAAATTATTATGTCAGTGTACGCTTGACAGTTCTTTTTTTTTAAAACACTGTTCTATTGTGAACACAAAATAATGATTATAGTTTACTCTGGTTTACTATACAAGTCCTTATGGGCTACTCCTACTCCTTTTGGGCTAAATCTTTTTCTAGATTGATCACGACAATAAATATCTTCGCGTATGGCCTTTACTATGGGAATTTGCTATCATTGAGCATCGGGTTCATAATCATTGTCACCAGCTTATTATGGCCCCATTGCTGAAGCACAGACCTTCCCTATGAATGGAATAGGGAGATTGGGCGGTGGCACATGGCTTGACGTGCCTTCCGAAGCAAACAGGAGCTTGAGATAATTAGTTTTTGGTCTGTTCTATGACAATTTCAAGTTGGTAAGATTCACACATCATAATGACGCTATTAATATCCCCACTGCTGGCGCACAGACCTTCCCTATTAATAGATTACAGAGATTAGGCCATAAGCCTGACCCATCACAGTGAGATGAGAGTGAGAGTTTTAGAAAACGATTTCACAATATTTTCTAATGTTTATGGAGTCTGTAATATAATTTTTATGTATATTCATCATGCTGTTGTGTATTTCACTAGGAAAAAATCGTTTTTCATGTTGCAATTTCTGGTCAATGATTTTTTCTAAAAGTTTTTAATTATTTGTTCTCTGAGAATAGAAAAATTGCTGCTTAAATTCATTTTAAATAGAGATGTCAACAATTGGTACTTTAATTTTCATTTGTTAAATAGCCTATTACTGGGTGGTCAAACAACTGCAGATGAAGCCGCCCTGTCTCTCTTCTGACTTCTTTTTTTAATCTTTTTCTATGCACGCTGCTCGGCTGTGGAATTCTCTCCCTGAAGAATTGAGAAAGGCTCATCCATTTAATTCTTTTAGCTATCAAGTTAAAAGCTATTTCCTTACCTTATTTGAAATTCATTTAGCAACCCATTTCTTTGCTTCTCTTATATTTATGTAAATATATCTACTGTGTCTACTTTTGCACCTATCTATATTCCTCAATTATAATTCCTTTTCCACCGTAGGTTGCCTGGAAGAGACCTCTGTTTAGCAATAAAGCCACCTCTTGTTTTATTTGTTTATGTCTCGTGTCCTTTGTTGTGTTCAATAAAGATATTGTCTATTATAATATTATTCTTTATTTATAAATAGTTCACATCATTTTTCAGCTCATTAACAACACCGCAGTCTCGGACAGCGGTAAGTATTCCTGCGTGATGACCAACAAAGTAGGCACCACCGAGATAGTATTCGACGTCACTATCGAGATGGCGCCGTCCATCGCCGGCAACGTAGGCAAAGATATAGCAGAGAACCACGTGGTGCCTTTGATGAGGAGCGTTGTACTGAAATGCGAGGTCAAAGGACACCCCGCGCCTTCGATCACTTGGTTGAAGGTAATAAAATATATAAATAAATATTTATAACACACACACACACCAATTTGCGTAGCCACAAAATAATCACTGCAAGGCTTGTGATATGGGATATTAGGGTAACGGATAGAATACTTATACTGATCCATATTATAAGTATATTTTTATTTTGAAATACATTAAAATATCCATGACTAAGGTGTGTACAAATGCTAGTATTCATTAAACAAACATTTTCCCCATCGGGATTCGAACCTCACTATAATTCCTCTCTTCGCCTATGAGTAGGCGACACCTTGAAAACCGGCGTACATATCACTCGAGCCACGGAGATCTTCGAATAGTGACTTTATTTTGAAATTATCCATTTTGCACTCCCTTAAACGGCGTTGACATGCTCAAAGTCTGCTTTGACAAAGTAGCTTTAGTCATAGTCATTTGTTCCTTAAACAATTTTCATCGTATTGGAAATCACAAATAATTTACTATTAAATGACTTACTACTTACTATACTTTATGTAATAAAATTATATATTATTTAAAATTGCAGCACACAATTGAAATAAATCGACTATAATTTAAACATGTCAAAGAAATTTCATATTACATTTCAATTTCTGTCATCTAAATATTCTTCTATGGAATAGTTGTTTGATAACCACTTTGACGCTACTTTAATCGCGTGAAACAGTTATCACAGCGCACTTTGATGTTGGCGTCCAATCAAAGTCGAAGTTGGACCGTACTCAACTTTTGTCGAAAATTACTTTGTCAAAGTTGATTTTGAGCATGTCATCTCGGATTTACGTCCGATTCCGATATGCGCTGTTTAATATTCATCATGGACCAATAATAAGTTAGCTACTTTGCCAAAACAGACTTTGTAAAAAGTTGAGTACGGTCCAAGTTCACTCTGATTGAATGCCGACGTCAAAGTAATGTCAAAGAGCGCTTTGATTGCTAGTTTACACGATCAAAGTAACCGCAGGGTAGTCATCAATGCTACTTTGTCAAAGCAGACTTTGAGCATGTCAACGCGGTTACCAATGATGATATCTGTGAGTCCTCTGTACTTTCTTTATGTATACCAAATCTCATGTTTTATTTTGCGGCATACGAGCAGACGGTTCACCTGATGGTAAGTGATCACCGTCGGACACTTGCAACACCAGGAGTATCACAAATGCGATGCCGGCCTTTAAGGAAGGAGTACGCTCTTTTTTTGAAGGTTTTTGGGTCGTATTGGTCCGGAAACACTGCTGGCGACAATATATTCCACAGTTTTGTCGTACGTGGTAAAAAGTTTCGACAAAAACGCACGTTTATGGATATCAAGATGATGGGGATGAAATTTTTGTCGCGATGTACGATGGCGAAATACAGCAGCTGGAATTAATCCGAACAATTCCTCAGAACACTCTCCGTGATAAATGCGATAGAAGATGCAGAGCGAAGCTACATCCCTACGCAAAGCCAAAGGATCAAGCTGATCGGAAAGGTCCTGGTCGTCGACGATTCGAGCCGCTCGGCGCTGGATGCGATCTAAAGGGAGAAGCTGGTACTGGGGTGCCCAAAGATGAGAGCAGTACGCCATGTGAGGCCGAACCTGTGCCTTATAAAGTTGCAGTCTTTGGGCCGGTGTGAAGTACATTCTCGATCTATTGAGCTTCTTAGAGGCCAATTTTGTCTTGCCCTCTAAATGATCCCGAAACTGGACGTCACTCGATATGTCAACGCCAAGAATTCCAATACTAGCTGAGGCAGTTAGAGGAGTATTCTCAAAAAGAGGAGATACGACAAATGGTATTTTTTTTGCGGAGAACGCGCATACTTGTGTCTTCGTGGGGTTAAATTGGACTAGATTAAGTCGGCCCCAATTCTTGGTTTTGGTTTAACAAAGTTTCGACTTCAGACACAAGTTTGTTCCGGCTCTCGATGACGTTTTCCCGTGAAATGTTGGCGCGGCCGGTATATAGGGCATCACCCGTTCTGTCGTCTGCATAACAATGAATGCCATCAATTTGAAGCATATCATTGATATGAAGAAGAAACAGCGTAGGCGATAGCACACAGCCTTGCGGTACACCAGCGTTTACGGATTTGGAGTCCGAGCATGCACCGTCGACTGCGACCTTGATGCTCCTGTCCGCAAGAAAGCTAGTGATCCAAACGCACAGCTTTTCAGGAAGCCCATAAGAAGGAAGCTTCGAAAGAAGAAGCGCTTTGTCCCAAACCCGATCGAAGGCCTTCGCGATATCCAGACCGACCGCCAATGCTTCCCCCTTGGTCTCGATCGCCTTTGCCCAACGATGAGTCAGGTATACTAGTAGATCACCAGCCGAGCGACTCTGACGGAAACCGTACTGGTGGTCATTAATCAGCTGGTGGTCCTCTAGGTAGCGCAGGAGCTGGCAATTTATAATGGACTCCATTATCTTGGAGAACAAGGAGGTGATGGCTATAGGCCTACTAATTAGTAGGGAGTGAGCGGTCGCCTTTTTTAGGAATCGGGTGCACTAAAGCTGTCTTCCATGAGTTCGGAACGACACCTAAAGAGTAGGAGAGCCGGAAAAGACGCGTTAGTACCGGAGCCAACTCCAGGAGCACACGTCTTCAGCACAATTGGTGAGATTCCATCAGGCCCACTCGACTTGTGGATGACAAGGGAAAAGAGTGCTTTACGCACTAAGCTTTGTGTGAACCGGATCTCCGGCATAGAGCTCTCACACCGCGGGATGGTCGGCGGTATGTATCCCCTGTCATTTAGAGTCGAGTTAGACGCAAAGAGTGAGCATAAAAGATCCGCTTTCTCTTTTGCAGTATGGGCCATCGATTAGTCGCCATTGTGCAGGGATGGAAGGGATGGCTTACAAAAATTTCCTTCAACAGCCTTAGCAAGAGACCAAAATGCGCGGGTTCCAGAGGGCAGTTTTATCAATCTCTCGCCAATGCTGCTAATGTGCTCCGACTTCGGTCTGGCAATTACTCTTTTGCTGGACCTGGAGGCCAAGTTATACTTCTTTCTTTAGTTATACATATAAATCGGCTGACTAATTTAAGCGTGATTTTGTAACAGATGAGACTCACATTCACATTTTTAGATTAGTTTTTTGTCTTATGACAGTATATAGCATAATAACCCTTGCTTGAGCTTTGGCATGTTCGTCTATATAATGTTCGATATTTTTTGCATAATACAAGGCACTTATTAAAAGAAAATGCCCTAAACATAGACTATACATGTGTAATTTGGCGAATTATTAAGTGATGTAATTCTATATGAGAATAAATCTCACAATTTACCTGTAATATTTAACACTTATAATTTTATTTAATAAATTTTAAGTCTAAATATTATTTTACTCTAAAAGAAATCTTTCGACTTTGACATCTAGCACTTAAATGCTTTTAATAATAATATAATAAACTTATATATAGGTACTGGGTATTCTTAATTTTATTGACACTCAACTGAGAGTGAAAATATCTTGTTTATATAAACTTCAAGGACACGCAACGCATCCCGAACGACTCGTCCAACATCCAGTACGTATTAGGCAGCAGTTTGCTCGGCGTATGGAGAGTGACGAGCGAAGCCGCGGGGCAATACGTGTGTGTGGCCCAGAACAATGCCGGTGCTGCCCATCGCCGGTACAACGTCGCCGTGCAAGGTAGACACAGACGTATCATACCAGATAACGCTAGTGCATGTATTTCACGTGCCAAAATCAAGCCGAGAGCGAGAGCAAAGCTCTTTCTTTGACGCTACTTCATTTCTGTGCGTCATCGTTGACGATACCGGTACCTCAAGCACGAATTTCGACAGATCCGTATACTAAGCACGAACCAATATCGAATTCGAATAATTATATTCGATCTAGTTATACGTGAAATGTGTACAGTCTTTGCTACGTTATTTGTGGCGTTGCTGTTTAAGAGCCCTTTTACAAAATTGCTGATTTGAACTGCGGATCTGAACAAAATCGATTTGCACTAGTATATATTGCATTTTACGCCTTATGTTTAGAGTCTTATAAAATAATTACGATTGTTATTATTATCAAAATATATACATATTTCAGTAGTTCAATGTTTGTAGATTAGTTTTATGAAAGTTTTTGATAGTAATTCTATTTAATTCAATATCAAAATACGTGGCACCCCTGCATTATTTTTTGGAAAAACTCACGGAGGTAAGATGTTTTTTTAATAATTAACGAGATGAAAAATCAAGATTCTAATACATTATGTTACAACAAAAACATATTTCTGATGTCGTAGTAATTTATTTGATCTATTTTATTGAACATTTTTGAGAGATTGAGGCCTTTGAACTTGTGCATATTATTGTTTTTTCCCTAAACTAGCTGTGGTAGAACGATCAGTACAAAAAAAAGGAAAATAGTATTTGTAAATATTCAACATTAACTTACAATAGGAAAAATAAATCCACTGTTCACCAAAAATAAATCCACAAATAGTCAAAATCTTTTCTAAGGGAGTAAACGAGGCGCTCAAAAATTCCGATTTTTTGCAAAAAATGTGAAAGGGCTCTTAAGTTTCCATACAAAATTTGACAGCGACATTTCTCACTCGCACACTATTCGAATACGATATTGGTTCATGTTAAGGGTACCGTATTCGAATCGCAGTGTCAAAGTTTCTATGGAAACTAAGTAGCGCCTCTACTAGATCAAAAAGGATCTAGCTTTTTCCATTGAAACTGACACTGTTATACGATTTTTTTTCTCGTTAGTTGGTCCAGTGTGCGTCAATTGATTTCTTTGTCATAAGTTAATGACATGTAATTGATGTACAGATAAATGCATAGTTATAATCTATAGGTACACTAGCTGACCCAGCGAACTTCGTACCGCCCTAAAAAAATAGGGGTTGTCCAGCGGACAACCGGAGAAGTTCAGTGACATACACACTCACAGAAGAATTATATATATAAAGATTATCACAGTTCGTTTTCTTAATAAAATAAAATAAATAACACACTTTAAGTCATCGCAAAAGGGCGATATGTTGTTTTGATTATCGATCTCATACTTCTGAAGTTTGTTGTATGTATAATTTTAACTGTATTTTAAATTATGCCGCTATCTAATGCCGCTTCCTATATACTAAATATAAAGTTAACTATAAAATTTATTGTAACTATATATTTATATTCTAAATGATGTAATGGAAAGTGACTTCAGACGTATCTCTGAAGTCATTTTTCAACTTGACGACTCAGAAACTCTTGAGAAAAAAACAGCTCTTGCTGAGTTTCTTGCCCTTTCTTCTCAGTACAAGGTCTCCCGCCGTAGTTTTGCGAACCGTTGGCGAAGCTTTTTGACCTTCATAAATGCTTGTAACAGCCTAGACTGAATAAATGACTTTTTATTTTATTTTATGCAGTGCCGGGTAAATGGAGCACTTGGTCCTCGTGGAGCTTCTGCAACACCACGTGTGGGCCGGGATACCAGCATCGCAGTCGTATCTGCCAGTACATCGATGACGATAACGTTACTTACGGTCAGTATTCTGTGCCTTTCACCATTGGTCCATGACAAAAATGTGAATGTGAAGTATCAGAAGTGACAACATTTTTTTATTTTATTTCAAACTTAGTTTAATTCTAAAATTTATAGGTACTTATGTCATTTTATTTTATTATATTCTAAGTCAATTTTCGTTTCTAAATATTCACTAAGTTAGTGAAAACATTTCGCTATTAGCCACATTTTAAGCTTCCTTTTAAATATAGTCAAACTAAGCTCCGTTACCAAGCGTGGTAACTTATTGTAGATTTTTATACAATTCGGATAGCAGTTTTTGTTGTAATATTGAGTACGCATATTGGGCAACATCAATCTACCACGATGTCTCGCTAATCTGGTGGTATCTGTGTTTTTAAATTTAATATTATAAGGATGTGTCTTAACAAGCGAGAGGATTTTATGGGTAGGTTCGACAAATGACTCCACCCCACCTGATGTTAAGTTTTGTGTGAATATATAGAAAATAAGAACACTCGTGTGACAAACAAGCTAATCGTATGCTACCAGATTCCATTCGGCCGGATAGCAGAAGGCGTTTGTTCGAATCCAGCCACCTCGACCGAGGGCAATTTATGTTAGTATAATTTTCTTTAGGTTTGTAAATCTAGCAGTTCAATGCTTAAAATTTAAATATAATTAAGGTCCATTTTCAGCAATTTTTCTAAATCTAATTGAACTGAAACTAGTTATAGCCTAGCCCCCACACAATAGTGTTAAATTGACATTTTCTATGGGATTTATTTATTTTTAGTTGAATAGAGATTTAGTAAACTTGCTGCAAGTTGGCCTAAAAACGTCCTTTTCAAGAGAGAGTGAACTTTTAAATCAATTATTATAATGTTAAAAATGCTTTCAAAAACGAACTAACAATTTAAAAACAAAGTTCATTTATTATATGTGTAATTTTTACGAAGGGAATGTAGGTATATACCCCGTCAAACTTCTTGAGCAACAGCCATAGACAAGGAATCTTGCGCAATAGCAATTTCACCTACAAAAACATCTACTGCGCAAGTTATTGATTTGTGTGCGGTTTTGGTCAAGAAGTTTACCGCTACCTATATGAATCGATCTTCTTTTAGACAAAACAACTCAATCGCAAAAAGTCATTTTGGACATGTCGGAATGCAAAGGTTCTGAAGTTGATAAACGCAGATGCAACATGCCACCGTGCGAGGTAAGAATCTAATTTGTTTCTATAATATCAAAAAATGTGGTCAATGGGACTTTACGAACTTGAGCAAATTTGGTTTAAAAAAATAGGTTTTATACAAATATAGTTGCTGTATCCCATTAGGGAGTGTAAATCTAATATATAAAATTCTCGGTTCGCGGTGTTTGTGGTTAAACTCGTCCGAAACGGCTTTCCCGATTCTCATGAAATTTTGTGTGCATATTGGGTAGGACTGAAAATCGGACAACATCTATTTTTCATCCCCCTAAATGTTAAGGGTAATCCACCCCTATTTTTTTTTTCAATTTTAGATATTTATTTTTTATTTTTTTTATGATACAGCATTAGTAAATACATACTACCTTAAATTTTCACCCTTCTACCACCAACCCCTATTTTTTTATGGCTTTACGAAGGTCGCTGGGTCAGCTAGTAAAATTATAATACTTAGCATTCGAAAATGTCAAAGTCTATGAATTGAATAACAATAATATTTTTAAGAGCCAGATGAGTATAGTGAAGTTTACTTTTATTGAGGAGCTAAATGACGCGACTGGTTAGCTCGTTTGTTCGGCTGCGAGGTTAAGAAACTTTCGCAGTGGCCGATCATTGGATGGGTGACCAAAGCACGTTGAGCCGTTGGTCCCGGCTGCATCTGCATTCGTTAGCACCCACCAAGCCGCACTGGGCCTGCGTGGTTGGTCACGGCCCTACATCTCTATTCCATCCATAGAGAAGGCCTGTGCCCCAGCAGTGGGGACATTAATAAGCTGATGATGATGAGCAGTTTGAAGAAAAGAATATTCAACTATTGATGAAAAAGCGTTTATTATTGCTTCGTTTAAGTATTGCTGAATATTATTTGAGGAGCTGGCGAACAAAACGGTATAATTACAGAATAGTGTATTTGACAAGTTTTAGAAAAAGATCTCATGTTATTGAATAATGTTTATGGAGTCCGTAAATGGATATTCATCATTCTGTTGTGTATTTCAGTAAAAATAACCAAATCAAAAACTCCATTTACAACTTGCCGCGAAAACGTTTCTCTGGACAATATGGCGTCTTGCGTTGTGACGTCACACGACTGTTATTAAAACGTCAAACGATATAATGTAATGTCACTTTAACCGAAAGTTTACTAGCATGTGATGTTATTTTAGGCTCCGCCAATCCCAAGCGTTTTGAGTCACGTTACAATAGATAAGAAAACTATTATCTTTTTCGTGGGTTTTTAGTAAATTTATGATTTTTTTTGTAAAAATACTAAAAACCCCTGCCAATATTCATTCTAAACACAAATGCTAACAATTGACACTTTATTTTTAATACTGTCAAATACCCTATTAGTCACAAGTCACAGTACGTTTCTTTTACAATCCAGCTGTTTTGGGCCATTTGAATTGGAATCTCAAGTCATTTTCAATCAATACCGCCTAAAACAGTGTTAAAATTACTAAATAAATTAATTAAAAACCACACCCAAAGCTCACTGTAGGTACGAATATGTCATTCGGTTTTTACCCTGCCTGTAAAATTTAAATTAATGTAATTAACTTAAGTAATAACGTTTGGTTCACCAGCTGATCATTTCTACTTTACGTTTGCCGTAGGAACCGGTTGTAGCTCGATGGTCAACGTGGTCACCATGGTCTAGTTGTTCGGCGTCGTGTGGCAGCGGAACACAGGCCAGAACCCGGAAATGTATGACCACGCGACCCTGCTACGGGACCAATGTACAGGTAAATCAAAATTTTAAATCATTTATTCAGTCTGGGCTGTTACAAGCACTTGTGAAGTACAAGAAGCTACGCAATCGGTTCGCATATCTACGGCGAGAGACCTTGTACTGAGACGAACCGGCAAGAAGTGTCTTGCCGGTTCTCATCAGCCTTTTAGATGCTAAGTGCAGCAAGAGCTGTTTTTTCTAACTGTATTATTTTTTACAGAGTCGCCAAGTAAAAAATCAGTTGTCTTTCTTCCTTTATCCTAATATCATTATGTAGGAGGTCACCGTTTTTTTTTGTCTGGGAAATGCTTTACGCATCCTTCAGCCATCGGGGGAGCGAGAAGAAGGTATGTGGGACTCTTCGGCCCGGACCCGGCCTAAGGGTTGGCTGAAATGAGCAGGGCTCTACCTAACGCCCTGAACAGGGCCACTAAAAACCAACCAGACAATACTCCTGCACCGGTCACCCGGCGTACATTCTGTGGACCGCAGTCCCCCCAATGCACGCCGGGAGTGCGGGTGTGGTCGCGGTAACCGTTGCCGACTGTCCGCGCAAAGGAGGTCACCCCTACACGCTAACTGCACAACCATTATAAAGTGAATCACAGTGTACCCTCGTCTGCATTGATTTTTTTCAACTTGTTTTTGTATTCCTTTTTCTAAATTTCCGTTGGAAAGGTTACTTAATAATGTCTTATTTACTCTTTTAGATAAGGAAGTGTCCTAAATTACCCAAATGCGAAGGCAACGCTGAGAAACGTGACATAGAAGCTTCTAGCATTGAGGAGACCACAGACACGGTATGTACCAAGAAAACACGTTACTTAAACCAACACGAAATTAATGTAACTGCCGCGCTCGAGTAAATCCTAAATTCCCCGCTTGGGCAACCCTACTATAAAATGAAAGAGACAAAATTATATAAATCATGTTTTAGTCGGTTTTGTTTTAAATACAGGATCCGTACATGCCTGCAGAAGTGTATGAAATGCAGCCAGAAGTAATAAGCATGCATAGAAACAAGATCCTCGATGTCGAAGAATTCGGAACTAAGCCAGGTAAATATAATGGAATAATAACAGTTTTTGGAAAATCCCTCAGGAACCCAAAATGTTTTCAGGGTCTAAAGTATATTATTTCTCAATCCATGTAAAAAACTATATGCGTGTCAAAGGACATTGCTCAGCGTCCATACATAGCCTAAGAACCAACAATCATGAAATATTATTTTCTAGGTTCAAAGTCGTAAGTAAATGACTGTAAAAACAAAGATTATTGACGGACACTTCTGAGAACTTAAATTATTAGGAAAACTAAAATTTTTTGAGGTTATGTTTAATATTCAATGAAACATAGGTCAACCTATGAATTTAGTATGAACTCAGTATGAAGTGAATTAATATTACAACTAATTCATTTTATTCGGTGCTATTTTAAAGAATAACTATTAGGAAAAACTTGGTCAGGTAGGAATCATGAATAAAATAAAAACTGTAGTTTCGATTCTTATTTAATGACTATTTTTCACTTAATTGTATCATATTGTTTATTGTATTTATTTGTATATCACATTATATTGTGTAAATATGCAGCGTGAATGTGTATCAGGTGTTCTTGAATAATTTGGCTATTATTATTGATTAGATCCTCTCAGGATGTGGCACAGGTTCACTAGCACTTGGTAATAAGGGCTCTGCTCTTTGGTAATATCGATGGCATATTAGATAGCCGATATAGTTAAATTAAAGGAAAAACATTCGCAAATAAACACACACAACAGGTAATCCGAAACGAGAATGCACTTTCCCGTATATTATATACTACTCTTTGGAATGCACGAATGCCACAGATTACTACAAATGAAAACTGCATGCACCACAACCACAGAGTAAAGAATTTTATGCCGGCCCTTCTCTTGACAACAGTTTGTCCTTGTCATGCTTAGTAAGGAATGAAAAGGACAGACTGATGTCATGTTTTAAAATAGCAAATACGAATAACCAAGTGAAGTGCCGACATTAGGAAGAAAAAGTGTTTTGTTTGCAGCGCTGCCATAGATTATACACATAAAATGGTATTTATTGTCTCAGATTATTTTTTAACTTTTTAATTTAGCTTACTTAACTGGAAGTGTCCGTCACAATCTAAATACTGATAATTATCGCAAAAAATATACTAAGAATTATCATAAATGCCAAATTGGTGTTGGTTCTTAGGCCAATTTTAACATTGTCCTTTCATCCAAATTCGTTCAGCCGTCTTTGCGTGATTGAATAACAAACAAACTCACTTTTGCATTTATAGTTGGGATTAAGTATTAAAAATAGCGATAGTCCAGGACAGGGCCCGTACTAGAAATCTTTCTGTTCATCCTTGGATTCGAGCTTCATACAATGAAGAGTGTTAAGGAAAATGTACGTTACCAGTTAGCACACTTTTGTATGATATTTTTGGCAAGAATTAGTCGAATGGACAGTTAAATTGATCTACATAGTATGACGACATACTTAATTTGACGGATAATTAGACCTTACGACTCAGTGCTGTCAACTGGCGCCCGTTAAAAAAACCCATTTAAAAAAGCTAGTGTGCTTATGACCACACGATTGAAGTGAAACTTCTGTAGCTCCAATGATCTGAAAATCATAAACTACTGCTTGGAGTCCGCATTTAAGCAGTATTTGCGGGCTATTAAAAATTTTACGGCTCTAGAGATAGGTCATTTCGCCAAGTTAATCTATGGTTAAACTTTTTCATACAAAAGTAGGCTCTAACTATCACAAAAAAAGGTATAAGTCCCGTGGGTAGCGCGCCGCGATCGGGGCGTGCGGTGTTTGACCGTGCGATGTATTTTTCGAGCGCGCCTCGATCCGGGCGTGTGGTCTTATTTGACCTGAACATTTGTTGATAGAAAAAAAACCACCATTCCGCGCTGGGTCCGTTATCACCCTCCATTCCGCACTGGGTCCATTATCACCCTCCAATCCGCGCTGGGTCCATTATAAGCCACCAATTCGCGCCGGGTCTATTATCACCCACCAATCCGCGCTGCGACCGTTATCACCCTCCAATCGGCACTGGGTCCATTATCAGCCACCAATCCGCGCCGGGTCCATTATCACCCACCAGTCCGCGCCGGGTCCATTATCACCCACCAATCCGCGCTGGGACCGTTATCACCCTCCAATCGGCACTGGGTCCATTATCAGCCACCAATCCGCGCCGGGTCCATTATCACCCACCAATCCGCGCTGGGTCCGTTATCACCCACCAAGCACAAGATGTATTTTGGGACGGGTATTGTTCATTGTTTATCGATGAGTCCCCGATGACGCTAATCGAAACGTGAAATCGTAACACATTCGCTAGTTTACCCCCCCTCCCCCCCACCCCACCAAGTAAAGCATGCCTAAAGAAGTTTCTCTTCAACAAAATTTTCAAAATGAATGTAAGTTCTACACAGCGACTATATCCTCTAGTAAGTATAATTAGATAACATTGTTTCTTCCACAGCTATTCCGTCTGCAGTATTCTACGATGTGAACGTAAACAATAACTTAGACTTCAGCGATCCGGGCCCCTGTAATCCGGGATTCACGCACAATGGAATCACCAACACTTGCGATGGTAATTTTTATTCATCGAAATAATAATAATATAATATTTCCCCCACTCGCACCAATTAGCCTAGCCACAAAGTTAGCACTGTAAGCAAATTTTGATTTTGGTATACAAGAGTATAGTTTTATTTGATACATAAACTTCCAGACGCAGATATCGGCCCATTTTGTGTTATTAGTTTTAACTAGGGATTGCAATCCGGCGGTTCCGGCGTCATTTTCAGTCCGGCCGAATCCGGCATATGTGTTAACCAATGTTAAGACAACACAATTAAAATTTGGTAGTGTAAAAGTAACTAGTTATAATTTTACGTAATGAGTAGCTGTCTTTCTAGATTTCACTTTCAAGATAAATCAATTTATAAGTAACAATAATAATCAAGTAACTATAATATCTAATAGATACAATTAACCTTACGTAATTAACTGAAATAAGATCTAAATCATTCACAGGTCTGCAACAAAAATGCTGTCTGGATATTTTCAACTAATTTATATGTATTAAGGTGTTCTGAAAAAAAAAATACTTAAAATATTCCAGAACGTCAGGTTATTTTGCAAAACGTAAAATCTACTATATAAAAATAAGTCGGGTTTTCCTTCCTGACGCTATAACTCCAGAACGCACGAACCGATTTCCACGGTTTTGCATTCGTTGGAAAGGTCTCCGGCTCCGTGAGGTTTATAGCAAAGAAAATTCAGGAAAAAATAAAAAAAAATCGTTTTCTTTTAATCACAAAACGAAATGTTACATAAAACGAAGCTATCTGGTGGCGAAACGGAGTTCGCTGGTTTTGCTAGTTTTATTATAAAAATGGTATTTTGGGATAACTTGAAAAAAAAAATATAACTATAATTGCTATTTCTTCTTTCAAATGTTTAATACTTGTAAAAGTATTCATTTGACATTGTGGGTTACCTACCTATAATGCGAAGAGATGGCGCTGCCATGCAGCTTAAGAATGGCTAGAAGAATTTCGACGTGATCCCTGATGGCCGCGGTAGCATAATTGGTCAGTGCATTCGCCCGGATTGCGAAGGGTGCGGGTTCGAGTCCCGTCTGCTGCCTGGTCCGCGTGGAATTTTTTCTAGTTATATTTTCTTTAGATTTAAACATCAAGCAGTTACATGCTTTAAAATAATAAAAATTATAACTTGAAGGCATAAAAAATAGGTAAAAAACTTTTTTGGTTATTGTTTTTAAATGTACACGGGACTTAACCAACATTAAATTTAACCTACTCATGCAACAGCAATATTATTTTGCCACAAACTGCTAGCACCGGACCCGGTCTTCGATCCGGTTTATTGGTAGCGGATCCGGTAACCGTCAAATGATGCCGGATCCGCCGGATTACCGGATCCGTTTTTCCGGATTGCAAATCCTAGTTTCAACTGTCTGTGCCAAAAAGAATTAAGTTAAGTTGAGCCTATGATATATTATTTAAAATTTTTATTTTTTGATTTAATGATAAAAGGTTTTACGTGGTGTAATAATTCTTGAAAAACACGTAATGGCATATGATAGTACTTTTCAAACATATCTGGATTTGCGCATAAACGTTCATATAAAGTATGGAACTGTCCACATATCAGCCTCTGACTATTCAGTGGGTTTACCCAGTTTCTTTTTCTGGCCTCGTCTTCTGAATATGCTTCGTAAATACACAATTTTTTTAATGGATCCATTGCACTCGACGACACGAACACCCCGTACTAACGCTCAATAGTAACTGAATAAATTACGTTCGTATGGCAGCTCAACTGAAATTCAGTTGAACGTAAAATAAGTGACCGAAAATAAGCGACTCACAACTCACAAAATTACGCTCGTTTGGCTTCACCCTAAGGGCTTCGGGCTTATCGAAGAAAAACAGAAAATCGTTTGAATGCTCGTCTAATGGACCTGAGACTGAAGAGATGCCGCACTTTGTTGAAGCGGTACGCGAGAAAAAAATATCGGGAAATTATTTTCTCGGATGAAAAAATTTTTACCGTAGAAGAGAGCTACAACAAACAAAATGATAAGGTGTACGCACACAGTAGTGAAGAAGCGAGCAACCGTATTCCGCGTGTCCAACGAGGTTATTTTCCATCCTTGCTCATGGTATGGTTGGGAGTTGTGTATCAAAATACAGTCCTGACGAACCATGTGGAACCTGTTTCTCATACCATGTTCAATAACAGGCAGGCAGGGTATTCCAACAAGATTCGGCGCCAGCTCCTAGAACGAAGAGCACACAAGACTGACTGGCGGCGAGTGAAATCGACTTCATCCGGCACGAAGACTGGGCCCTCCTCCAGTCCAGAGTCGAGTTGAGTCCGTTAGATTACAAGATATGGCAACACTTGGAGGAAAAGGCGTGCTCAAAGCCTCATCCCAATTTGGAGTCACTCAAGGCATCCTTGATTAAGGCAACCGCCGATACTGACATGGACCTCGTTCGTGCTGCGATAGACGACTGGCCGCACAGATTTCAATCTGCCTTCAGGCATGTATTCAAAATCACAGTGATCATTTTGAATAAACCTTATTGTCATAGGAATCTATGTTTTGTTAAGTTCATTTTGATATATAAATGGTTACATAATGAATAAACTTGTTTCAATTACTTTATATTAAACACGGAGGAACTCGAGATAGAAGATTTTTGGTCCCCCATCCAATGACCGACCACTGCGACAGTTGCTTAACTTCAACGATCGCAGCCGAACGCGCTAACCAACCGCGCCATCGAGCTCCTCGTCCTCGTGTGTTTATTTATTATTTATTTCTAATTCGTTGGCTTTTATCCAGACATAGACGAATGCGGCATAGAGTACAACCAGTGTCACGTGAGTCAAATGTGTGCCAACACTCTGGGCGGGTATAGATGTGGCTGTGCTCACGGATACGCGTCCCTGGGGGCTGGACAACGGTGTCTGGGTGAGTTATTAATAATAATATAATAATAATCATTTATTTGCCAAAATATGGTTACAATATTTGTTAGTTCTTTAGTTTGCAGCATATTTTGTTGAATTTCAACGTGCAAATATTACAGATTATAGAAGATAGTTACATTAATGAGGTTAAGTAACGTCAAAATGAACAAAATTTATTTAAAGATAATAGTAATATGCAATGTCACAAAAAAAGTAGTACTAATTTATTCATAATTAAAAGAGTCAGGAAATTGCATCAATATTGAATCAAAATGTCATTTATTACTTCGTCCACGTTGACTTTAGTTTTTTTTTAAGTCCCTCAGGAGTTTGTCATTTTTCCGGGATAAAAACTATCCTTTGTTTCAATCCAGGGCATAAACTATATGCGTTAATTTTTTTATATATTCAGTTGGGCAAATGACGCTACCCCACCTGATGTTAGGTAGTAATAAAGTCCAAACGCGAAGAAGTGTCCATACAAAATTTGACATTGACATTTCGATTTGCAAACTGTTCGAATTCGATAATGGTTTGTGCTAGGGGTATTGTTTCCTTCTGTAGAATACTTTTTATTCTAATGTTACTATTGTCAACATGTCAAATTTGAAATAAAGCATAATTATGTAATTTACTTTTATTTAACAAGAATAAAATGATACATTAACATTAGTTTTACAATGTGCACCTTACAGTTAATATTTAAAATACAATATTAAAAGGAGTCCCTTTGGAAGGCAAGGTTCCAAAGATACTGGCAGCGTTCCCCCTTTGAATAGCTAATTATATATGTTTTTTTTATCTAATGTTATATTTCCATCTTTCTCGCACTGACGCAGATGTGAACGAGTGCGAGCAAGAGGTTGACGGGTGCGAATTCGCGTGCGTTAACGTTGCGGGCGGTTACGTGTGCGCGTGCCCCAGGCATCTGCGATTACATATAGACAAACACCATTGTGTTTCTCGTGAGTCGATATCAGATTATTTTCTTTCTATTGGTGTGTAACATCTTTCCTCTCGCTTTCGTGCAATTTGTGGGGGTGATTACGTGAAGTGGGACGAAGTGTGTAACAGGAAGTTTGGGAAGCGCGCGCTATTTGATTTGATTTTAGAACATAATGTTCATATGGCTTATAAATTTTGTAGTAGGTTTTATTTCTTTTTTTACTAATATTCAAATGTTACACATCATACGCGACTACTGTAAGGCTCGCTCGTTTTTTTATACACATACTAGCTGTGCCCCGCGGTATTACCCGCGGGTTATTAGGCACATTTTCCCGCAGCAAAACCATACCAAATGTTATTAAAATCGCTCCAGCCGTTTAGACGTGAAAAAGTAACAAACATTCACACTCACAAACTTTCGCCTTTATAATATTAGTGTGATATATGTATACGTCAATTAAGTACTAGAGCTTCTTTATTTACACAATAAATTTATGATATTTAAGTCTCGATCGGCTGCGATCGTTGAAGTTAGGCAACTTTCGCAGTGGTCAGTCTTTGGATGGGTGACCATAAATTTACTATCTCGAGCTCCTCCGTGCTTCGGAAGGCACGCTAAGTCGTTGATCCCGGCTGCAATGGCAGTCGTTAGCACCCACCAATCCGCACTGGGCCCGCTTGGTGGGTCATGGCCCAATCTCCCTATTCCATCCATAGGGAGGGCCTGTGCCCCAGCAGTGGAGACATTAATAGGCTGATGATGATACATTGTATCGTGTATGTGTGTATAGAAGTAAAACAGTGGTGTCGATTCTGGCATGGTTCTCTACATGTAAAGAAAATTTTACTAGAATAAAATCCACGCAGACCAGGCAGCAGACGGGACTTGAACCCGCACCCTTCGCTATCCGGGCGAATGCATTTACCATTATTTTACCGCGGCCCTGATGGCCGTTTCGAATTTTCTCTAGTCTTAGGCTGCAAGGCAACGCCTCTCTTCGCATTTATAATTATGGTATGGATAACTTTAACTATCTAGTATTTCCGTTACTAATTATTGATTCTTGTCTGAATTAAAGTTTTATTATTATAATAAAGTTGTGTTTTGTAGTCCAGATAACCCCTTTACACTATTTTACTAAAGGACTTTATAATGGTAGCAACTCACCATCATGCCGCTTGATCAAGTGGCTTGATCAGGTGGCTTGATCAAATAGGCTTGATCAAGCTAAAATCCTTCCTTAAAGTGGCATGGTTTTCCAAAATGTCTCACCTCACACAGTCAGTGTGACTTAGTTAGCCTATTTGATCAAGCGGCAGGGTCGTGAGTGGCCACCATAACAAGCTTATTCCTTTCACAGCTTCAGAATACCGTCTACCAATGTTCGAGGACCTCGATACAGGAGATTATCTCAGTGCCACGATTGACTTATCAACCAATAATAGAAAGGGGCGGGGTTAAGTTGAAGATAAACTAATTTTGTTAGTATGTTATAAAGATGTAATAATCAACTGTTTTATTTAGATGTAAATATATTTTTCCTGAATGAATATGGCGAGTTCTTAATTGTACATTAAGTGACTATACCATACCTTTAAGGTGAGATTTTATATATCCGATTAACTAGACCTCTAACCCCTCGTTTACACCAAGAAACAAGTCATAAACTAGTTTTATACAAAACTTGTAGAAAATCATTATTAAATCATTTTTTAGTTTACACTGCATATACAACTAGTATCTTGACAAGTATTAATCACTCATTTACTTCACATATTTTGTTTATCCAACAAGTTTGATACAAGTATTGTATACAACATGTTTCATACATGTAGGCTTTAAAAGTGTGAACAAAAATTGAAAACATTGTATTAAACTTCTTAAATACATGGTATTATACCTTGGTGTAAACAAGGGGTAAGACCTACATTGTATATTTTATATACAGGGTGGTCCAATTAGTGACTTCAACAATTTTTTTTTAGATTCCTCGCACCTGGGGGTATCCGAAAATACCCCATGTATGTCTCGCGATTTTTCTTAGTTTTCGAGTTATAATTTTTTTTTGTGTATTTTTAATGATTTCTGACAGCGAGGTTTCAAAAATTCATATCTTTTTTCGTAGTAGGTATTTTGCAGTATTTTTTGTGACATAATTGTCTCGAATGTTGTTTTAATAAAAAAATAATTCGGCTTCCTGAAATTACTTAAAGTTACTCAAAAAAGGCTTGAAATTGAAACTTTAGTTTTTAGTAGAATTTACTCAAACCTTCAACTTCAATTTAAAAATACAAAAACGAGTTTACATAGCTTCTGGCTAAAATTAAAAACTCCGTATGCTTCAAAACTACCAAAAACATGAAAAAAAAATGTGCTTAATCAGCCTATTCTTGTTGTAATTGGCCTTCGAAGGCGGATAGGCTAGTAATCATTGAAACACGATTAAAGCATTACAAAATATTTTATCTACTTTTTATCATTGTTATGGTAAATTAAACTTAAAACTGTAATTTCAAATTAAACTTAATTAAAATTCCTGTAAAATAACTTTAGCATGTGGAATTTTATAATAATTTCGGTTTCACCATTAAGATTTAAAATGTGAGCAATTCATCATCATCATCATTTGACGTTTGCTTGTAACGCGCCTATAAACAAATGTAACATATCAACGTTGCGTTAGTTTTGGCTGCTGCTGTATTCGGTTTATTTAGGCAAAAAAGGTGTCGTTTGTTCCTACACAAGATGCAAGCAATCATTAAAAGACGAAACCGTGTGTATGGCATGCAATTTACGTAGATAGTAGGCTTAAAATCTAGTAAGCTTCTATGACCGAGTATGGTTATGATTGAGAGAGAGATGAAAAGTTAACCAACTCTTTTTTGCTAATCATTTATTTATTTATTTTATTTATTTATTTATTAAGGACAGCCAACAAAACAAACACCAAATAAAAATACAAACTGAGAAAGCAATAAAGAAAACAATTCTTAGTGCTGCCTTACTTAAAGGCTGCCACTGCATGCGTAAAAAATTTACTTACGAAGTAGACTTACGATAAACAAAAATAAGGGAATCTAGTACAAACACTTCAATTTATTCACTAACAGCCTATCAAAGTCCATTGCTGGACATAGGCCTTGGGCTACTAGCATCCAGCTCGTGCCTGAGGACGTTCTACGCTACGATTGCCTAGACGCGGTCTCCACTAGATCTCATCTACCTCAACGGTTATCGGTTCTGCGGCAAATATGGCCAGCCCGCTGCCACTTCAACTTGCTAATCCGGGTGGGCTATGACGATAACTCTGGTTCTGTCGGATCACCTCATTTCTGATGCGATCCTTCAGAGAAACGCCGAGTATAGCCCTTTCCATATAATAGCGCGCTGATCGACTTTGAACTTGTAGACCAGCAGTACCGTCAGTGTCCACGTTTCGGCTCCGTATGTCATCCGTATGACATTAATTTATTACCAGATAGTATTGTTATATTAAAAAAGAAAACTTCCATTATGCGGTTGTCAATTATATTATTGGGTATAGATACCTTAATTTACAACTACAGTTATTACTGACGTGTTATTTTTTTCTACAGGGATCTCTCATTAGGACGACGAAAACGACTAACTATTTTTTTAATTTGTCTATCAGGTAGATTACAAAAAGTATTTGCACACGTATTAGAGTAAGATGATCGCAAGACCGCCACACCTTACTTATTTTCTAATGGATGTCCCTGAGAAAATGAGTAAGGTCTGACGGTCTCTGGACCTTGTACTTGTACTATATTTTTCACTAATCAAAACATTCCAGAGATATTTGAAATGTCGCGTGACGTCACGTTTTTGTACAATTTTACTAAAAAGTGACGAGCTTCCTCCCACTCCCAAACTATAACCTTTAAGTATCTATTAAAGATACTCAAAGACTTTAACGCGCTTTATCTTTGTTTTGTTTGATGGACAAAAGGAAAATATATTGTTTTTTAATAATCTAACTGATGGACTAAATACGTTTACCCCATTATAATTCCTATAACATGCGGCACGTAACTCTAGCGCTGAACAAAACGCGGAGGAGATTGCTGTGTATGGGTACCTACGACTGGAGAGAGAATCGGCGCAACGCACGCCCACCCGTGCCCCTCGTTCCCCCCACATCTTAATTTTTACTTCTGCGCAATAATGATCAGCGCTAGAGTTTCTTGTCGCGACTTATACATTGGTGTCGATTCTGGCATGGACTGATGTATGGTCCATGCATGACTGATGGACATGATGAAACTTGAAACTAAATCTAACATCAGTCTCTCCTTCTCATTCTGTATAGAGAATGCCAAGGATACACTGTTGTCAAATTTAAGTTTCGGTTTAGAGAATCATGCCAGAATCGACACCACTATCGACTTTAAACATATAGCTTTAAGCTTGATTGCTACGAGCTCTACGTTTTTATGTGGATCCATGTGTATAGAGATATATACTGTGCCTAATTGTATAAAATGTGTTAAAGAAATATTTAACAGAATAAACTACACACTATTAGTAGACCATATAGAAACTTGGCATAAGATTGATAACTTTGCCTAGATTTATGAACTATAGGTACTGAACATATTTTAATGAAGTATTCGAATTAGTCGACTTGATTCACATAGGCACATTAATATAACAATATTCAATTGGTGAATTAAAGATACTATTTGGTAGACTTAACAGAATACACTTGCTTTAAGCTCAGGTAGTTTCTATTTCTCAATCAAAAGGTATCGTTTGCTGCCACAGAGATTATTTCTGTGGTTTGCTGGCTGCAGAATGGATTTGGGAAATAAATATTAAACGAAGTGGATTCAATGTAATCCACTTTATGTTATTTTAGTTTAAAATGTTATATCAGCAGATATTAGTTACATTTTAAGGTTTTGGATTCTTGTATAGTAGGCAATTGGTTTTGATATCAATATTAATATCGAAATTGCTGCTACACTGAACCTTATCTATCCAAAAATCGTTAGCTCAAGTCGCGGCGAAGTGAGAAAAATATAGGTGCGCATGGTTTATCACTGAACTGAAATTACGCATAGTTACGCTCGCTGCTACTTCACAACCACCATTTAATTTCTATCGTACTTAGGGTTACCATCCGTCCGGATTAGTTCGGACATGTCCTGACTTCTAGACTATAGTCCGGACTTTGCCCAGATCTTTAAATAGTCCGTTTTTTTTTTAATTACATTGGCTATGAATAATAAAAGTACATATTGATTTAAATACCATACCATTGTAACTAAGTGGCATTTTGTGACTAAAAAGTCCGGACTTTTTACGAAATGTCAGGATTTTTGTAATTCTCAAATGGGAACCCTAATCGTACTATACATTCTTGGTGTCTTCATTTGGAAGGTAAACGAAACGAAAGTGAGTATTGTTGAATCTGCGGCAAGGCTGTCATTGCGTGGCGATCGGCGGGAGGCGCTCGCCGAAACACCTCTTTATAGGGCCCCGCTTTGGGTCGAGTACTCTCTCGTCGTTATTTCTCGAAATGTTCCTGGAACGAATATCCAATAGTATCATATGGACCAGTCAGCGTATCTTGCTAAATTGCAGCAGGCCAATTATGCTCGCTAATTGTGATATTGTTTTGATGTCAATTTCACATTAAGTATTAAGCTCTCCGAAAAATGAGATATCAAAATGACATCAAATGCGTATTACGCAAGTATTACGTTCAACTTTTTGACATAAAATAGTTATTGCATAAACGTCAAAAATATGATCTTGATGTGACATAGGCATCAACATCATTTAACATCACATTACGATTAAATCACTATAGTTCATTCGCGTTAAGAAAATAGTGACTCATCAGTGCAACTGCAGGGTAAGGGTGTATTCATAATGGAGAAAAAATTAAACATTTTTTTTCAAAACATTAAATAAGTTTAATAGAAAAATAATAAAGTATCAATGATTTTAAACATGTTAAAATATTCCTATTAAGGTAATTTTTAATGTCAACTTAAACGCTATATTAGTAGAGTAACACATATTTGGATTAATCGTAATAAGTACTAAAATAAAAAAATACAAAATTGTCTTAAAACTAAGTACTTAAATCGCTAATCAGTATCGCTAGATTCTCCCGTTACATTTATTACGAATGAATTTTGTTCTGCATGTTCCATGACGTCATCCAAACCCCACATGGTATTTTCTTCGCGTATCACGTGGTCGCAGCATTTCTTCCACCGATTGGCGTCTACTAACGCGATTGCGTCATAAAATTTTTTTTTTACGTCACTCATTTTGAATGTAGTATTATTCGCAGCAATATAATTTTTTATTTGGGCCCACACCATTTCAATCGGATTTAATTTACAATGGTAAGGCGGCAGACGAAGAATTGTAATGCCATTGTTTTTAGCAGTCTCATCTACTAAATATTTATTATATTGTGGGGCGATTTCGGCGACTTTCAATAATAATTCTTTTTTCAAATAACTCATATCCATAGATATGTCTTTGTTTTGCAACCACTCTAGTATTTGCTGCTTATTCCAACTGGCCGTGGGTATTTTTTCAACTTTTACCGAATGGTAGGGAGCGTTATCCATGACAACCACACTTCCTGGTTCAAGCTTCGGTATTATACCATTGAACCAATTAAGGAATCTTTCACCATCCATTTCTTCATGATAATCTTTTGTAGATTTAGATTCAAAGACTAGTAAACCATCTTCCAGGAATCCTTTTTCGCTGCCAATGTGCAATATAATTAACCTTTTCCCTTTCCCTGTCGGAGCTTTTGGGCCGGTTGATAAGCCATCTTGGAAAGCTTGTCTTTTATTCTTGATTGTTGTATCCAACCACACTTTTGTTTTTACGTGTCCGGCGTTTACCCACGTTTCGTCGAGATAGTAAATGGTTTTATTAGCGTTTCTATATTCTTTTATTTGTCTTAAATATTTTCGCCTCCATAAAACAATATCTTCTCTTTCCACTAACAATTTTCTACTATCTTGTTTATTGAAGTCAAAACCAAGCTCGTGCAGTATTTTTTGAAGTGTTGTACGTTTGAAAACAGGAATATCTTCATCAGCTTCGCAAAGTGTTATTATTTTGTCCAATGTTGGATACTCGTTATTTAAATATATAGAGTGTACTTTTCTCCTTATTGCACATTTGTCTAGTTCATCTAATTTATCGACCGTGGATAGTCGAGCTCTTTTTTTCACAGGTGATTTCAATGTATTCGTTTCTTTTTGTTCTTTTATAATTTTATAAACAGTGTTTTCGGACACACCGCATGCACTTGCAGTTTTAATTACTATGCTCTCCACAGTCTCATTTAAATCAATCTGTTTGAAATATTTATAAACATTGTAAATTACGCGTCTCTCTCCGCTATGTATAATTGATCCACTTTTATTTTTTTTAATAGGTGAGATATCCATTTTCCAAATTTAATTTTAAACAAGTAGTACGCAAAATACACAACCGATCAGTTCGAAGGTCTGACTTCAACTGAGCAATGTGAACTCGCCTTACTAATTTCTAGCGTTTTAATTGGCTAGGGGGCGTGGCTTGGCCGGCAGTCGGTGATGAGTCACTATTTTCTTAACGCGAATGAACAAGCATAATTGACCCGCAGTAGAGTTTTAACTTTTTAGGGTGCGGCCAGAGTGCACTCAGATTCAGACTCAGATTCAGATTTCGAAAACAAGCGCGAGAAATAAACAGTGTAGTCTAAGCAGGTTGCTTGCTTTTTCTCGCGCTTTGTTTTCTGAGTCTGAATCTGAATCTGAATCAGGAGTGCAATCTGGCCGTACCCTTCGACTACACTGTTTATTTCTCGCGCTTGTTTTCAGACCCGCACCCTTAGGGTGCGGCCAGAGTGCACTCAGATTCAGATTCAGATTCAGATTTCGAAAACAAGCGCGAGAAATAAACAGTGTAGTCTAAGCAGGTTGCCTGCTTTTTCTCGCGTTTTGTTTTCTGAGTCTGAATCAGGAGTGCACTCTGGCCGTACCCTTCGACTACACTGTTTATTTCTCGCGCTTGTTTTCGAAATCTGAATCTGAGTCTGAATCTGAGTGCACTCTGGCCGCACCCTTACACAACAAAAGTTGTTTTTTTTTTGTTGAAGTTCTCCCGTTTTAGGGAAGGCAAAGGGAACAATGCCCATACAGCCTGGTCTTAAATATTAAATTTATCTTCTTTTTGTTTTTACATTAGAATGTCGGTGTGACGCATTCTAATGTTTCTTGGAGTGTTTGACACGAAATGTATCGAGTTGGCTTTTTCGATAAGCTTCTGTGAGGTAGTCAACACTACAATAAAATTCTCACGTCCACTTGACCGGAATAGCGTATATTTTAATGATTCCACTAATTCTTCAGTTACGTAGACAGTTGTTACACAAAACCACACCAATTTTATTTCACAATATCCACTATGAACGAATTTAAGAATAATTAAAATAAGACGCCAACCGCACTCGATGAAATCCCGCCAAAAAATCCAGTTTATTTTATTTGTTAATGGTTAAACTTCTAATCAGAGGATTCATTCTCTATCCAGCCCGAATTTAAATAAATAAATTTTAAATGTAAATAAAGTTTGCTTTATTTTACGTTTTATGTCAAGAGACAAGCTCGATGGAACAGTGAAGTTAAGAAACTCGCAACGGCTGGTTACAGATGGGTGACCAAAAAATCGTGCTCCTTGTGTAAGTAAGCACGTTAAGCGGCCGAAGCCTCCAATTCCGGCCGCATCTACAGTCTTTAGCACCCAACAATCTGCACTGTGCGCGCAGTGGAGGCCCTAGAGCAACGAAGACGTGCAAGCTCCAATTGACTATGAGAATGCGAAAAACGTAAAACGCAATAACTTGGTGACCGTCCAAATTTGGTAATTTTTTATCCCTGTTGTGGGTGCCTCTGGGCCACAGCCTCACCTGCCCTGCCTTAAATACAGCACTGCATGGCCCATTTTTCTTACCACCCATAAGAAGGCATATGCCTCAGATGAGTAATAGTTAGCATACAAAATTTAATTTTTAAAACACTTACTGCCAGTATGGTCCGTTTTTCTGCAATCTCAGTATATTGTTCTGACAGATCATAAGCTCATTCTGCAAGTACGTTCTTTGATCGTTTACACGCACGAACAACTGCAAATAATTTTTAAAATTTATTTAACTTTAATGTAAGGATAATTTAATGTAATTGGTCCTTCGAGCTGGATTTCCAAACCTTAGATTCAGAATCTAATCGCCATTCTTTGCTTCTAAGTGTACTTAACAAGTCGGTTTTAAGTCGCTCAAACCTCTTGACAGTGCGTAGTAACTCCGCCTGTAATTTCAGAAACCATAATATAGAACATTATTTAAGTAACTAGGAATTTTCGTTATCGTTCATTAAATAAGACTTACCGGTGTGAGTATGTCCAAATTAATGTTGAGATCGTCATGTTTGAGTCTGCAATCTAAAAACAATGACTCAATCAACTTTTGATTCAGAAAAACAATTAATTTTTGACAAATCTTAAGATAGATAATACTGAATATCAGTTGAAAATGTTTTTACAATTTTGGTTAACTTGACTGGTCTAAATACGATCACACGAGCTTACCAAATATTATTGATGATTATTTTTTTTCTTTTAAACGTTAAAGCTCTTCCGTTTATTTGTTACTAACCTGGTCCACAGACTCTAGCATTCTTAATTCTTTCCTTCAAAAGCGGCAGCTGCTCCTTGAGCTCGTCAATAGATTCCAACAACATCTTGTGCTTGTTGCTTTCTTTCAGAAGATCGCTATCCCCTTCCCACGAATAGTCACCCTTACGAATATCCTCCTGCATAGAAACTATCTGTTTTTCCATTTCTCCATTCTGCCAAGCAGCCGCATCCCTATCCCAGAAAAAAAAATCAATACAGCTACAGTTATTGAGAATTAAATAACTAACCAGCACCAATATTTTTATCCTGTAACTTAATTTAAAAATGCTACTTACAAAGAGAAGGCCTCCTTGAGAGTTTTAGGTGTTGTAAGTAGTACCTTTTTTTTGTGACGCAGGCAAAAACTCTGTTTACAGACGACGGCGCCTTTAAGAGGCGTACCACCGAACGGACCTCACACCTGGCTCCCGCAAATCTTACGAGCCCCCACAGTGGTTGCTCACTGAGGACCCCGTAAGTCTTACGGGCGCTTTACGGCATAATATCTACTAAAAACCCTGCGAATACCCTCTAGGCTGCTTAGTACGAAACCGCGGGATCCCCGTTTAGGGATTCATCCGCGTGTTGTAAATAGTACCTACTGATTTCACTCACCTACAAGATTTTTCATGCTCAAGTTCGCTTTTCAGGCAGTCGATTTCACTGTCGTTCATTGTGGCGACTGTTTTTGTACTGAATTAAACTTTTTATTTCTGATTGCACGACCTTGGGTAAGTAGGTACCCACTTACCTACAAGATTGATCAAACTTACTTCACGGTCGACATGCAACTCTTACCTACACCAAACACTTAATAAAATTCAATGTTTGTTGCTATGAAACAGAAGCAGGTACAGTTGGAAATTTTGCATTAAATTAATGAGTCTATTAGAGAACAAATAATTTAAGAAGCACGCAAAATGTACAAATATGTAGGTACTCTAAATTTAGGAAGTAATAAAATATAATAAAAAAAAATATTATTATCATAGCTTTGTTTCTATAGGAGTATTTTGTTAATTCTCAAAATATTAGCTAATTAAAAGTTTTATTCATTGCATTAAGAATAGGTAGCAGTCATTTCGTACTAATTTTTATTACTATCTTTCGCCCATGACTTTGGTCGCTTATAGTTAGTTGAATTAAGAATCCCACAGAAACTTATTGTTTTCCTCGGACAAACAAATACCCGTAAAAAGTTGAGACACAGGGCCTCAATCCATGTCCTAAGCTACATGTGTGTCAAATTTCATCAAAATCCGATTAGATATTTTTACGTGAATGCAAGTACATAATTATAACAATCAAATGTTTATTTGTTGTTTTTCAATGCCTGCTAAATTTCGAAAACATTTACCAGCATACCAAGAAATACTTGGTGTGCTATTAAGACCCTATTAATGACTTGCTTTAAAGTTATGTAGGTACGATTCTTATGAATAAAACCAACTGGCTGCGCTTGGACTCTCGGTTCCGCACATAAGATTCCGCATGCAAATAATTCAAGTTTAAAAAAATTGAATTAATTTGAAAATCAAACGAATCTGACTATAAAGCGATTTAGGTCTGACAACGGTACTGAGTACATTAATAAACATTTTTCTAACTACCTCAAAAAATTTGGAATCGTTCATGAATCTACAATACCTTATTCACCACAGCAAAATGGTGTGAGTGAGAGGCTCAATAGAACTTTGGTAGAGAAAGCGAGAGCTATGATTCATGATGCTGGTATAAGTAAACGATTTTGGGCTGAAGCTGTCAATACAGCTGCTTACTTAAAAAATCGTTGTAATAATCGTTGTACCTGGGCCCATAACCTGAAATAATAATATATTCTTTAGATTCAGAAAACTTTCAATTAGTGTTGCCGATCGATAGTCGACTATCGAGGATTAATCGATAGTCTACTATCGATCTAGCACAGAACAAGCCAATACTATCGGATGAGTGAAATACTATCGATACTCTCGATATTATTGTAGGTCGGTAATAACAAACTATCGATAGTATCGATACTGTCGATTTTATTTGCAACTATACTATCGATAGTTTAACAATTTGCAATAGTATTGTTTACAATTTTCAGGTATAGTCAATCACAATCAACTATTAGAATTAATACAGCTCACAGATAGAAATGTTTATAAAAATATATATATCGGCCTCTAATAGTCCTCAACTACAATACTGTTAAAACATACCTAATACTATTGCAAATTGGTAGACTATCGATAGTCTAAAACAATCGCTAGTATCGATAGTATTGTTGCAGATAAAATCAACGGTATCGATAGTATCGATACTATCAATAGTTTGTTATTAACGAACTACAATAGTAGTATCGATACTATTGCACTCATTCAATAGTATTGCCTTGTTCTGTGGTATCGATAGTTTCGATACTATCGATTGTATCGATTCTATTGATAGGCCTATCGATAGGGTACATGATTTTCGATGTAAACTGTCGATAGTTTTCATATCGATAGTTCGGCAACACTACTTTCAATTCAGTTTATTTCGACAGAGTGACAAAGTCATAGAAAAAAGACAAAACAAATTAAAATCAAAGACAAATTTCAAACTGCCTATACAACCTACTAACAAGATCATCTAGCGAAATCTTTCGTACACGTTAAACACCGAAGTTTTGGCTGTACGGATGTATAATCTTTTGCCTTCTCAATTGAAAAGTTCTTGATAGAAATCAGCTGAGGTTTTTGGCGGGATTTTATCGAGTGCGCTTGGCGTCTTATTTATATTATTCTTAAATTTGTTCATAGTGGATATTGTGAAATAAAAGTGGTGTGATTTTGTGTTACAACCGTCTGCGCAACTGAAGAATTTGTGGAATCTTTAAAATATACGCTATTCCGGTCAAGTGGACGTGAATACTTTATTGTAGTATTGACTACTTCACAGAAGCTTATCGAAAAAGACAACTGGATATATTTCGTGCCAAACACTCCAAGAGGCATTAAAATGTTCACCAAACACCCACATTCTAATGTAAAAAAAAAAGGTTGATACAAAAATAAGACGATGGCTGTATGGCTTTGCCTTTGCCTTTCTCAATAGAAAAGAAAAGAACTAAAAAAAAAGAAATCAGCTGATACAAATGACAGTGACATTCACTACGAAAACTTGTCAAATTCGAATTTTCAAAGTTTGAATTCTATTCACAGTAACTGTAATTCTTGTTTCGTAATCATATTCATAGTTACTAAATTAAATAACAAACCAACAAATTTCATCATGAGTTTGCTGAGTGCTGTATTACAAGAAGCTGATAAAGCCAGTTCAGAAGAATTGAAAAAACATTGTGATTCGTTACTGCCAAAGATGAGAGAGCTTCATGAACGTATTCAATTAATTACGTTTGATCTACAGCAGAACTTTTTAGATCTGTTTGTTCATTTTTGTCCTACCAAAAGTTTGGAACAGCTTAACTATAAAAATAGGAAAAGTAACATCATAACCGATTATTCTAAAATAGCAGAAGAAATTGAAAACTCACGCCGAAATTGTGGAGAGACGGAAGAAGAGCTTATGAAATACTACGAAAAACTTAATGAATCTATAAAAATATTTAATGAGGCATGTACTGTAACAGAGGGTAAGAAAATTCTAGAAAAAGCAGATCATGAATCCAGACGTTATAACCATATTGAAGCTATTCAGTCTATCAAAGAGCTTCAGAAGCAATTAAAGTGTTTGAAATTCGATGACAAACTTGGAAGAGGTTTGTCAACTCTAAAAGCTCAAGCTCAAAACCAATTAGCTGTGTATATTGCCCAAGTCAATGTAGAATGGGAAGATATTTTTAAATGGACTGAGAAAAAGAGTGTGTATTTTATCACTTATTCCTTATCTGTTCAACAAAGTGACCCATTGCTTATACAAAGGGTACTAAAAACTTTGTACACCTCAGAAATCATGAATGCCGGACTTGGTCAATTTTCTCATTTCTTTATTGAAAAATTATTACACAATGTTATTAGACACAACTGTGACATATATACTGAAGATCATCTTGGAGCTCTGGAGTTTAACATAAGGATAGATCTCAACGATAAAAATAAACCTACTTATCAAATAATTTTTAATAATCTCACAGCAATATTTGAGTTTCTTGAAACTACCCTTGGTTCACAATTTGACTGTGACAAAAAATTCATAGAAGTGTTTGCAAACACAATTCGTGAAAAATTTTTCAATAAATTAATTGATGATTGTATCAAATATAATTTGCCTTCATGTGAAAGCTCTTACGAGAACTACAAAGCCATTGTTGCTGAGTTAGACTGTTTCAACAAATTCTTGATTGAAATCAGGTTTGTTGAAGCTGAAAAGTCACCTCTTAACAAATACATTGATGATACTGAGTGTGTGCTTTATGAGAAGAAATGTGGTAAGCTGCTTATACAAGTGCGCTCCTTATTGTCAGAGAGTCTTTTAAATACTAAAGAAATGGTTGGTATTGCACCAGCTGAAGAAAATGATTCCATTCTAGATGTAACTGAGAAAGAATTTACATGGGACTTGAACAAGCCATTGTTTCTCCCTAGATGCCAGATTTCCTCAAGTGTTAAGAAAATAATGGATCTTATTGTCAAACATTTGGAGGAGAGCTTGAAATTACCTGAAAAGTACCAGAAGCTTCTAGTTTTGACCATCAAGGATATAGCTGTTATGTATCAGACATTAGTACCTGCAAAATTCAAGTCTGAATTAGAAAGTTGTCCATGGGCAATAGGTAAAAAGAAATGAAGTTATTGTTACATGAAGAGATTTTTAAGTTTTCAATTGTTGAACATTTTTACATAGTGTTTCAAATAAGTATTAAAATTATTTTCATAAATTCATTAATTTACAGGAATATTTTTCAACAACTGTTTTTATTTGGCACATGGTCTTGTGGGCCCTCCATGGAAGCTCATCTTGCCTGCTAACTTGGCAGACATGTTGATGACAGTGCTTCTTGAATGCATTCAGGATCTACGAGTAATAGCACTTGAAAAAATATCATTGTTTTTAGAGAAAAAAAGGAAAATGATTACAGATAGTATATTAGAAACGGATGGTAAGTTATTTTGATGATTTACAACTAAAATATCTACTTAAGTTGTATCCAGAGGCACGCATGAGTTTTTGACAACTTCATATCACATCTTCAAAGTTTTTATAAAAAACTCAGCAGTGCCTCTATCATAAGTAAAAATAAACTAGCTTTTTCCATACAAAATTTGATGATTACTTTTACGGAGCTGTCAAAAACTCTTGCTTGGGCCTCAGATTTTCTGTGCCTCTGCAAATGGCTCATGCACCGAGGTTCCATCAGCAATTAAATTCCAATTTTTCAAATTTGCAGATACAGAAGAGGATGCTTGGACAATGAAGAATTTTGAAACATTTGACATGGCCATGAATGACTGTTTGTGCTCCTTGAGTGGACTTTGTGGCTATTGGCACAACACTCTTCCCTCCAGAATGTTTGAGATGGCCATGAGTACTTTAATTCAAGTGTTGTGTCAATGTGTCATAAAAAGGGTGTTTGAGGGGCAATCAATTAGCGAACCTGTTGCTTTTATGTTAGAGCAACATTTAAATAATATGCATGCAAGCGTTAGTAGCTACTTTTTGGTAAGTGATTATGTTATGTTTAGAATATTGTTGTATACTAAGATAAGCTTCAAATATTAGAATTTCAGAGGGAAAAAGTATAGATATCAATAATATTTGATCAGTTGCAGATTTGACAGTTTTGCTTGGTTTAGTGTGCTAGTAATTTGCGATTAATGGCTGAACAGATTTGGATGAAATTTAGCATATACATAAATAGTTTATTACCTAGGTTAAAGCATAGGATACTTTTTTTCTGGAAAAACTAATTCAGGCAGACAAAGTCGCTGGTGGAAGCTACTTTTTATATATTTATGTTTTATCACTATTATTAACATTTTGCTGTTCATCTGTCTGTCAGGCAGCAGGCTGTGTCCTATAAACAGTGATAGGTAGAACCTTTTTCATCAAGAGCAACAATACTACCAAAAGCCAGTGTTATTTCACTGTCATGTTCTGTATGCTGGAGATCACTTGCCCAGAAGGGCGCTCTTATAGCCTGCTCAGACCACTTAAGTCTGCGGTATTTTTTGTCTGCTAAAATAGATCTCTTACAACTACACCCAGTAACTCACACGACAGACTAAAAGTACCTCATACAAAACTCCCCCTAATAAACGAGGACACCAGACGGGACATTAGTGTGCTGGTGTCCTTCAAAAAAACATAACTCATGTGACTACATACGTTTGAACACACAGTTAACCTTTGTCCGTGTTGCGCTATCTATCCGATTTAAAAATATGGACCCATATTATCCTTTAAAAGGTCTTCTTCTTTTCTTAAACTTCCTGTTGAAACACAACGTAATCTGAGAATATTTACTTCCATAGTGAGTAGTTTTCCTAAATTTTTGGGGGGAAAATGTTCGCACAATGTGTGCGTTTTGTCCGTGATCAGTCCTCGGCGGACATTTTCTTAACGATTCAGGGTCTTTTGTCTCTACAGGAAATAATTCGAGCGACAGAATCCATTATGCCCTGCGTCTTTTGATCTTAAAACAAAAGTTTTTTTTTTAAATTATTGTAAATACACACATCAAAAGTGTCTAGGGATCAAGCATTTTTATGCGGATTTCTTGAGATTGAGATGTGGCTTTGTAATAAATTTATGATTTTATAAATTTATATGGATCCTTTTTGGTGCATTTCATAATTTGAATCAGGAACTGTGAATCAAATTCGAGTAAAAGATGAAAATCAGCTGTCAATATTTTCCCTATAAAAACATACAACGCATTGAAGACATTATTAGTGCTACTGTTTCCCTACTACTGATTAAAACCAACGTTATTATGGAGCGGCGACGTCATTTAAGCAGGGAAGAAATGCTCAGAGCCGTGGGAATGATAGAAGCTGGTTCCCGGCAACGTACTGTGGCTTTAGCTCTGAATACAAGTCAGAGTGTTATCAGTCGACTTTGGACACGATACCGAAGCACTGGTACCGTGGCTGAGCGCCATGGAGGACGGTATCGCTGCACCACACGGAGACAAGACCGATAAATTCAAATCTTAACTCGAAGAGCTCCAACAATAACCGCCATGATGTTAGCCGTGAGGCTTCATCACTCTTCAGGGAACTTAATTAGCGACCAAACAGTCAGAAACCGCTTGCATGAAGTGAACCTTCATTCCCGAAGACCGCTACGGGTACCACCTATAGCAATGCACAATCGTAGGATTCGATATCAATGGGCTCTTGAACACAGAAATTGGGCAGAAGAAGAATGGCGTTTCGTGTGCTTTTCTGATGAGTCTCGTTTTGGTATGAGACCGGATACAAGACGTATACGACACTGGAGAACCCCTGGACGCCAACAGCGATTAAAATCCTGCCAGGAAGTCCATCCTTATAGTGGTGGAACCATCATGGTATGGGCGGGTATTTGGATCGGCGGAAGAACTGAGTTGATTTGGATCAGAGGCAACCTCAACGCTCAAATTTATGCTGAGACGATTGTATCAGACGTCATCGTTCCTCTACAAGTGCAAATCGGTCCCTTATTTCAGTTAATGCATGATAATGCACGACCGCACACCGCAAGAGTTGTAAGACAGACTCTCGCCGCAGCTAACATCAATGTCCTGCCCTGGCCTGCTCAGTCGCCAGACTTGAACCCGATTGAGCATGCATGGGATATGCTACAGAGAAGAGCTCTGCCGAATATGGAGGGTATCCAGTCGCAAGAAGACCTTTTTTTGTTGTTGCAACGAACATGGGCGGCCATTCCACAGCGTGATTTGGATGAACTCATTTTGAGTATGCCAAACCGATGTTCTTGTGTTGTTAGTGTTCGCGGTAGAAATACGGATTATTAATTGTTTAAGTTACCCAATAAAATTTTAGAGAAAACTGTTATTTCAGTCTTTTTTTCGAACTTTTGTGTTAGTGGTTCAAATGTCAAAAATCCCTTTATTAGGAAAATGGCAAATTTATTTATTAATGCAAAGGTGACTTGGTTTATCGTTACTGTGACAAACGAAAACACTTTATTTGATGAATCCTTAAAGAAAATTTTAATTAATATCAATCAGGAGAAAAGTTATTGCAAAAATATATGTTGATCCCTAGACACTTTTGATGTGTGTATTTCAGGTGCCCAACGGAAACTTCGCTAGTAAAATCAGCGCATGGGTGAAATTTGGCAAACTCCGTGTGCTGATGAGGGCCCAACTCCAGCAGTTGGTAGAACTCTGGTACCAGGACAAAGAGGTCAAAGAGCATTTCACTTGCGAGGAGGTTCGACACATTATAAGGATGAGATTCCCGGACACACAGTACAGACTGAAAATACTTCAAGAGATACAGTGAAAGTGATTATGGTACTCTTTTACTATACATAATTATTTGATAAGATTTCTTTTGTGATGGATTCTTAGGGATTTAACCAACAATGTTTACTTCTGCGCAATAACGGTCAGCGCTAGAGTTTCGTGTCGCGATTTATACCTAATGTGTGAGCTTAGTAAGTTTAATTTAAATACACACAGGTGCTATTGTATCGAAAATTCGTTCCAAAAAAGTCAAATTAGTTTATTATTAGATTGTATACCTAGTCATAAGTACCTATGATTAAGCAATAAAAATTTTGATACAGTTTTATGTATATTCATGTCAATAAACTTTATATTTTAACTTGCTACTCTCTTTTTTGATGGTTGATGTATAATGGTAATTAATTATAATTATGATATTTACTTCATATTATCTTTTTTTTTTATTAAGAAATTTACCAGCTTTGGACAAGTACATACAGCCTCATATTATTATCAGTTTGACTGTGATACTTAGACAGTTGAAATGTTCACAGATGATGTTGCCGCTATAGCAACAAATACTAAAAACATAATAAAATAAATATTTAAGGTGGGCTCCCATACAACAGACTTAATTTTTTGCCGTTTTTACTCTATATTATAATATAGTGTCTAATGTTGTATAGATAGATACGGAATACTTCGTGCGCAAATCAGACTCGCACTTGGCCGATTTTTTGTAAATTCTTATTGAATCTCCATACTAGACATCTTTATTGGTGATAACAATTTGTTTATTTTTGTCATTTTTGAGAGCTCTTAGTTGCTTTGAAACACAAATTATCAAGAAAAGGAAGACATAAGAGCTTTTAATGAGTAAAATTATATTTTATGTATGAAAATCATTTCTTTAGTGATAAAAATCATGAAAGAATCAGTCGAAAACGTTTGTATGGAAAATATTGCCCATCGCATACAATATAACGCCACGGAAAGGAATGGAAGCGAATTTTTGCAACGAAATTGTGCATAACTGTATGAACTTTATGTCAATTGTATAAAGTGCAAAATAAATACGGGCCAAAATAGTCGCGCTTCTTCCGTAGAATCCTCCTAGCTTTTAGTTCGTATTTTGCTCGTATTACTTTGTATGTTATCCAATTGACATAAAGTTCATTATACTTAGCACAATTTTGTTGCTAAACTTCGCCTTCATTCCATTCCGCGACGGTATAAATAAGATTAGATTTCTTTATTGCATAAAATATGGTACAATAAGATGACATGTATACAAAACAGATTCTACATATTTTACCATAAATGACATTCAATTTATACAGAAAACAAATAGCTAAATTAAAATAAGGGTCTTTACTATACAATTATAAAAACCATTATATACACTTCTGGACACATCTATTGGCCCACCTTGTATTTTCAGTTTCGTTTGGTCCTAGCTAAAATTTTATATTAGGTCGAGCAAAAAGTTTTTATGCAGTTTTGAACCTGGCACATTCACAATTTCATTCAATAGTCTTTTTTTGAATTTCGAACACAGAATTTAAAGAAACAAAAGACAATTTGGAGCCTGTTTGTTGATATCAAACAATCGAATACTAAGAAAACTTGGTTTTATTGGTTTACTTGGATTTAATTCTTGAAAAAGTGATTGATATCTTTGGTTTTGCAACAAACATTACCTATTCTTAACATTAAGGTGAGGTTCTATCAATAATCTATGGATACTTCACCTGAAGTCGCCGCCCAAGCTGTGGCACTTATTCAGGCAGGACACAGCCAAAGAAACGTGAGTGCTCAACTTAATTTAAGTCGATTTGCGGTCCGAAACGTTTATCGGAGGTACCTAGAGACAGGCGGCTTTGTTCATCGCCAAGGAAGGCCGCGATCTTGGGTCACAACTGAAAGGCAGGATCGATTCATCGTGACGACCAGCTTGAGAAGAAATCGTCACCTTACCTCCATTGAGATACAAAAACAAATTCGCGACTTCCACGGAGTATCTGTGAGCGCTCGAACTGTTCGGAGAAGGTTAAAAGAACGCTATATGGTACCACACAAGCCAGCTAATGGGTCCAAACTAACGCGAGCCCACCGAACAGCGCGCCTTCATTTCGCACGCAGTCATTTAAATTGGACACAGCAAGATTGGAGCCGTGTACTCTTTTCTGATGAGTCTAAAATTGTGTTACATGGCAATGATGGAAGGAAGAAGGTCTACCGACGTAAGGGAGAGCGTTTCGCACAATGCTGCTTTGAAGAGAGGGTTGCTTATGGCAGTGGCTCATGGACTGTCTGGGCGGTATATCGGCGAGCGGCAAAACTCAACTTGAGGTTTTTACAGGACCACGGCTGCCAACATTAAATGCTGAAAGGTACATTCGTGAGTGCTTAGAACCTCGTGTGATACCATACACGGACTATGTGGGCCCAAATTTCCTTTTTATGCATGATAATGCAAGAGCCCATGCGGCCGGCATCGTCAGGGAATATCTTCGGGATGTGAACATCACAGTTATGGACTGGCCAGCCAGAAGCCCAGACATGAACCCCATTGAGCACATGTGGGACGAGCTAAAACGACGTGTTAGGGCTCGTCAGCCAGTTGCCCAGACGATGCAGGAGTTGAAAACTGCCGTAGAAGAGGAATGGGAGATGATCCCTCAAAATTTCATAGAGCGGTTGATAAACTCTATGCCTAATCGTATGAAAGCTGTGGTAGATGCCCGTGGAGGCAACACGCGTTATTAAATTAAACCTTTATTTGATAAAACATGTTTTTTATTCAAAAATCAATTGCCTTTAACAAGGCGCATATCCGACTTGTTAGGCGTAGCTCCATGTCGTATGGTATTCTGAATTCAAATTTAAAACAATACGGTCGAAAAAATGGTAAAATGTATCAGGTTTAAAACTGCATCAACAGTTTTTGTTCAATCTAGCAATCATATTTCGGTAGGAGCCATCGAAACCGAAACTCTAAGGTGGGCCAATAGATGTGTCCAGAAGTGTATAATACAAATAATTCCATTAAGTAATTTTTAAAAATTTTGTTATATCTATACAGAAACTTTAAGTAAATTGAGCCTAAGTCGCCTCATGTTTTGTGTTAGCGAGTAAACAGTTCCTTTGCTCTATTTTGGCTCAATTATTACATTAATGGGTTATGTTAAGTACCTACTCGTATATATGAACGTAATGTATTTTTTCTTGCATTTGCGTGCTCTATTTACATGTTACGCAAACTAGCATGAACAAGGCGTAGCGGAAGAACGGAAATAAGGAAACTCAATTCACTTAAATAACTCCAGTTAAAGCCCGCCATACAAGAACTGATAGAATTTCACCTAGTATATGTAGGCGTACACTTCATTAAAAATGTTTTTATGACTGCTCTTAAAGTAGCACCTAGTCCAATTTTTAATTTACCTAAGTACGAAATTTTATTGTAAATAATCCATACACGTTCATAGCAAACACGTGTTCGTGAGCAGCTAGCTTTACGTTTCACAGCGTTATTTAAAGAACATAAATGAAGTTCGTGAAGTTTTGAGGGAATTTTAACTGTTAGGTAAGCATATTGCGTTAGCTGTGTAACGTAGGTAGGTATATTCAATATTGAGGAAAAGTTTTTTTCAAACATTCTTTGTATATTAAACCAGTTGAGAATCTTGTAAAGTTAATAAGGTAATTGAACAAGAGATGGTATTTATTTATTTAAGTAGTAACTTACTCGCCTAGAGGACACCCATAAGGGGAGACCGAGGGGATTTTAAAACAAAAGTTATTTGAAACAGTATCGTTTTCTCGGAACTCAAAACTGAAACCGACCGCTAAGTTCTGCGTGTCATGGTACAAAAATCGTGAAAAGTAAGGTTTTAACATTTTTTTACTACGCTTATATTTTGATAAGGGTTTTGTATTATGGTTTAAGTTATATATGTTTCGAAAGTTCATTAACTAAAGATTTATTATACATGTTTGGTACAATTGATTTCTGTGTATTTGGTTCTTGATTGTGGATAAAATATAATATGGGAGTTTTTTTTCTTATTGAGGAGATTTGAAACAGGCTGTTTTAACCCTCCTCGTTTTAAATTTTATATCAGCACAAAAAGAAAGAAAGTTTTTTTTTGTTAATTTAATTATTATGTTTAGAATGCCTACTTATTATAAAAGAAATACTGACAGAGGTATGGCCAGTCGCGAAATATATGATTTCGCAGCAGAACAAGTAACTTTGCGACAGAAACGCACTTAACTGATATCAGTACAAAATAATAATAAAAAATTTTGTTTCGTATTTGAAAAGTTTCATTTTAATAAATAACTTCAAATTATGTCGTCATTTTTATTTTACAGCCTCTTATACTTCTCAAAAATCATATGTTTCAATTCTCCTCCACCCCTGTTTCACCACGGTTGAAACAAGTTGACTTGTTACGGTTAAGTCGATTTTTCACCACAATATTTATCGCATACAATTTCTTTATGTTTGTTTTTCGCAAGTGTAAATAATAAGTCTAAACGCGAAGATAGCTGGTACAGCAGTTATAAACTGCTACACCAACCATCCTCACCTCTCCGGCCTGCAAAAATGCTTCCTCACGCCTCTCTTAAGGGACCCCAGATTATAGTAAGGTGGGGAATACGTGCGCGGGTAAAGAATTCCACTTACGAATAGTACGATAAACAAATGAGCCACCAAATTTTTTTGTTCGTGTAGGAATAGTGGCCACAGTAAGTCGGTGACAAAGAAGACCAGCGCGCGTGGTCCTCTAAAGAAAAGGTGATGGAGGGATAAGGGAGAATAGCTCCTCAGAACACTCGCCGTGGTATGGTCGGTAGAATGCGTTTAATGATGCCATATGTCGGCGTAATTGTAGAGACTCGAGTTTCTTAGTTACCTCTTCATCACCAATGATGCGGGCAGCGCGCCGCTGCAACCTATCCAAGGCATCGAGTAAGTACTTAGCTGAGCCGTCCCAGAGGTGCGAGCAATATTCCACACAGGACCGCACTTGATTCAACAACAAGTACAACAAGCACAGTTGATCGGGTGTGAAAAAACGCCGCACCTTGTTCAGGTCAGGACTCAGAGTTGCGTGAAGCTGTTTTGATCACGGTTTCGATGTAGTCCTTTGGATTCAGGTCTGGGCGAACTTCCATACCGAGCATGGTAATGTTGCTCTGTAGCGCCAGTGTTGTCCCCTGAAGAGAGGGAAGGGGAAGGAATGGCGACGTTTTTGACGTGAAAGCGCAAGCCTCGGTTTTCTTGGCATTGAACTCAACCAAGTTCCTCGTTCCCCATTCGGAAATGTAGTCCAAAGCCTGA